GATGTGAATTTCTGAGATTTGCAGAATATTGCTTCTTCATTGTTTCCAACGGCACTCATCTTACTTGTGATATCAAATTCATGAAATGTAGTTGTTTTCGAGAATATTGGTTGTAGGTTAAATTTACCTCTGACGTAAATGTATTTCCTTCATCAGAAACGTAAACATTATTCTTTGGAGACTAAAAGTGTTTAGCTCGAATTAACCGGTCCGTTTGACTAAGTAGGTAATCATTTTTAACTGATGGAAAAAAAACAAATTGGTTTATCGACATTATTTTTGTATTAACAGTCTGTGACGCTAACCGCGTCCAGAGACGAAAACATAGTGTTATTATTCCACCTGTAATATTAAATAAACAGGGCTTGATTATCTGAACAGTCGTCCTCGGTTCATTCGTGATTTATGTTGACGTGATTTGCAGTAATTTCTTGGTACTATAATTGATTTTGCAAATGGCGCTTGAAGCCCTACTTGCACTACCCACTACCAAAACAAACCCCGCTCGCACGGTTAAGTATACATAAAGATTTGTCCGAAATGCGCCAAAGAGGGACTCGCCATTGTGCTTGGACATATCCTGTAAAAGCTTACTAACCTTGTAGTTTATTGAGTAAGATTTGGATGATTCTTTGCAAAATAACGCTTGGAATTTATCATATGTGTTATGCGTGAGCTTAGTGTTGGCTAGGAGTCTTGAGCAAGAACAATGATCTATAACAATCCTCAGGGTAAGCTCGTCAGATAAAAGATGAAACTGAAAAGTAATTGAATTGAAAGACAACCCACCAATAGGTTACTATCGAATCTACCGCACAATTTTGTGGTTCAGTTCGGTTATCACCACCCTGGGGAAAACATTTGTGTCGGAATCACGAGTAGCGTCTAACGAGTGATTCGCAGACTGATCTGGGAAAAGGGAACTTGCTTCAAAGAACGCTCAAAGGTAGCTCAGCGTTTTGTGTCGTGTGCCACAAAAAATGGATGCCAGTTTCCGGGTAAAACCTCATGAACTAAAAACTTGGTGCGTACCTTCGGCAAATCACCGAGCGAACACGACTTTTGAGTCAAATGATTCCGTCGAAATTAATTTTTTTTTTCAGCTCGATTCTTCGATATACGGTTTCGAAACGTGCATCATGCCAAATTTGCGCAATCGAAACATGATATGATGATTGAACCTTGTAAATTCTCACTGAAATACAGTAATAAAGGAAAGGAAATACACTCACCAATGCTGTTAGTTGAACTTCATCACTTCCAAAGGTGATCTTCCGCTAGTAACATGCTTTGGACTTAAGATGAAGCAAGCTTCGGTTGTCATCCTCCGAGGCTTCGTGGACCAGATAACTCCTCAGTCGAAGTTCAAAACATCAACCTTTTCACGCAAGAACTCTACTGTTTCATCAAGATGCTAGCCAAACGATTACTGCAGCCAAGAACCGCGTTCAAGTTACAAATCTGTGACGTACCGTAATACAAGACTATCTAAGTGTTGAATGATGATAAATCTTTGGATTTTTTAGGATCATACCAGTCGTAACCGGAAAACATGCGAAACATTTCCACCAAGCGCATTATAAGTGATAAAGAGTTACCGGCTAAAAAAGGCTCGGAAATATCAACCTTGAATGTTATTTTACGGAAAGTCACTCTTGTTTTCTTGGTGTTGGTGACTGTTACATGCCTTTTTCTGTCCCTTCGCTTGAGGCAACGAAAGATGATCTTCCTGAAATTGAAATAAATGCATATTGTATCGTGGACCAGGCTGTCTAGACTTTCTTTGATATAGAGACTACAATACGCACAAGATGTTGATAGCTCTTCGTTCTCAGACTTCATATGAGTAAGCAGGTTGTCTGCTGTACTTTTGCCAGTCTAACCTTAGGGGAAACCTGCTTCTCACATTGCGTGATCGATACGTCTTTGATGTTGATAAGTTTGTGTCATCGGCCGCGGGAGAAGGGCGCTAAAGCTACTTTGCATAAAGCACGGGCGAAAACAGGGACAGAGAACGAGTGTGAAATGTGATTAGAGAATGAATCAGAGACAGTAAATTACTCCTGCTGTGGTCTCCTCGACTTAAACGGCTTTCTGAAAGGAGTTACGTAGGTCACGGGTTGTTTAACAACCCTGGTCAGATCAGTGCCACATTCTTAGCTGTCTCCATTCCTTGATATGTATATGAAAGGAACACCTCTTTAAAACAGGTGATAGCTTTTTTCACAAGCCACCCCGGGAGCACCTTGGTAATAACTCCATTCAAATATTTGACAGTCTTGGCGATATCTTTGGATATCACCCCTTTCCTGCCTCGAGCAGAAGTTAAACTTCTTAAATCCGTAGACTTGATCTTCTAAACTCACACCTTACTCTTGTTTAGATAACCACCGAGGAAAAACGGGAACAAAAACAAGTGTTAAGCTGGATTTCCACTCTTGCATTTTAGTCTACGCACGTGAACGCGCGTCAAAAGAAATCTTACCTTGAATTGAATGTTTGAGCGCAAAAACGCATCCGTTGGGCAAACGTTGTCACATTTCCAGTTGTATTTTTTTTCCAACGAATGTTGCAATCGCGAGAGTGCAGAGAAAAGTTAAACAGTATTCAACTTTAACGCAAGGGCCTGCGTTTTTCGCACGCGAAGAAAAAAAGCGTGGTATTGAATTGTACGCATGTTTTACGAACATAAAAAAATGCACTGGAAATCCACCTTTATCCTGTTACTTTGACAGATAAACTTGACACGATGATGATTACATTGATTAGTTTCATTTGTAACTATAAGACTGAGAGGGTTGTTTCAAATTGCTAGACATGGAAAAATATGATTTCCAGTTTGATACAGTGAGGTCTGCAACTTGTAAGAGGATAAAGTTAGGTTGAATGAAATGACGTGAGGCTGAATGAAGAACCGTGCTAGAGATGTAAGCTCTAAAATCAAAATCCTTTTACAAACCCAGGGGATCTTAGGAAATCTGGAGTTAAATCAATTTATAAACCTGCTCAAATAGATAAAACAACCGCAACAACAAGGCATTTGAGCAGCGTGCTTTCTAAACAATTTTTTGCAAGCGTTTTCCCTGCAGTAAATATGTTTCTTCTCTGCTTGAAGGTTCAGCGTAATTTACAGCTATTTGCGTAAAACCCTTCCGAATCCGACTCCATTTATCAACAGATTCACTGCATAGAGTCAATGGTTTGAACTCGGGACCAACACTTAATCTTGTAGTCTGATCGTCCGGGTGAAGGTGGTCCTGAGAAGGAATGTTGGCTTTGACTTACGAAGCACACTGACTGGGACTCTGCGCAATGCCTAACCTACGGCACCAACTATTCTCAACGACTGACTCTAGAGAGCTGGTTTACTTACTTAGAACAGACTCCCCTCAACAGGTGTCAACTACTACCAGCACCATACAAACGACTTTTTCACGACACTTTCACCGCGACGACCGAACAGAACGACCTTACATCACCGGGGTATCGAAACTGACTGATCATGACCGGCTTAAACCACACGAGTTTCATAGCCAATAACATCACGCGAAACTGACGAATCAGTTTACACGAACCAGACTAACAACACTCGACTGACCACAGCTCTTTACTTGACTCTGGATGATGACTTCCGCTCAGGTAGCTGTAACGTCAGTCACCGCGACAACAGGACTAAACATAAACGGACGATCAGACTACATGCTTAGACTGACTGCAGCGAGTTAACCAGCCGAGAATATGTTTGTAGGATTTGGATTTTACAGAATGAAGTTTTATTTGTTCACTCAGTCTTGGGCGTAGAAAAAGTGCAAATGAAAACCACACCTGGGTAAGATTTTGCTAACCTCTTTATTATAAAAAATAAACTGTCGAAAATCCAAGACGCTTTAGTTCATATGGCTAATCTCAAAGTTTCTCAGTTCCGAGTAGAAATATAGCGATCACTTTACAAAAATATATTCATTAATCATACAAAATTAGTAAGAAAGCACAAAAATTTATACTTCAGTTACAACCTGGTAATTACAAATTCATAGGATTAAAGTTAATCGAATTTTGAACCACTTTAGATACCGTCTTTTAAGGTTTGAAACAGCATACTATAATATTGGAAATTCAATTAGGAAATAAAGGGAGTATTCTTAATCATATAAAATATTTTTTTAAGGGGAAAATAAAGCGATTTGCCGACATATCAGCTCCTGTAATCATAAAATTATATCCAATGCTATCGAAACTCCTTTATAGGTTTCGGATTACTTCACGAAAATTTGTCAAATGAGAACTTGCACTCTCTGAGTGAATAGCAGCCTATCTATGTCCGCTAGTTTCTTTACCTTTTACTGTTAAATACTATTCGAGCTTAGAAAACAGATTTGCTCCGCTGAAAACGAATATATTGTCCTAACATTTAAATAGGAGATGTCGCAGACTCTTACAAAATAAAGACATCAGGTTTGACTAAGCAATATTTTTCACTTGAGGGTCAAAACAGTCTAGAATTGGAAAGGTTTTCCTCAACTTGGCGCTGTTAAATCACCCTAACATCGCAACCAATTGGATGTAGAACTGAAATCAGTTGTGCCTTTGTCACTTGCGTTTTCCCACGCTTTTGGTACTTGGCTTACTTTTTCTTTGAGCTCTGATTGGCTCATAGTGATATCTTCCTTGGTCTGGATTGGCCTTTGTGATTCGCTGTGATTACTTTGGTTTCCGTTTTACGACATTGAATCGAATTGCGCTCTTACGAATTACTTAATTTTATGAAACTTAAACATGGGCTTAGGCTATTATGTGATTTGCTGGGGGGGGGAGGGGGGTGGGGAACAATAATCGGTAACTACCTAACATTTTCATTAACTATTCTGGTTCTTCTTGCTTAGACTGCTGGTGATTTTCTGAACAAACCTGAGAAGACAATACATAGATGTCACCCAGCATACTAAACAACAAATTCGCATTCCCGTCAATATATGGTTGACACAGAATCAGAGGAATCAGTCAATTTTCTCCTTTTCGAGTGAAGATGCTGAAACTGAAAAAGAAAAAAAAATAGGTTCAAGTTGAAGAGCGGATTGAAGTAATTCATACGTACAGCATGTATTAGGCACCTGAATAGCAAATTGCGCAATTTTGGATTGGGGATTGGGGCGAGATGACGACTGACACTTCAGACTATTCACTGACCGCAAAGGAAAATATCAAATAGTCAACTATTGTTATGTCTCCTTTTATGAAGGAGAGGTGGGTGGGGGATAGCTCAACTCAGTGAGCAGAAATGAAGAGAAGTGACAAACTCACATTCTTGATATCCCAGATTCCTCACGTCTTGACACTCTCCTGGGTGACGTGTTATTACTCGAGTAACCGTATGCTTCATCCTCAGTATACCTTGAAATTGGAGGGAAAAAACGTCTAAGTTAACATATCACCACTTTAACTATAATCGATTGTGAAGACATGAATATCGTATATTTGAACTGCGGATTAATACATGAAGATAAAAAAAAGATCTCGACAGTGATAAACAGCACATTAAGCAGTGATGCGAACCTACAAAATGATTGGCATCCATATGGCTTTTTAGCTCATTTGCTAGAGCGCCGCCCCGATAACGCAGAAGTCATGAGTTCAACTCCCGAAGAAGCCTGATTTTTTTCTTTTTTTTTAGCTGCTTTGATTTTCACTATTGCTTATGTAATGTTCATCACTGCGAAGATCACTCTCATTTCACTCCAACTATGATGGCTCAATGTTAGATATTCGTTTGTCGTGGACTTGTGCACGTCATTGATAATGATATGGACAAAAATAAATGAAAATAATTATGGAGAAATTTAAAAAATGGTCAGCGAAAAGTAATACTGTTACCAGTCCATGATAATTGACTTCTCACGACATAAATTTTTAACGATATTCGACAACCTGGCTATTGTCTGAAATGAAGGTATAAATTTTGCGTGATATGCTTTACCCCACAACTGAAAAAAAATTGAAGGCACCACTACGAACAAAACATCCTCCTGCTGTTTAAAAGGCGTCAATAAAAAGTTTCTTTTTTCTCTCCAAGCTTTCTTGAGAATTACACACTTACACCACCGTTGTAAAATGCGTTGATTCCCATTGACATTGCATCATGCGGAAGTGTGTGAAGTAAACTCTAGGAATATTTTCAGTGTAGGAGTCAGATTACTTTCTTACCCAGGTTTGTATATTTTCAGCTCATCCTGCAGCGCAAACACCTGTTCTTTCAACTTGTTCCTTTCTGTTAAAACTTCCAGCATCTCTGCTTTTGTGTAACGTGGTCTGTTTGGATCTTTATTACCGGTTTCTGCTCGTGCCTGACTCTCTCTCTTTTCCGTACTTCCATCCTTCGACTTCTCTCCATTGAGCACTTTCTTCGACGATCGACCAACAATTTCCCATCCATCATCCCCAGTCCCTTCCTTGTCATCATCAATTTGTTTTATGAGCACTTCCTTTTCTTTCCTTTCAACTTGCACTTCCGGTTCCGTTTTATCCTCAGCAACTTTCGTTTCATTATTATTATACTCGTCTACGTTTTCTCCACCTTCTTCCTCAACTTTAAGCCGCGGTGGTTTGGGAGGAGGATTTTCTGTGCTGATTTCTACGGTTCCAGAATTTTCGTCGGAATTTTTCACTGTATCCTCAGCTAAATCTTCCCCTTCTTTATCTTCCTCTGCGCCATGATTTTCGAGCGGTTGTTTACCGTAGCTGTTCATAAATTGTTCCACACTCTCAGCATCTCCGTCCTCGTCACTCTCTGCCAGAGGTTCGGCCCTGAGCCTAAGTGCCCGCAACTCAGTTTGAAGCTCTGCTTTCTCCCTCGCCAAATCGTGTATTCGGTCTTTACTGGCGCCCAAGGTTTTTCTGACACTCTCGTTAATGCTAGTCAGCCGTACGATTTGTTCCTCTACCTATAAGAAACGAGTTCGGTGCTAGTAATAATCTCTCAGCTTAGATAAAAAGGATAACCTCCCCAGACCGAAGGAAAGTTTGTATAGAATGGAAGTGACGCTATGAACATGGCCAAGAAACGCCCCGAAACAAATTGCTATGGGCCCAGTTGTTCGAAGGCCGATTGCGCTGACCCAGGGTAAAATTTTACTCCAGGTTTCATTATTTCTCTATTCAAGAGTCTTTTTCAGAAAAATTTCTCTTTTGTTTTAAAGCATCCAATAATCAAATTGAAGACAAAAAGAACTGAAATGAATTTTCTTCTAAAACTGTCGGACCTGAAATCAAATTTCACATTAACCCTGGGTTATCTTAACCCAGCTTTGAACAATGCGGCCCTCAATTTTCCTGCCCCATGCTTGTTGTGTTATCCCTCTTCTGTTCATCATTCCTTCAAACGATTCTTCGAGAAGTTTCTTTCACTGATTTGTTCAAAGCAAATTAAAGCAAACTTCCCAAAAATGTCAAAAATCTAACATTTTGTTTATTTTCGCGTTAAGGGCTTGTCATCATTAACAACTATTCCGTTTTCTTCCCGAATGACAGTTCGCGTCATTCCAAGCAACACTCACGCACCAAAGACATTCTGAATAATTGACGTTCTTTTACTTCATATTTCATTAAATTTGCTTTTTACCCTGAGGAGGAAGAGTATTCAGTTGGATTAGTGCGAAGATTTGCGAAATACATGTAGGAGAAGAAAGTAACGATGTATCACCGTACTCCTTCCATCGACATCCTGTAAAAATGTTCACTAGCAGATGTAACACACCTTGAAGAGCTCTGCAGTTTTGCAGCTCGTTCGAGGAAAAGCTACGAAGGATTAACTGACATTTCAGGTAGTCGATACCTTATCGAAAATTCAACGTCTGCCAACGCCACAAGGGCGTTTGTGGGATTTTCCAGAAAGATAACGTCCTTCACTAACGTCCCACTAGTATTAAGGGTCACACTTGACCACAGTTTTGAATTTTAAAAAGAAAAAGACGATAAGTTCATAAAAAATTTTACCGCCGCGTCGGGCACGAAATTTTAACAACTTAAATGCGCTTTGTCAGACTTTATACCGAGTAAGAGATGCAAGCAGCTTCTGATGGCGTGATAATCGCACCAAGATTCCTCGTTTCTCGACTAGAAAATTTCTCGAATGTCCTCGTAAATTTATAAAGTGGCCCCGACCTCGTCGAGTCTCAACTCGAGCCTCGATCCATACAGTCAACAAGAGTCGAGATCCAAGGATCGAGTTTCGAGGGAATGTACGTCCGACTGTGATTTAACTACAAATCATCCGTTTTCTTGACAAAGAGGGAGAGTTACAGACACTTTTCCTGTCCCCACCTAATCTGGAACTCTAATGCGTGACTTCTTAGTCATCTCCTCATTTCATTTACGTGACTCGCGTGAGCCTGCCAACTACGAGAGCTTAAAAGTCACGCGGGTCACGCAAGGTGCATAAGATGTTACGTACCGCATCAAGGTCAGTTCTTAAGCTGTCAATCTCCTTGTTTTTACTTCGTATGGAGTCTCGCTGATTATCAATCGTCTCTTTCATCTTTTGCATCAGTTCTGCGTCGCCAGGTGCGCTTATGTACGCCGTTGCTGTAAACATAAATAATTCATTATTCAAAATATTTATGACAGAAAGAAGTCATTTAACTTCTAGGGAATCTAGCAAGAAAACCATTGCTGCTTAATCCTGTTTAAGATTAACTTGAAGTTATTATTGCTGTAAATAATATTTATATTTCAAGTGATTATAGGAATGCGAACGCTTTTATTGGTTGAGTACTATTATCACCAATGTAACGTGATAACAATATCAAATACCAACTTTGATCCCTGCACCATTTCTTGATAGTTCTGACGATGAAAAAATTTGAATTAAAAGGAAATGCAGGTACTCTGACCTGACAAATCACTCTCTTCAGACTAAGAAAAGTTTCTTCCATCGCCCCCCTTAAGTTTGTCTCTGGAAATTCTGAGTAAGGCTCACTTCATATAATTCAAGGCTAACCATTGAAACAAATATATCAAATAAACAACTATGAACTTGGCTAATCACTGTCAGTCAGCATACCAAAGGTATGACTCATCATTGCGAACTTGAAGCCTAGAAACCATTGAGAAAAAAGGTTCAAGAGCCCCAGAGGACTCCACATCTAGTCAACTTTATCTTCACAATTCAGAAGAGTTCCTACATACCCTGAAAAGCTCATCATATTCATCATCAAGAGGGTTTATCCTAATCTCTTTATCCTTAAGTGACAAGTTGTACAAAGAACATTTCCATTCCTTCTCAATAAGTTGCCTGCCATCACAGGTACTTCTCACCTCCCTTACAACCCCCCAAAACCTGCCAATTTTCCCTGCCATTACTTTTAAATCTTCCACAAATATGGTGAGACACTGTAAGGATGAATGCTCCTGTGCACAAACAAAACACAACAAGCTTGCCAACCAAGGCTTGAACAATCCAGACCTCTCTCAATCAAGAATCAAGAGACCACTACACCTCCCACCAAAATGTGCAAGGAGGGGGGTACAGAGTAGATAGGAACAAGAATACTTTCCTCAGTAAACTCTACCTTTATGTTAAAAAGACTCACCTGGTTGGGTATTAATTGATACTTCAACCTCCATTCGCAATTTCTTGTTTTCTTCTTGAAGTCTGATTAGCATGGCTTTTAGGTTGTCTGTTTCTCCTGTTGCAGAGATCTGATAAAGCTCCTGAGAGATAAAATTAAGATGAACAAAATCACTGTTCATCATCACTCTAGTATTCATTAGAACAAAATTAAATTTTCTGCAACAGAATATCAAATTGTAATGTAATTTCATTCTTTAGAATATCCTACTGTGACAAGCCCTTATGTTTTTTTTAGGATATCCTGCACCCTTATTTATTCAACTTTGGAATGTTTTTAAAATACTGGGTAGAAATAAAGATTGTTGTTGTTGTTGTTGTCTCCCAAAATGTTCACCAAATTTAATGAAAATGTCTATCTGTGATTCTTTTGAATTTCAGTCTCTTATAAAAGATTGTGAAAATAAAATTATTGGTTTCACCATCTGAGAGAATTTAAATTTCATCTCTGTACAACCACATCAGGTTTGGTTGCCAGGCTGGGACTAGATTTCCAAAAATTGTCACACATCTCACATACTTCTACCCTAAAAAGTTTCATATAACAATTACTAAGATCAATAACTTCACGTTTTAATCATAAAGGCTTCCCTGTGAATAGTTTTGTTTCCCATTGGTGTCACTTTCATAACATGAGTAGGTGGATTTGGCAAAAAGAAGAAGACAAAGGAAAAGAAAGTAACCACTAAATGCAAACATTCCCAAAATGCAAAGACCAGAAATTGAGTCTTGGTCACCTTCACTGAGAATGTAACTCACTTCACAATTATTATTTTGCCAGTCAGACAGTATATCTAGAAAATTTTTCTTTCCTCATTATTCCCAAAAAAAAAAAAAAATGTAGGTTCGTTGATTGATGAGATATGGAATATTGTAACAGGATGGCTAGGTAGCATTTAAAGCCAAATTAAAGGCAACTTTTAAGCAGGCCTTGCAGTTGCTGTGGTAACCTTTAATGTCAAAAATATAATTAAGACATGTTTGCCATCAACTATATGTTCCTAGGAAATCATTCTTTTGGCACCAAACCACATAATTCACAAGTGATAGTGATAAGACTAATCAGTCAATAACCAGGTATTGTCGATGTCATCTTTAGGTTATGTTTAATTGTCTTATTAAAATGTGAGCCTTCTTTGCAGAGATCAGATCACAGTATCTTTCATGTCAAACATGACCAAGGTAAATGTAAATATTTCCCTGTCATGTGTTGTTATCCAGCATCGAACTTAAAAGAGGTTGAAGTCCAACCTGAACATAGGATTGAGCTAGAGCTAGAACTAGTGCAGAAACTATTGGATGTAAACCGCATTTCATTTTCCCCCTCAACAAAGTCTTTTGTGAGTATAAATGATTTGGCCTTCACGCAGTCTGAACCTAATAAACATTTGACGGCTTTATGCTAAGTATCATTTCAATGAACTCGGCAGGAAATGCTCTCTTCGTGAGAATTCAAAGTAGAACCCTTTCATTATCAAAAGTCATAGCTCTTGGTGAAGTAAGAATATTAGGGACATTTTTCAATAGTCTTTGATTCCTCAAGTATGATATTATTGAGGAGGGACAAGAATATCGCGTAATTAATTGATATTGAATATTGGTGATGGCCCATTGTTTTCACTATGATCGTCGCAAGCTTTTAATTGACTCCATATGTAGACCCCCCGAGATACACTTGAATACAAAACAACAAAATATCGGCATGTGATATGAAATTTGATGAGTTACGCAGTAAAGTGTTCTCTTACCTCCAAAAAAATTATCAGAAACTATTTGTGAAATACTCGGGATGCAAGAATTAGGTTTCGATCCTATGCTATCAAATTGTCGCTCGCTGTAATTTACGGTATAATTAGCTTTTCCTGCGTCTTTCTCCGATTGCGAAAAGTGCAGTTCTAGTTAAACACACGTGTACTTTCATTGAGGTCATCTTTCTCAAAACAACAACTTGTTGCTTCGGTAAACTTAAATCGGTGTCCCATTTGTACATTAGCGAATCCTACAATCGTAAATCTTTCTCCACTTTACCATCTTTAGCTTACCTTACTCCCTGACTGAAGACAAATCTAAATGAAGTAATGCAAGCTCCTTAAATAAACAAATTATCTTCGAGCGACGAGTCGCAGGACATTGCAAGAGCATTGATTGCTCATTTCGCGCCTTCACGCAGGCGAGTATCAAAACTTACCTCATCTAATTTTCTCCGCTGGTTCGCTTCTCGCTTTATATCCAAGTAGAGTCGTCCATTTTCAAGTTTCAGCTCAGCAATTTCCAGTTTATCCTTCTCCTTTTCCCCAACAACGACCTCCAGTTTCTCGAGCACTCGAATGACCTTGGGCATCAAGTCCATGACTGCGTCGTGCCCAAAACGGTCGATAATTTTCTCGATGTCTTGTCCTATCAGAGAAGCATCTTCATAAACATCAGCAGTAGTAATATCGGCAGCCATGATGTCAAAACGATGATGCACTCTTAAATGACCTCTGGATGAGAAGCGAGTTTCAAGGCGAAGCTCTAGTTCACACGTCGTAATAAAGAAAGGCGGATACTACCATAAGATATGATTGTTTTAACATACAGACATTTTATCCATATATCGGCTTTTAGCCGTCCTGAAGAAATTGTTTGGTCCTGACCAAATTGCTGGATAAAAGACAACTTTCGAAACAAAGTAATTAGGAATCTGTGAGAAACATGTTTGCACAATTCCCGTTTCTTTCTTTTGAATTTCACTTCCTGTGATAGTTTGGCAGTAAAGTCATTTCCGGTTGATTCATTTAGTATCAATCATCATAGGTCAGCGGTAATTCATCCAACATGGCGGAAAAGATAAACCAGGAATAAAATGGACTTGATTTACGATGTGGTGTGGTCTACATCAAAACCAGTAAAAAGGTAAAAACTTTGCTGGTTTTCTATCAATTTATTATTTTCATGCAAGGAATAAAGTCAAAGCAAATTGATCTAATGTGAACAGAATGAAGCTGATCACTGACAATATCCAGAATTGATATAAAAGCATGTTCTCGATACTTATGGATGGTTATACATTTCTAGTAATGGGTATTAATGCGAATGAGGTGTTTTGAAAAAAGATATCAAGACAATATCTCCCAGTTGACAGCTTTGTTTAATCTACATCAGCTGTGTTATGATATCGTCCGTGTATTTGTGAACAAAGGAGAGTAACATTTATTATCACTCTGTCGGGCACTGAGGCGCATTTGCAGGCTAAATTGGAGAATTTGGCGGGCTGAGATATGTTTCAGCCTGATGAAATAAACCAATGGAAAGTGAGAATCAAAATATTGTGCGATGCAAGGCCATTAATAGCTTTGAATAAGTTTGCACGACTCTTCTTTCATGCCTTCTAAACTTAAACGGCAAGATTTATAATTATTTTGATCTAACATAATTATGGCAATTTCAGTTTAAAAGATCTCCAGAGATACATGTAAACATTTCGGTAAAATCTGTTCATTTTACTATTGACGATGGCAAATCTAGATTCCATTACTTTAATGACATGGCTTTTTTTAAATTAAAGCAATCCTTGTGGCAAAGTTGTTGTAGCCTGGTCCTGCAGAAACTTGATTGCATTCAGTACTGGTTACCGAAAACTTGATCTCAATGAAGAACATAATCCAAGTGGCACCAATGGACAAAATAAAAGGTATGCATAGAAATAAATAATGATTCAAGACAATGTTTTTTAATTCTAGAATCGTTTGTTCTACTTTGCTTTGTTAGTATAATGGAGACAAATTCCTAATGCAAGACAGGCACTAGAGAATCTTACCAGGTCTGGGCCCAGTTGTTTGAAGGCCGATTAGCACTAACCCAGGATTAAATTTTAATCCAAGTTTCTTTACTTCTCTATTCAAGAGTCTTTTTCAAATAATATTAATTTTTAGAATTTGTAGACAAATTGGAATAAATTGAATTAATTTTTTAAAGGTTTTTTGATCTGAAATCAAATTTCACTCTATCCCTGGGTTATCTTAACCCAGCTTTGAACAGCCCAGCCCCAGAGATGAAAAGCAAATCCATATCAAATTGAATTCAGTGATGAAGTATAGAATATCTATTTTGCCTCTTCGCTGGGCCTATAGTACAATTCTGTTTCTGATTGTTTTCTTGTTATGGATTTTTAGATCACAGGTCACAAATGGAATAAATATTTTGGATCCTGATTGTCCTTGGGATGTATGCAGGTATCAAACATAATTTTTTCTAAAATGCCTTTCTTTTGATTATAATTTAACCCTTTCCACCCTAGCATCAGTGTGCAAATTCTCCATACAGTTCCTCATGCATTTCCCTTGGTATGAAAAAGGAGAATTTGTATAACGATCAAAAGATTTTTGACCTTACAATCATTTTCTTTATTCTCATGTCCTTAATGTTTGATTCAGGATTGATACTGTTGGGGGAAACTAGATTATTATTTCTCCCAGGGAGAAAAGGGTTAAGTTGGCAAATGAGAATTTTGACTGCTTAGTTTAGGAGAATCAAGTAAATGTACTTCTATTTTTTATTTTCATGTGTTCATTTATTTGGTTTCATTTTTGCTTTCCTTTGAAAACTGAATTATTTCCTATGGCTGAAATCAAGTTAAAGGCTTGACATGCTGAATGAGTTCAATGTTGTGATTTCAAATCTCCTCTTATCAATTTTTGTTGAAAGGATAACTCTTACAAGCAAAAAGTTTTTGGTTAAATGTTGTCGAACATTTTATAATCATTTGCTTACTGTATTTTGAAGTTTTAGCTCTGGTCATGAGGGTTTAATCCAAACTCTATCATGGGATGGAACAGGGTCAAGACTTCTCTCCACAGACCTTGTTGGGGTGTGCAAACTCTGGACTATGAAGGCAGGTTCCTATTGAGTTGTCTAATTTGTGTTATTCATTTTGAAAATGAAACCAGGTTCATACTCATCTAAGGTTAATGATGGTTTACCTGCATTTTCTGTCTTTTATCAAAATTTTGATGATTAATGATTACCAATAATCTAACTTATTTAAACTGAAAGCTTTTGCTCTGACCAAGGGCAAAGTTAGAAGTGTCAGCTTCACAGTAATGCCATTGTATACTGTATTGTATATTCAGTTGTTGAAACCAAAACAGTTAATATCATCAAACACTCTCTTATCCTAGTGGTACTAATTTTGAAAACGTTTGTAGTTCAAAATTTATCAACTGATTGATCCAGATGTGGCTTGTTTGTGTCACCTTTGACTTCTCTTACTGACCCCTTAACCCTTTACACCATAACATCAGTATGCATATTCTCCATACTGTTATCTAAACACTTCCTAAGGTGCTGACAAGGAGAATTTATTTCACAGTCAAGAGCTTCTTTAGTTGGTGATCATTTTCTTTATTTTCATAACCTTAATGTTTAATTCAGGGATGATGGTATAAGGAGAAATTACATGCTGGTCATTCTTAGTAGTGAAAGGGTTAAGTTGAGTTCAGTTTAGCAATCATTAATGCTATTTATACATCATTTTTATTTAACCCTTTAAATACTAAGAGTGACCTGCTTCTAATTTCTCCTTTTAGCTCTAATACTGATGAATCTGTCATTAAGATCATGAGAACTAAAGGAAGTGATTGCCAGCCTTAATTGTTATTCAGATTCTCCTTGTCAGTGCCAAGAGAAATGTATAGAGTAGGGTATAGAGAACACGGATGCTGATGTGAGGGAATGAAGAGGGATAAAATGATTGTGAGTTTGTTGGGGAAATTCTAAAATTGGATGTGATACTAGATGTTTTATATACCATCCTTCACACTTATTTCAGTTCTCTCCTGAGAACACTCTACAATTTATTCTTTATTTCAGACAACATAATCATAATAAACTTGTTTGCAGCTTTTTTAATACTTTGAGTTCAAGTTCTTTTGATCATGATTGAAGAATATATTGTCTGAATTTCTGTTGTGTTTTTACATTTCTTCCACAGAATTATATGGTAAATGACTGGGAATGCATCTGCACCATTGATGTTGGAGAAGGAGAAAGACTAGTTGCCATTTCATGGATAGATACTGGCATTAAGGTAAATGTAACACATGCTGACCCATCTGTCAAATTAGGTCAAGGAAGTGCTTGTAGATATGACTGACAGATTCAGATTATTTGTTAGAGTGCCTGTACATGTAGATGGGCTGCACAATTATTATGAGACCATTTTGTTCCTAAGAAAAGCTGGTACTGTAACTCAGAGTTTCGTGTTTTGTGAGTGCTTGCCAGTTCTAAAACTACAAATCTGTTCAAGTTGAGTGCTCAATTGTCCATGGCAACCCTGTTATTTACAAATTTAAATCTCCCTAGAATTGAATGGAAAATATTCATGATGATCAGTTTAGGCAGTTTTCCCCACCCCTCCCTCCCTCTTTCCACCCTTTGTTCTCTGTAACTGGTGCCTGTTTCCCTTTCTTGTGTGGGGGCTCATGGCTTGGTTGCCAGGATTTATTTTACCTGTCAAATCACAAGCTCAGTTGTCGGGAAAAAACAGACATTAACAACTTCAGGGTCTTAGAAGCAAAAATTAACATCTGCACTTTGCATGACAAAATCAAACACAATCATGCACTGTAGACAAAATGGTTTGTTTTTTTTTTTACTTTCTGTAAGAGGTACTTGTATTTATGGGCAATAAATTTATCAAATATGGAAAAATGAGTTATTATGTAACATGTGCAAAGCCAAGTGAAAAAAGTTAATTTCCCATTTTGGGGGTGGTTTGATTGGATAAATAAGTTCATAAATTACTCTTTCTTGTCTGAGTGGCAAAATTACCCATCCCAGGAGTTTGGATGGCCCCTCCTGTCCTGTTTTTCTCTTCTTGCGCTTGAGTTAAAGCAAAATCTTGTCAATGTTATAACTTATCATTGAGACAAATGAATGAAGAATAATCTGCAACTGAAGAAAATTTTGGGAAGATTCTTGTGATTTTTTTTTTTAGCTTTACTTACATTTGCTTTCATTAATATTTCATTAGAATTTGTTTAGCTTGTCTGAAGATCCTCAGCATTCTTTCATGCAGAAGAATTTGAGTGATCGCTTCAAGATAAATCGAAGCAAGCCTCCTTTAGTTGAGATTGGTGGTATGAGAGCCAAGGATGGCTGGGTGGCCATTAGTGAGACTGGTCTAGTAAGTTATACCTAATGTGTATGTTAAGGGTTAAAATCATTTTAAACATGTTAAATGTTTTTTCTCCAACAGTGTCAGAAACACTGCCTTAATCCATTTTGCTGTACATTCAAAATTAGTTTGAATTCTTTTGACTTGAAATTATTTTAACTTGTGACATGCCTGTCTCATTTTCCTTATTAACATTTATGCCCCAACATCAGTATGCACATTCTCCATCCTGTTTTCTATACACTTCCAACAGTGATCAATAGGTGAATTTCTATAACAATCAAGAGGTTCCTTACTCAGTGATTATTTCTTGTAATATCTTGGTCTTATTGTGTGATTCAGTGGTTCATAGTATCAGCCTTTCTAACATGAAACATGGAAAACTGGCATGCAAAAGATGCTGTCACAGCAGGCTACATAGCAGCATTTAATTCAAACTCTGCCTATAACACAAGGTTGTTTTTAAAATAGCCAATTAAGTAAATTGGGTTTCCTGTCGAGGTAATTTCTTTGGAGAAAACACAGCAGTCTTTTCAGCACTCAGAATAAATTATTTAGAAGAAGCTAGAGTTGCTCTTGCCTGTGCCTGGAGTAACTCGTACCCTTCTCTCATGCTCTTCAAACTTCTTGTTTGCATCCATAACTCAATAGACATACACTAGGCAGGGTCCAATTCTTTACTACATGACCAACAATGTAGTTTAACCCTGTGACCTCTATGAGTGACTAGCATCTAATTTCTCCTTACAATATCACCCCTGAATCAAATATTAAGTTTACAAGAAAAAGCTCTTGATTGTTAAACAAGTTCTCCTTGTCAGCACTGTTGGAAATATATAAAGAACAGTATGGAGAAATTATTTACTGGTGTTGGAGTGTAAAGGATTTAAGGTAAAGATGTTAATTGGTGATATAAATATTATTATTATTGTTTCTAAATGTATGAGATGTACATGGTATTGTGTATAATCTGTAGATTTGTGTGACCACAATCAAGCCAGAAGTACAAGTCACAAGGAAATGCCTGGCACAAGTGCGATCAAGAGTGGCTGTGGCTGATCTGGCATTTTCTAGCAGTAAGTGGACCGTGCAATTTGATTTTTTATGGAGGTAGTTATGCAGACAAATAGATCATTTTAACTCTTTCAGGCTATTATTTTTGTTTGGTTGTTGTTATTACTAAATGAAAGTTGTGCAAAATTACATTGGGCACCCATTTACAACATTTTGTGGTTGGTTATCCTTTCTTGGATGTCCAGTGCTTGCACATGAATTCCTCACACCAAGAGGTTCCCTCTCAATTTTTCTCTACTTATTGCAAAACAACATTATATATTACTGACAGGTTTTTTGAGATATGTCCAGAAATGCATGCAGTAAAGAGACTGGTGAAAATTAGTCAAAATTGTCAAATCCGCTGAGCTGACTTTGCTTTGATAAATTTGACTAAAAATTTGTCAAAATCATCAATTCCACTAAGCTGATTTTGCTTCAACAAATTTAACTAAATTTTGTCAAAATCATCAATTCTGCCAAGCTGATTATGCTTTGACAAATTCGACTATAATCGTTAGTCAAAATCATCAATTCCGCCTAGCTGATTTCACTTTGACAAATTCTATTAAACTTCACCAAAATCGTCAAACCATGAATATTCACTCATTTTGACAAAATTTCATCAAATCTGCCATTTTTATTACTGCATGCATTTCTGGACATAAGTGGATTTTTCAAAGTGTGGAGGCTCTTAAAGACTTTGATGTAGTAAGCTATATTAGAAATGAACCTTGTACAGCACAAGTGTGGGATATTTCTCTTGTTTGAAATTTCAAATTCACCTTAAACTGCTTACTGTGACAATCCAAATGATGCAGCAACTCCCTCAGTCCTATTACCATGATTGCAGATTGATGAAATAGAGAAGCCCGTGCAATATGATGTTGTTAAATCTGAGCACTTGCTGGAACCTACACTGTATTCTTGTTTAGGACACTTTACTCTCAAAGTTCCTCTTTCAATCGAAGAGTTCACAATTTAATGCATGTTTGTGATTTTTAAGAAAAACCTGACAAAGAGTAGAAAGAGTTGTCTGACAGAGAAGGGGAGTAGCCCTTGACACCCATGCAAATGTATCCTGCTTTCGATACACTGATACAAGCATGTTGATGATTTATTAGCACCTCTCAATGGAGAGGGGGACTGGGTGGGTTCAGGCTGGCCAAAAACACAAAAAAATTGGCTCCTGTACATGGGCCTGGAACCAGAAGTTCCTGAAACCAGTTTACCAATAAGTAGGTCATTCCATACCCTAATATGGGGAGTTGGGTTCTTCATAATTAGATGTAGGTATGTGCTCTATTATGTGATATGGGGCACATAGGATGCTTGGAGAATACTTAATGAGCTTCTGATTTCCCTTGCGATTAGCCATGTGTAGTCTTTGTTGAGCTACTGCTCATTTTTCAAACACATTAATTTTGATTAGAGTTACATGTAGAAACTCAATGTGGAAAGAAATTGTGCAAACTTTGGATAAAATTTTTTCCACCTTGAAGTACCCTGTTACTTGTATTTAAAACCAGTGATAATTTTTCTGCAGAAGGAAAAGTGATTGTGGTGGCAAATGATGGGGAGCCATGCAGTGCTGTGCAGTTCTTCAGAGTTTCCTTGTCTGGTGGACCAGGGACAGGTACATGTATGTTTATATTTGATATCACCTGGTACTCATAAGTTTCATCTAAAAATGAAAAAAAAATGAAAAAAAAGATGTTCAAAGAAATCAAAGGTAAATAAAATAGGATCTTAGCAATGGCACATTGGGGAGGTGGTTATTTATCCTCTGTTCCCAATTGCAAGTTGAATGGGAATTTGGAGTGACTTTTTTTTGTAGGGCAGAAAGCTGAGGAAACTGGTTAGGAGAAAAACCCTTCAAATCAGGTCTTATGTGTCTTATGTGTCCTTTGTTGTCCAAAAGTTCATGGGAAAATTCCCACCTGCACTTTGTGTCATTTTGCCAGAACAAAAGGCATTGTTTCTTTAAATTTTCTTTACCAATCGCAAGTTTGCAATGAAAAGCTAAGGAATTTAGTCGAATTTTGTCAACAGGCATTTTCATGACTTTAGCATAAGACTGTATGTGGTATTTGGGCCAAGAATTTAACCCCTGCACCCTGTTCACCTAAGTGTTTATATTTTACTATGCCCCTATAATTTTCTATGAGGGAAACAAAAGGAACATTTTTGGTGATGTTGACTTAGTGAAGCTAATGAAATTAAGATAAACTGTAGGCATTCACATCATATATTTACAAGGTATAGCAAGAGGAATGGTAAAAGGTAAAAGTACTGTAATATTTTTATACAAAATGTATGCCAAAGCAATCATGATCAGGAGCTCACTTTGAGGTGCATCAAAGTCTAGTTGGAATATGGAATTCTGATTTAGGGGAGGAAAGCAGAAATCCTGGAGAAAACTGTCATAGCAAACAAAAAACAGAAAAGTCAACCCACAATTTTCATTAGTTCCAGGTATTTATTACTCAACCACAGTATAGTTAGCAACTTCTCACTGCTGCCTTGTGCCTGCTCCATAAGTGTTTCATATTACACATGCAGTCTTTGATAGGAAATGTTTAAAGTGAATGACTGATTATATTAGTTTGATCATAGTTTTATTTGTTTCTTTTAGATGACTGTCAGATCCAATCTGATCCTCTTCCCTGTTTGTTTCCACATTCACCCACAGAGCCTAAAAATTGTAAGTTGTGTTAAAAGAAGCCTCTATCAATCTAGATCATAGATACCTGTTTTAAGACTGTGTTCATTGCTATTTATTTACTTTATTGATATATTTAAAAAATAAGAATGGCAAAGCACTACTACATGGCTAACAATGCAGTACATTACCCAAAGTCACGCTACTGATACCTTTTTACATTGCCATCCCACTTGTTTCTGTAGTAGTACTACATTCAGTAGTAGTCATAGTGGTGTTACTAGTTTAATGATAAGAGAGCTCCTTAAACATCAGAAGCAATGTTACATTGCAAAAGGAAATCTACTGAACCATGCAATATTAGTGCTACCTACATCATAATATGATGATGATGAATAATAATAATAATAATAATAATAATAATAATAATAATAATAATAATAATATGATTGAGAATATATAAAAATTGTAACATTGTAACATTATGTAACATCATGAAGTTCCTTATTACAGTGAATTTAATTGAATAGGCATTTATTGAGGAAAAAATGCTTGAAGCATTTAGTTTTAACTCTAGGTAATATAAAGTTATGCTTGCGCTCACGGAGTACACGTCTCCTCTTTGGAGGTAGCAAATCATGAAATAATATGATCATCACTGATTACATTCTTAAAAAGCTTAAAGTCCCTGTCTTTAATTAAGATTGCGTAATTGTTACAAACTTTGCATTGCAAAACTACTGGGACTTCCAATGCAATACAGTAAGCCAATGACAGTATTATAATTTTACAATGCATGCTAATTCAAAAACTAAAAGCATTTACTCCACGAAACTTCTGCTGCATAATTACTTATCTTAAATGTCTACTCTGAAAGGATAGATTGTATGTTAGTTGTTGTTTGGTTCTCAGATCCGGAATATCGTGTGAAAAATATCCAGTTTTTGTCCAAGCACTCTGGGGAAGCTCTTCTTGTTTGTACAACTGGTAAGATCTTAGTGCAATAAATCTTAGTTTTAAAAGCGCACTCTGTAAACTGCTGTGAGCAGCACCTAAAAAAACAAGCTCCCTACAATTACCTTCGTCCCAGATATTTCTTCTCTCCTAACTTGTATTGGCAAAGTCGCTCAATGATGAAAATTGTGAGAAAGGAAAGATTTAAGTCTGTTTTACTCAGCTGCTATCTGTCATATAATTTGCCTCAACATTTTAGAGGTCTATTGAACACCAGTATGTGAGCTGAATTCTTCCATGCTGAACGCTAAATAAGACGCTGAAACATTTGAAGCAAAATTTAAACGTACAGTGCTTCAGATCAATCAAGATTTCAATGGCTTAATGTCCCAGTTTACATTGCCCTCCCACATGATAGATTTCTGTATTGTATTCTGACGTGTTATTACATAAGTCTTATTAGAGCGCTTTTCGAGTGAGTGTCGTAAAACCAAAACCAAAGTAATCATAATGACCAATCAGAAGAAAGGAAAAACCTTTTAAGAGCCAATGAGAATTCAGAGTAAAATCAAGCAACCCGCCTAAAGCGCGGGAAAATGCGGCGAACAAGTCGTGATTGGTGTGAGTTTTGCATCTGATTGGTTTAGAGTCTGTTGCGAATTTTCTGGACCAAACACAGAGCGAAGTAAAGACCCCACTCAGTGAAGCAAAACGAAAGCAATCTGCTCTATGGGTTATTTAGTATTTCAGAGTAAAATTGCCTTTTCTGGTTAGATACCAGTAAAGTAAAGCTATTTTAGAGAGAAGCTTGGCTGAATGGTGTGGGAGGTACAGTGACCTATTGGTTGGTGCACTGGATTCCAACTTGAATAGTCCGGATTTGAGCCTTGGATAAGTCGCTGTGTTGTGACTTTAGACAAGACAATGTTGGATTTGGGGAATCACATGAAAACTGACAACCAATTAACTGCTAATTCGAGAGTTAATTTCATCGTGACACACCAAAATCCACCGACCGACCTCCCCCCTCCCCTCTCCCCCCTCAGTGTAAACAAAAAATCCTCGTAAGTAACCATTTTTCTTTCCATTTTGGCTGCCTGGTTGTTGTAAGCTTTGTATTCGTCTTCAAATTTCAGGGCCGTTTGGGAGTTGCATCAAACGATGGGAAATGAAGAAGGAAGTCATACAACTACATGAAAGATTTCAACAAGAAATTAGTCATCCACGTGGAGGCAATTACAGTATATATGTAAGTAAGAAAGGTTAAAACAAGTCGCAAAAGGTCATTTGCAAAGGCTCCTCTCTCTTCTATAAGCCGTCCTCTTTTCTCCCTCAAACAAGAACATAGACATGCAAACACTTTGGAAAACAATAATACTATTACTGTAAATAGTTTGAAGCCGTGGGTGATATAACATGTGAGAGTGTAGTCTGATCGTCCAGGTGAGTGTAGTCCTGAGAAGGACTGTTGTCGGTAGTGGTGACTGACGTTTCGACAACCTGAGCGGAAGCCATCATCAGAGTCAAGTGAATAGTTGTTATCAGTCGAAAGTTCTAAGTCCGTTCCGTATGAAGTGATTGGTCAGTTCTGCCCTAATGTTATTGGCTGTAAGACTCAAGTGACGTAGGTCGGTCGACTAATCCTTCTCAGGACTACAATCACCCGGACGATCAGACTACACTGTCACAATAATCCTAGCATTATGAAATATTGTTTTACAAGCAAAGGAGTGTATGCCATGTACGTTCTTCATTCGAGCTGAGCTTATAGTGGGGCTCTTAATGAGTTTTTAATGAGCCCATGACGGGTGGCCCTGCAAACTTGTCACCCTTCCCTCCCTGGTCACTCTTGGGAGTGAAAGTGTTAACCCTCCATGCTGCACGTCGCTTTGTTCTTTCCTCTTTGAAATTCATCCTATCTTACCAAATAAAATATTTAGCAGTTTCCCTTAGGTGGGACGTAATTATATTCGTTGAATTTCTTTGTTTGAATGATTCAGGAATGGAAAAATGTAAATACTTACGATGATTCAGCAAAGATTGTTTGTCTCTGTCTGCCTCGCATACCCACGCCAAAAGTCGACATTTCGCCAATGAATAATCTGCTGACGTACCCTGCATCGTTCCTACTGGTTCAATACGATGATGATAGACTTCAGATGCTAAATTGGTAGGTTTGAAACTAGACAAAAGTGCAACGGTTTTTACGGGGAACAGCTCTCCTCACTCAACAGTCGACCGAAAGATTACCGACAAGTTATCGAGTGACCACCGACTGATTACCGACTGATCACTGACGGTTTATTGATAAGCTAAGGCGACACTTTCACAAAACAGGATTTTTCTGTTAACTGTGCAAAATTATGTAAATCATACGCCATGGATTTAGGCCTTCGTGGAGAACTGTTCTTCCTTTACCGTTGCATCAGTTAATAATAATTGTGTTTTTCTCTATGTGCGACGCATAAATCGAACAGTTAAGAAGCTAGACATGTCTTTGGTTGCAATTGGCAAAACATTGTCATCAATTTTGTTAGTACCGATTTGCTAGGCCTGCCATTGTTCTTCTAACCCATGTGCAAGTTGCTCAAGGCAGAATGCAGACGGTGTGTTTCGATTCTGAGGGAGGGCATCTGCCCTTCCAGGGAATCTTAAATCAACGTCTTGATTTTGTCTCATACATTACAGGTTTATCAGTGCCTTCAAATAGACTTTGATGGTCAGTGGAAAATTGAAAGCAAAATTAAACCTTGTCTAGGCTGAAATTTTTTCTTTCAGACGCTGCTGTATTTGAGTAACGTACGTTTTGTTGTTTTGAACCAATGGTGTAAGTACCATTTTGATATCCCTCATTCCGAATGTAACCAAGCAACAATAATCTTCATTCATACCTTACAGTGTTGGTCTGGTACCGAGCGGCTCTTTTCGCACAAAAATGAAACCATCAGCAGACAGTGACGTAGGTAGGTACTTGAAGCAGCTTATACAACGTGGTTTTAACTATTTTTAGCGTCATGGAGAATTGCCTTCAAATAGAGAGAATTCTCAAAATGATAGTTTGGTAGTGTTAACACACATAAGTTTGAATAAAGCTAACTGGATCAAGGATCTCCCTCATCATCAGGATCATCTCTCCACCGCAGTGCAAATATGTGAAATTTTCATATATCTAAAATCTTCATTCACTTGGATGTTTATTTGTACCCAATTCATTGACCAGCTCCCAGTTGGCTTGTTAGCTCAATTGGTAGAGCGCTGCACCGGTATCGCAGAGGTTATGGGTTCAAATCCCGTACGGGCCTGAATTTTTTTCAGGTCCTATTTACAACTACTCGTTTCAGTAGTGTTCTTAGCTGCGAGGATCTCCTAATTTCATGGATCAAGGATGTTAAGAAATGACAAAGATTGAAACGAATGTCAAATAACGAGCTTGAAAATTGAGGATGAATTTATCAAGATTAACAAACCTTGTAGCTTCCGGGCAACAGGAGGTTTTTGGGATGAAAACTTGATCATTTATTTGTATTATTTTTATGTTTTATAAATATTTTTCTCAGGTACTGCACCCAAGAGAGCACGTTTATCTGTAGCGAGCTACAACGCAGGCTGTCTGGGAGCCGTCTGTTATTCGCCTTGCTGCTGTTGCATGGTGGGTGTCACCATGGCGGGAGATATTAGACTTTTAAAACTGCATCATCTTGGTGGTGAGTACCGAATGAATTGTAATTGTCGATAGTAATCTGGGATTTCTTTGCCTTTGTTTTACTTTTCTTTATGGTTGGTTCATTATCAGTACCTTACCCTTTTATAGAGGTTGACCAGTCAGATGAAAAGTTCGAACTAATCGAGACCAAGTAACTCACTTTAGCCCGTTGTTGAGGCCCGTTTACATCAACTGATTCGCAGCTCTGACTTGCTCCTTGTGCACGTGGTATTTATCTTTGTTCTGATTGGCTAATAGGGTTTGTTTGATTTTACCAAAAACCAAGGTTTTCCAACCATCAATGGAAAGCTCCGTACATATAAGCCTGATTCACACCTGCAAAATGACGCTCAAGTTGATTTTTTAACGTACCGAGTACGAAAAATACAACGCAACGTTTTAAAGCGAGCACCATAGACAGTTCCAACAGTTTCCAAGAGACCACTTGAATTAATCCAACTACAGATTCTCTCTTACGAAAATTAGTGTTGTTTGCTTTTAACAACGAATTCTTTCTCTTCGAAGGCTTTACAGTTAATTTACCTTCACTTTTAAACTGAGAGAATCTCAAAGGATCTCCCAAATGACCTCTACATGATTTACAATCCATGTACCAGACCTATGCCATGCGGGGGAATTTAGGCTTTTTTTCATGTCATTGATTTTCAATTTGCGATCCAAGCTTGACGCACTAAGAGGTTAATGTTTTTCCTTTATTTTTTCGTTGACAGACAGTATGGCTGGAACTCGGCTAAAACGCAGCCTGTCGGACTTGCTGCATTACTGTTTACTTACCGGCTGGGAATGGTGGGATGTGCTAATGGCGGCTCACCTTGGAACACCGCCAGGTACATCCTCTACTTCATTCTCCTTCTGTTACCTCTTCTCCTTCTTTCTTTTCCTCTTTACCTCTCTTTACCTCAATAAACACATTAATCCGTCCATTAAATCGTTGGTTTGTTCCTCCATTTCTCTGGGATCTATTACTGAACAGACGCACGGCAACTTGGAATCTATTCGTTTTATATAATAAAGAATTAAAATATACGGAAAAAAAAGTTTTAATGATGACGTCATCTGTACATCTGTCCTCCAATAGATCATAAGCGAGAACCAATTAGAATGCGTGCATAACTGAGCTTATTATTTAATTATCTATTTACTCATCTATTCATTCCGTCCGTCCTTCCTTCCATTCTACCCTCTTTCTGTATTCTTTTCTAATTTCACGCGCCGATCTGTCTACATAGCCATGCATTTCTTAATTAGTTGCATTGCTTATTTCTTTCCTTTGGCCAATGTCTATCTTTCTTCGTTAGATACCCTTGATGCAGTTTCAAGGCAGTTCACAGATGAGTTCAGAATTCAAGACATTCCTCAGCAGCACATTCGCATGTCCAGGTTCCGCGCGATCAAAGCCAGTCTGTTCAGATGTATGAAGGACGGAGCAGGGCAGGCAGTAGATTGTTATGTGTGTCAGCTTCTGGTTGCCATAGCAGCAGCCTTAAGATCTCTACTGAAATCTTCACACACCGCTGCTGAACAACTTGCCAGTAAGCTGTGTTTTTTTTGTTCAAATTACAACCCCTTCGATCAATAGCTATCACGTTAGAATAGCCATGGTATACATGTGTGTCGACTGGAAATTGCTTAAGTTTTTCCGCAGTAATTTTGACTTCTGCGTCTGTGCCTATTAGAGCTAATTATAAATCACGTTGAAAGCAGTGTGGTACTGCGTTAGCTTTTCTCCACTACGCTCTATGACTGCTCTCAAACGTTCGTGCCACTCACACGAAAATCCGACAGTAAACCAATTATAAGAAACTTAAAAGTTTCTTGCGCTCGAGGCCGTTCTTATGTATTTAAATTCAGTTTTATTGGCTTTCTTTGAGTCATTTTCCTTTACTCTGATTTATCTTGCGATTACTTCATTGCAGTCAGTCGAAAAGCGTTCTAATCAGTCTACTTGAGTCATTTTCCCATTTTATTGCAAAAACACTTCTTTGTCTCCAAGTCAAACGTTGTTGTGATCTGAACTAATTTTTGTTCTCTTCGTCTCTTTTAGAGATTTCATCGACCTTAGATCTCGAAGTCGATAAAGTCTTACAAGTGTTGGATACAAAAGAGTTGACTCTCGATAGCAGTAAGAGAAATAATCCTTTGATAAATGAGAAATAACGTCTTTCTCTAATAGGCAACAATACTTTTCCCTTTTGATCTGCCAGCATTTGATAAGCTTCCACCCACTTTTCATACAACTCCATTCCCAGTGATTGACTCGAATTGAACTGTTGCGCTTGTGGAGATTAGCAGTATCTATCGATCTCATCCAGAAGTAACAACATCTTGCGTTAGGAAATAAGTTATTGTGAGGAGCTTATATCAGGAGAACTAAATAAACAAAAAGATAGAAAAACATCAACGAAACTTGTTGCTTTGCACGAGTTTTAGGCGCTGTATCCAATGTGATACGTGTTTCATGTTAATGTGTTGTAGTAAATCGAGGCTATTTTGCAAATGCCACACGCCAATTCTGGCCAAAATTTCCATGTTCGACAAACAGTCGTCGAACGTATGGTTTCTCCATAGCTTAAGTTCTTTGTCACACGTGTAATTCTTATCTCATCTAATGGAAGGGCTTTCTGTTTTTATTTTCTTGTTTTTTTGTTTTGATTGTTCTTACAGCAACAGCGTTGTCAATGTTCCCTCTTATCCAATGGTTGACTGACCTTGCTATGTTTGTGGTGGTAGCTTACACATCTCAGCAGAATAAGGAGTCTGCACCAGGGGTAAGATGATAATTGAGAGATGGAGCGCATGTCGATTGAATGTCGTAACGACGTCTTTGTTCGGAAAACACGTCCTCTCTCTCCCCTCATCTCCGTCACCCGCGTTGCGAAAAAAAACGACTGCAGTTGTGAATTTTAAGAAAAAGTTGATTAAGGCGGATTGTCTTGTTTGAAATGGTTATAAAACCCTTGTCGGAGCCGTAAGTGTTCTTTCAGATTAATGAAGTGAATTTGGTGTCGAATCTCAAGACAAAGTTATTATCCAAATAAATGTTTCTAGTATCATCAGGCGTTTGCTGGAGAATGTATTCATGCAAGGTTCGTACGGGTCCTGAAAAACCTGGAAAGTCATGGAATTGAATGATTCGTGTTCCAGGCATAGAAAGTCTTGGAATTTCAGTTTGGCTCCCGGAAAATCATGGAAATTGGTGGAAAACCAGCAGGCTTTCTATGAAGTCATAGTAAAGAATATCCAAAGTTAAAAAATTAACTGACAAATCAAAAAATAAGAATTAATTTCAGTAGAAGAACTGTAAGGAGAACTTACGTGTTAATCATTTCTGAGAGTCAAAAGGTTTGGTCTTTCGGTACATCTCGGACCATTTGTTTTATGTTTGGTGGTCCTAAAGTTTCACGTCATGGTTACATTTTTCCACCACTGGTATTACAAAAAACTATTTTTGTTCGGGCATTAGTTTCCTCCCTCTTTTCCTTGATGTTGGTGGTTTCATCCTACTAAGCTTCCTCACAGCGAGTCCGTGCGATGTCGGCACTGTGCAAGGACGCCGCGCGTTTCGCTTCACGTGTCTCCTTTTCCTCATCTGGAGAACAAATACTCGACAGTTTTCCATTTTCTCTTAAGGCCCAGAGTTTTTCAACTCTCTTACACCTGACATCAATGGCTCTTCGTCTCTCGCGTCCTTTAGAATAAAACTTTAAGTAACTACTATCAATGACTCAGTACTAATTCCATTACGGACTACGGACTTTTATGAGGCTGCCAACACATATTTTTCCTATATCTGTTATCTATATTTTTATCATGTATTACTTGTGAGGAAACCCAAGCTTACAAACCTTAGCCCTTTCACTAGCATCTAATTTCTCCTTACAATATCGTCCCCAAATTACACTTAAAGGTCACAAGAAAAAAGAAAATGATCGGCAACGATAGAAGGTCTTGATTGTTGAACAAATTCTCCTTGAAATATATTGAGAACAGAATGGAGAATATGCATACTGATGTTAGGGTGTTCGCAATTATTGTTTTTTTGTTTTGTTTTATTTTTTTCCTTTATCAATCGTTATAAAGTGTTGTAACATTACACATAGTGGCGAATATAATTCAAAATAAGTAAAATCTTCTCTTTCATTGTGCCTGCGGAAAAAGGAAAGTGACAGGTGATTAAAATTTTCCAGTAAGGCTCTTAATTAATTTGTTATAGGTCAGCTTGATCCGTGACACGAGTACCCTCGGGACCTTGCGTGAAATGCTGGTGTTGATCCGTCTGTGGGGACAGACTACACCCGCTGTATTGCCCTCCATCACCCCATCAGCAGGTAAGCTAAACAGCATTAACAGAGATGAAATTCGCAAGTCTCCATACCCTCTCACACTACTGACTTGTTAAAACGAAGCTTATGAGGTACATTATGTTGGAAATCTTTAATTCGTTGTTATAGTGATGAGGAGGACACAGTTATACTGTTAATCGATAAACTTAATCTATATGTTATCTAGAACTATTATAAGAGCTTCCTTATCTTGGTGTTGGATAATGAATAGAAATAATATATTACCGTAAGCCATTCAGTAAAAAGAAAATGTGATAAGCTTGTTGATCATGTCCTATTTCTTTGGCGGTCTCGCTTTATAAATAGAGTAATTGTTACCTTTTCTTACTGTGAGAAAATAGTCTATTAACTCTGCATAGAAAATAGCCTTCGAAGACTGTTACACAACAATAGGATTAAAAAGAGAATTTCGAGAAGAAAGGACGTACTCAAGGTACCGCACCTCACATAGCTACGTGCTGTTCACAGAAGTAACCTGATTATAATTCAGTGCGGAGGATGAAAAGTATAGGTTGTTTACAACGTAAGTCGCCTTAAAAGATAGAGGCGTTGAACGTGCTAAACCAAAAAAAAATAACAATTATTTTCCTGATTGGGGGTTCGAAGTAGAATTTACCTAAAAAACGAGCCTAAAGGAAATCGAAGATACGAATAGGGGAATTTGCAGGAAATTTCTGTTCGTGATTAACTTTTATCAGAGCGATTTACTTTCTCCTTTATCAAGCGGATTGACATTATTAAAAAATAGCTTACTACAGCAATCTCACCTAGGATTAGTGAAGCTGGCTCAGTGATTTCTAGAAAGGCTTTTGTAGTCGACACCCAGTTTACCCAGATGAATTAAATGTAGACATCACTTTTTTTCACAGACAAGAACGAATCATTAGCTTTGTTGTTCAAGATCCTCACAAAGATTTGGCTTCTAAGCAGACAAGCCAGCTCAGATGAACCCGATATCCATGTAGATGACAGGCTGGCTGGTGAGTTGTAAAGAAGTAGCGCTGCTTTAAATGTAATGCTGTATTGCCCATTTAATCATAAAAATTACTATTTCTTTGATTGTGATTGGTTTAAAAAGCTCCTATTTTCCTCTTATTCACTTGCCAAGTTGTTTTCGAACAGCTGGTAATCCAACAGTTCAAGAAGCCAATCACATTTAAGGTTGTAGTTTAAATCAACCAATCACAACATAAAACAATGTACGCCTCCTTTGCTAGTCTTGTGATGTTAATTTTCCCTTTCTTTTATAACATGGCACCTCGTGCCATGTTTCAATCATTCGTATGATTTTAAACAAAATTGGACTCCACTCAGTCCTATTACCATTACCTGTAACCTCAAAGTATATTTACGAAGGTGATTATTATGCACTTTGCATGCTTCAAAAACCAGAGCTATTTCCCTTAAGAAAAGAGTACTACTGTGTATAATTATTAAATATTTTGTGGATAGCATTTAATTGGTTGAGAGTTGGGTAATTTTTTTGAAGCCAATCTTAAAACGAAGCAAAGGGAATGTGATGCAATTTCTATTATTTTTGGCACCTATTTTTTAAAATTGTCCCAAATCAAATGAGCCTGCGAGCTGACCCCCGTTTTCAGCGCCTGCCGGACGCGCGTTTCTCCATCAGTTGGAAGATTTGAGACGAGTCGAGGAGACATTTGCAAGGGATCTGGGACTAATGCTGAACACAGTGTAGACCTCTCCCCAGCCCTTGTAGTCAAGGCCTCCTACCTTCTCCTAGGGGAACAAACGCTCGTGCCAATGCTGTTATAATTATGGCTTGTTCACGGGCTAAAATCAGATGCGCAAGGTTTAATAAGTTTCAATTTTATAAAAGTCATGTTTACCTTTCTCTCTTTCTATTCAGCTCCTCTTATTCCAAATTCAATGTCTCTTCAAAACATGCAGATAGGAAATTTGAGCAGAGGTGAGTGCAACGCAGGTTTAACCCAAAAAGCAAAAATGATATCCTGGAAGAAAATTTATTTCATACATACAAAGATTTACATTGTGAAGCACTATCGTTCGTGTCTCTGATTGGACGAACGATGCATTTTCTCAGTCGTTCGCTTCCAATCTTTGAAATGTGACGGTCTTCACAGAAAAAAAAATTTCAGTATGTATGGACTAAAACATCATACCGTTACGATGCATTAACAAACTTGCCCGTTCGCAACGCTCGCTCGTTCGTTTTTTTTTTTTTTTTTTCATCTCAACTCGTGAATAAAAATCGTTCGTGCGCACCTTGCATGGGATAATCTCTCTATATATGTATTTATTGGGATAATATAATCTTTATTGGGATAATATTTATTGGGATAATCTCTCTCTATATGTATTTTTAATACATGCATAGCTTTAACTTTAGCTTTAACTTGATCACCGAATTCATAGCGGGATCATAATGTTGTTGATGCCATTTCAGAGGATATAAATTTAGAAATTGAGTGGTTTTGTATTGGTTTGGCCAGTGTTTCTCAGAAAATGTGAGCATGTATCGGAAAAAACACTAGCTGTCGTTTGTTTATATGTCATGATTTATCTCTTGATGTTGCGAGCAAAGATTGGTTTGAGTTATCAGTAGGTCAAATCATCAAGGATAAATGAGAGAGAATTAACTTTGAGTCTTCAAAAATTTGAGTTGTTGGAATTTCATAGCCAGTGCTTAGGCCCTCACTATTATTAGCGATGCAGGCCAGTTTCTCCACCCGCGGGAAGATTTGAGACGTGTCAGGGTGAAGTTTGCTGGCGTTTGGAACTAATAATAAGGACCGCGCCGCTTGCAGATCTTTCGCAAGCTGGCGTTGCTCAAAGCCTCGAACTTTCACTAGGGCAAAGAAACGCGCGTACTGAAGCACTGATAATTACGGCCTGCTTTTAGGCTAGGAACTTCATTGTAGTTTTCTGATACAGCAAACGCCTCGTTAGAAACTCTTAACGACTATATCAGGCTTGTTTAACCGGTTTTGATTGGAGAAAGACTTGTTCGTAGGAATTTGTTTTTACAATTTATACTATGGAATGGCGGGTGAATCGCGAATCCTTTGATCTGATAGGCTACCTAAGCGAGTAAGATGAGCTTAGTAGTATTGTTGATTTGGGAGTGTCCGCGATGTAACCGCAAAAGCGAATCTGTCGGCCTTGAAATGAGTCCATTTTGTTCGCATTAAACGGCTGGATAATGACCTCATACTTATTCAGTACGTTAGGTTCGCTGAGGTCAGTAATGAGGTCCGTTTCAGAGTATCCTTGCCCTCACGATTGGTCATTAATGCATATTTTTCACTTTAGGAGTGTCCGGTAAAGCTGTAAGTGGACCAATCCGGCCCAGTGTGTATCAGTTCGGTTCACCGCCAGTGGCGCACCAGTATCATCAGATCTTCCATCCATTCGCCTCAGCCATTTTCCCGATGCCTGCTGACGGCTCGCATGTCATGGATATCGTAAGAAGGGTCTACTTGGACAAATCACCGGAGACAAAGTTAAAACAGTGCACCAGGTAACAAGTTCGTGTGATGAAGGCAACCTTTTGTATTATAATGAAAAATTCTGAACTTGGATTTGCCTATCCAAGATGCTAATGCGTCAAATGAGTCCTATCGTGCTGTTCCCTTCTCGAAATAATCCATTCTGATCAAACTTTCGTTCTCTCAGGTGCAACTGTGTATCCCTGGTGGAAGGGATCAGTGACCACGCGGCAGCAAGAGCGTGGGATCAGCGATGGATGAGGGCGTGTGTGTGCGGCGGTAGCTGGAGGAAGTTGCCTTACAAGGAACAACAGACTGTCGTAACGGCCGCCACTACTTCTTCTTCATCTTCTTCCGATGCTACAGCCTCAACCTCCGTCAGTAGTCAGTAAAAGCATATTTAACTCGCAGTCCGCCCTTGAACCTTAACCTTGAGTTTTAACCTTTTTTAATCTTGAGTCTTAAGTTTCTGTGGCCTCTTGTGTATACATACTAACGACAACACAGCAACAACAGCAATAACAGCTTGATTTGTACGCCAAGAGGTTAAAAAGAGATTAAGGAAAATAAAAAGGAATACAGACTGCCTGACACACAGGAGGCGAGGAGCACAGAGAGTCAATGCATTATTGATCGGTTATGTACCTAAGGCACACACAAAGAAAAGAAATATATAAAACCGTCTTCAGAGTAACTAGCCGTAGCCTACATTAATATTGTATTTTAGGTAAACTTATTATGTAAAGTAGCATTAGTTTCGTATTGTAATAAAACTTAAAAAAAAGGAAAGAAAAAGGGGAAATCAGAGTTCATTCGCCGGTGTAAACCACAGTGGGCATACGAAGAGTTACACGGAATATCTTGTAAACAATATCTTTACGATAGTAGAATACTTCCTGAGTACAATCAAAACTCAGTTTGCCACGACGGTGTTACCGTCTTCAAAATCGTATCGATACAGAAAACAAAATAAGAAGTGAAACCACATGTAGAACAAATCGAACTATTCTTTTGCCAGACTTTTGATTATGTGTACCATCTTTCAAGTATTGCCGTTTGTTGCATTACAGAAGTGAAAGCTGCCAAAAATATTTGCAGCTACTGTAGTTCAGCTGTAAAAATTAATTTTTCATGTGAGTCCGGTCAACTGGGATGACTGTGTTTGCTTATCTCCCCAACAAGTCTCGCCCCTTTGATAGCAGTAGTTACAGTATCACAAAATTTTTTTCTATTACTCTGGCGTCAGTTCTCCACAGGCTGTTGATTTTCCTAGATCGTTTCGTAGCTAGGAAGTGTTTCTCAACCGACTTCTGTTTGCCTGGGTGTATACAAAACAAATTTGTCAACGTGATCCTTTGACACAACATTTATAATCATCGGCGAACCAGTTCCCAGAATTTCAGTAGATTTTGACCCCTACTGAAATTCTGGGATCAGCTGAAATTCAAATGAGCAGTTTGATACAAAACCTACCATGAGGCGAGCCGGCGGAATTCCCAATGAGAATACAGAAGTAACAAGGAAGTGGAATTCTAATGAATGGAGAATGCGCATGGGGTGAGAATGGATGGCGGCAGCTGGTTATCGCTTTCTCTCAAACGTAGTAAATGACACAACTAAGACGCCAATATTTTGAAAAAGTTACGACGATGACAGTGCTGGCTTCATCTGGACTGTCCTGTCCCTCTATTTGCACACAAAATATCCCAGATACTTTCTTACTGACATAAATCTAGAGAGAGGATAAAAAAAAACCCTTGGTGCGGGTATAAACGCTAGGCAGCCTCCACAGACCGCACCCCCTGGACGACGGTTGCATGTAACGACCAATCTATTACAGTTGAAACAGAGAGTGAATGATGACCAAAATACTCTTTATCCGTAAATAGGGACCTTTAGCAAATTACGACGATGACGGCAACGAGGACTTGGCGAAAAAAGAAAGATCTACTAGGCAGAACAATAGCTCAGCCAGTGTGTTTTACGACTGTGTACACTTTTTCGCCGTGCTCTGCAAAATAACATCGTAAAATCATCAAAATTTGCGTGATCTGAGAGAGGAAACCCCGACGGCAAATTATTTAAGTTTCCATTTGGAACTCAACGCCGCTCTCATACGTTATCCTGAGGTTCACTTACGGCGCCGTAAGAGATGGTAAACACATCCAGTCATTCGCAAAATTCCAAACGAAAATATGTATTCATTGTTAAATCGACGTCTTCTAAAGGTCTAAAGGTTGCTTATAAGCCAGTATATAGACAAACATGTAGGAAGGATAATTTCACACGTATAAAACATACCCACGAGTATATAATTCACTGTAATATAATAATTCCGTATATATTTACATAAGTAATCCCAATCTTTTTTCATTGAGTCAGAAGACCGCAGGAGATTTCGTTAATATTTCATTTTCTTAAATGTCGCACTATCACTGATCAAATTTCTTGTTCTTTCGCAATCTCACATATTCAACACCGAATGTCACTTTATGTTCCAAAACATTTTGCACTGGATATGTCTTGGGGAACATTTTTAACAGTCCTGAGGGTGTCCACTGCGTTAAGGTTCCACCGTCTGGTGTTCATAAAAATTTTGCACCAGTCACTTCTATTCAGGGGACACTATTTACAGTCCTGAGGATGTCCTCTGCACTGAGGTTCCATTGCCTGGCTGTGTGTGTTATAATAATAGCCTCGAGGGATTTTCAATATTGAGTTTAAATGTCTCTAACCATCTTGCAGCTAATTCGTCATCAATCATTCGTCGATCACATGACAAAGTGACCGTCATAACATTCTGTATTTTATCGTCGGCTGTTAAAACAGGGCGGGTTCCACCGACAGCCATGATACAAGCTTGAGGTGGGTTAATCACCGCAGAAAACTCGGTGATACCAAACATTCCAAGGTTGGAAATTGTGAAGGAACCACCCTGGAACTCGTGCGGCTGTAACTTGCCTTCTCTAGCTCGGCTGGCGAGATCCTGTTGCAAAGAAAAGATACAATTCAGCTCACGTGCGACTCCTGTAAATTCTAATTTCTTTCCTTCTTTACGCTTATCGTCAATTCTCGAAAACACGCCCAGGCGCGATGATCTTTTTTCGATTAGTTTATGTAGTTTCTTATTGAGAGCTGCTTCAAATCTTTACCCCAAAGTGAAGAGGCACTCTTTAGAGGTACTTAAAGTTCACCTCTTTCAGAAACATGATACTTTTCGAGCAACATGCACATTTTTTTTCTGAGGCAACCGCTCGGGCAGGAGAGCACGGTAAGTAGCTGTGAAACTCTGGGCTCCACGGAAAACGAATGCGAGTATTAAACTACGAAATACGTACGTTGGTACGTTGTTTACCCCAAAAAACTACAAGTTTAAGGCTTTATTACAATAAAACCAGTCAAACGTGAAGTAGCTCCTTCAAGCGTGTGGTTTCTCAAGCCAGATCCTTATCAGTATCTGAGCACTGCGCACCTACTCCTCCCCTATCCCAATAAAAGTCAACTGATAACAAGTTGGGGTTAATGCTGGGTTTCAGTGGGGAGAGGTAGGTTCGCGGTTACTCAGATACTGACATTGATCCCCGAGCATTGCTCCTAGGTAAGTCTTAGCGCTACGTGCCTGTATTTGGAATTATCAACTCTACCTTGAGAACAGTTGAGATCTCCGCAATTTTTAGTGCGTCTGCTGTTTTCACAATGGGTGTTATAAGCCCAGCATCAGTTGCTACAGCGACAGAGATATCCACATCTTTAACAAGTTTAGCTTCTTCACCGTTCCAAACAGCATTCATCTCTGCGACCCGTCTTAACGCCAAGCCCGCTGCTTTAATGATAAAATCGTTCACCGAAACTTTCACTTCGAGACTCTTCCTTAATTTCAGAAGATTGTCCATGACACAGTCCGTTGAGGCATATGTATGTGGAACAGAAGCTTTGGACTCTGACAGTCTCTTGGCAATTGTACGGCGCATGTTAGTGTTAGGTAAGTCTATGAACTGCTGACCACCTTTTGGAACCGGAGGAGGCTCTGATGAGACTGGCTGGGGCTTTGAAACTGAAAGACAAGTCATAATAGAATTACGAATGAAAAAGGTCATGCTACGCAAACAAAGTACGAATTTTACTATTGATATCAACAAGATTCGTATCTTACTCCTTTACCTCGTACCTCAAGGAGTGGTAACTCCAAAACCTTCACAAGACCACATTCAAATTGCAATCAATATGCATACAGCTTTTTTCCGTGGTCAAACAACCAATGGAATAGACTTCCAGGTGACATTGTAAATATAGATGATAATTTAAAATTTAAGGTCGCTCTGCGCGACCATCTCATCGAAACTGGGAAGTGGTTTTAAAAAATTTCTCTTATCACATATATATTTATTATAAGTGTTTATATATTATTTTTTTTTTATTTTGTTGTACCTGTATTAATGTGATGCGTTGATACGCTTTATCAATAAATAAAGTAGAAGTAGCTTCAAGAACCCATATTAACGAAAGATGAGGCCTCCACAATTGTACTCTATTCCGCTTTAAGTAAGTCATCTGTTTTGAATAAGCAACCATTTACTTGCCTTGTAACATGACTGCTAAATGTACTCCACTAAGGGAGGGATATATATCAGTAAAGATATAAACAGTAAAAGTCTGTAAGCAATAGATAGACAAATACAAAGTTTGTTGCTTTTTTCATGTCTTCAAAGTTTCATGAGACTGAGTTCTGAGTGGAAACTTTGAAGCCCACAGAGAATTTAAAAGGTTGTATCGTACATTTGCCTTCTGTCTGAAGGATAAAATATGTGATTTGTTATTCTCCTATAAGACTATTATACATTACCTTGCAAAATAGTTGGGAGAATTTGGTGGTGAATCAAAATAAAACCTTAACTATTCTCATCACTTTTAACCCTTTACACCCTAACATCAGTATCCAAATTCTCATTACTCTTCTCTTCACATTTCCTTTGATAATAACAAGGAGAATTTGTTTAACATAAAGCTTTTCAGGTTGGTGATCATTTTGTTTAATCTCATGATGTTAATAAATGATACAGCAGTCTTACAGAAAGGAGAAATTAGATGATGGTCACTCTTAAAGGTAAAAGGGTTAAACTAGATAATGTATATAACTGCAGGGAGAAGTTTAGAGGTAGTTGCTGAGTTTCTGGAGTTCTAACTGATATACCTGTACCTGTCACTGGTGTCTCAGGTGTAGGAGTGGGTTTTGGAGGCAACTTCTGAGTAGGAGTAGCTTCCTTGTCTGGTTTTGTAAAAGGCTGCCCTCCCTGTGCCACATATCTGAGCACGTCACCCTTCAGAAGCCTGCCTTTTGGACCTGTTGCTTGGATAAGCCTGGGATTCAGATGATATTTTTCAAGAAGCAGTCTGACAGCTGGTGACATCAGCACTTCAGCACCAGTGTTAGCAGTAGGGGTGCCTTCAACTGGGGCAGCATCCTCTGTTTTTCTAGAAATTTCTTTCCAGAAGATAAATTCAAAGTTAGAACTGGGTCAGCACACATTCTTTCACATACCACTGAACAACTATTCACTCTAAATTTTATATTCTCTAGCTCTGCCAAAAACTACTTTCATCAGGTTAGTTTATGTTATTCCAGTTTGAAAAAAAAGATAAAAAATTTTAAAAAAAATAACTATTTCATCGAGCAGAGAAGCAATTCTTGCAGCCTAGAAAAAACTCTGGAATACAATTTTTGAACAATTTGTCTTATTTCTTACTTTTTTTCAGATTTTACAAATAAGTTTGCAAACTTTAACACTTCAAATAGATCTGAATTTTTCATTCAACACTGTTTGTAAAATGTTGAACACCGAGTATATAAATTCAATCTCAAACTCAATAATAATTTGAAACTTGAAATAAAAGAGAATTACAACAATAATCAAAACAAAACCTCAGCTTAAGTCAAAATATAATCAAAATCATTGTCTGTTTATCTTTGGTTTCTATAACAGCACATACTGATATAACTTCCCAAAAGGGCTGGAATACTCAAAGGTTCTGTACAGAAAATGCTCCACAACCTTATTCCTTCCAAAAACCTCCAAAAGTTTTGGTGCACTCCATCACTTAAATTTTGAATTTTTACTCAAACTTTCATTTATTGCCCTCTCTCCCTCATTTCAATGTTGGTTGATGTAACAAAATGGTCAATAATTTTAGGAAACATTGTTTGGTTGAAAGGGGGAGTTTGCAAGTAACTAATTGGAGGTGAATTACAAGATTTCTGTTTATTATGATGAGTGCAGGTTTGTCAACCTAGTAAGGGGAGGCATGCCAACTTAGTTTTGTTATAGCTTGTAGGATACTGCAGTTCTCTTCTTCCCTAATATGTTGTATTATGACAAAAGGAAAAAAGAAAGACTAATTATGGTAAGGAGCTTAATAAACAAGTAACTTCTATAAATACTTCAGATTCAATTCTACACATCATCATCATGGGTTTGCATATCTTAAATGATTAAAAAAATTAACTATCTGTGGAGGCTTCGTATATAACATCCAACAAAATTTTGGATTTTCTATTTTGTTGTCAAGAATGTGGGCATAGGCTGGCTGATGCCTACCAGCAACAAAGAAGTTGCAATCAACCTGATGTACAAACAGCACAATTTACCCTTTATCTTTCACTCAACAAATCACAGATGAAATCAATGAGTAACTGTTAACTTTTATTAAAAGTCAAACAAAGAGAGCCTTTACTTTAAGATCAGATGTACAGATACATGTACAGGCTTTTAAAAATCCATTAAAAAATTGGAAATTAATTTATCTGCACAAATGCCATGTGAGACCAATTAAAAAAGAATATCTGCAGCCTGTGTGGGGCTGGAAAAGTTAGTTTTGGCTTCCAGCCCAAGATCTGAGAAGGAATTCACTCTCCTGGCTAACCACAAATTTCTTTATAAATTAGTTAGAAGAATTATTTGGTATCATATCAAGATAATATCCTCCTAAACACCTACTTTGTATTTGCTGGACCAAGTTATGAAGAGGGAACACTAAGAGTTAACATATATCAAAATGTGCAACCTGTATCCAGTGGCACCTCAGCCTGTGTATAATCCACACCCTCCTCTACCATCAATGCAATCAGTTGATTTATTTTGACATTCTTGCTTCCAGCTGGAATGATAATCTTTGCCAAGATACCTTCCTCGTCACTGTCCATGGCAATGGTGGCTTTGTCAGTTTCTATCTCACAGAGAACATCTCCTGGAGAGATAGGATCACCTTCATTCTTCATCCATTTTATGATGGTTCCTTCCTCCATAGTGGGTGACAGTGCTGGCATGAGTATTTGAGTTGTGGGAACACCTATGAGGTAAACAAAGAAACAGGTTAAGTCAAAGAAAAAAAGTGGGAGAGTATAACAGGGCAATTTAGTATCATCATCTGAGCTGATAATGTAAATTGGCCTCTGTAAACAGTTTCAAAGCTGACATTTCGAGCATTAGCCCTTCATCACAGTGAAACATCATTTAAGCAGACACATGAAAAGAAATGGTATAAACTGAAACACAACTTATATAAGTTCAATTTGACAACTAAGAGTGAGTAGTGTCTTATTTCTCCTTACACACATTAAGGTTGAGGTAATAAAGGAAATGATTGCAATATATGGAGGACCTTGACTGTTAAATAAATTCTCCTTATCAGCACATTAAGAAATGTATAGAGAACAGTAAAGAGAATATGTATACTGATGTAAGGGTGTAAAGGGTTAAAAGTAGTAGATACAAAATAATATGAAATTTTGTGTGGGAATCAAGGCTTGCTCACATTCTAAAGCAATTCATGGGCACTAATTTCCCATCAGACATGGTTTTATTTGACAATCTACACCCTTAACACCTTGAATACAACATCACTTTATGCATGCATTGATTGTTCCATGCCAGAACACTTCCTGCTACATTCTTCACATCTACTTTAGTTGTAGTGAAATATCAACGCACTTGATAAATAATCAAACATATGATACAACAAAGAGGTCAATTTTGAGCATAGAAACCCTTAATGACCGCGGAAATTATTTACAACAAAATAACCCCCCCCTCCCACCCAATAGTTGATATAAAATAAAAGCTCCAAGTAGATACTTCTGGGGAGATTAAAGTTATCATCAAGCAGCCAAAGCTTATTTGATTTCCAAGTGATTTAAGCAGCTCCCGTTCCAAGACGTTCGACTTTGAAATACACTCGACTATGACTGAGTCCACGCCTGCTCACGGGTTTTCCACAGGATCCAAAAATTATTAGGTTTTCCTTAACTTTTGATTTCGTACGCGCACATTCATCCAAAAGTTGGATATACCTCGAAATATGAATATTCAATCCGTCTTTACTTAATTGAATACCACACTTAAAGGGAAGGCCATCTGTACAGCAAAGCCCGATTTTAGATTGGCGCACCGGGCCACAGCTGAGCTCAGAGAGGGCGGATCTTATGCTTCTCTTTACCTTGAAGAGGAATCGATGTCCTAATTGTCCTTTTAAAAACTTTAGTACCTATTCCCTTCGTCCCTGTAGACTTTGCAGTTGTTATTGCAGTGCTCCTCAAGAGACACCTTGCTGAATGAAGTCCTCTCAGCCCAGCTAACCTTCCTTGAGAGGCCGCCATGTTACTTCCATCGAAGCCCGAATGGACTAATGGGAAAACAAAACTGTAAGATAGGTGGGAGGGGAGAGTGGGGGAGTTTTAATTACGTCCTCAAATCGAGAGGAAAAAGAGGTATATACGCAAAAAAAAGAGACAATCATTTCAGAATAGAGAAGGTGCCAGAAAAGAGATGGTCAAAGGAACTTCTAGACTTTGTTTGACTTGACTTTAGACAAATTTATTTCAATAGGCAAAAGGAAAAAATTCGATTTTTCGTCAAAGTAAAACCGTGAAGAGAAATTTACAGCTTCAAATATGAAAAAAAGGTCTCACCTCCGGTGGGACTCGAACCCACAACCTTTGAATTAGAAGTCCAATGCGCTAGTCCATTGCGCCACGGAGGTCGAGCTGCGCGTGCGAAGGAAAATTTATAATATTTAAATCTTGATACCTAACATGATACTCGCTTTAGTCTTTCTCGCCATCTAAAGTACGCCTTGTTGAAATTGTAACTTATAGCTGCCAGTTATCCTTTAAGTTAGATCTTTCCAACATAGTTTACTGGACTACTTTTGATAGATTAAGACATTTTATTGATTGCTGTTGTTAGATAAGGACAGATCTGTTCGAATTTTTCAGGCTGAAAGCGGATAAAATGAAACGGTTTCTGTCAAAATGGCATTCTGTGAGACCAAACTTCTTAGATACACTTCGAGAAAATGGTGTAAACACAGGTTGGTCTCCCTGTCCATGAATTTGATCAAAACAAGTAGCAGTCATGCAGTGTCGACTTCAAATCAGGTCCACGGGAAGAAAGAATTTAAACCTGTTGTTTTTACCTGTTGATCACCCTGTTTTCCTTGTTTCGAAACACTAATTGTCCTATCACCAAAGAAATTTTTATTTCTTCAATTTCAATGGCTGGAGATTGTTTTTCCAAATTTTTTAAGGCTGCTCAAATGTTTGTTTGTCAAGAAAGCTGTTTAAATTTAAGAGAAAACTGTTGTGGCCTATAACTTTTACTCTGACAATTTTTATTAAAAGAAATAGGAAATCTCCAACTAGGAGTAATCACACCAGACACATAATTTCTGATCTAATCAGCTGTGGATGGAATTCCAATATAAACTAGTTCAACTTACTAAAAACAACTGTTTTACCCACTTTTTTCCAGTGGCTGAATTTATGTGTTGTGACATTGAGAGACTAGCTCAGAGAGTCTCAGTTTCAACAGAGGTAAGCCATTGTTTATTTCTAGAATGGATTCAGTCAAATTTGTACCAGGGAGCAACTGAACCAGTTGAACACAAATCTCCTTGATTTATTTTTGTGCCTGTCCTTGCAGATATGCATCTGATTGGTAAGAAAATAATTCAGTGATCTGCTGTGTCGAAGTACATGTGACTCAAAATCTTTTCTTGTTAATTTTGAGCTGTTATATCTCTTTAAAGCTGTTACAAGATTGAAATATACAACTGTACAAAAGATGTCTTGATAGTACCCTTCTGCTTTTGCAATGCATGCTTGTTTGGATTGAATTTGTTTCTGGCCTTCATGCAGCTGTTATTGCAATCATTTTTTAAATATCTGTGTTTTTGTGTGTAGGATCTGTCATCCCTTCAAGCCACAATCACCACTCAAACAGCTGCATTCACAATGAATGGCAGTGATTTATATGAGGAAATGATGTCAAGATTTCACATCCTTTCAACTGGTAATCAGCCTAAATATGGTTTTCTTGTAAATATAATAATTTCTTGTAGTTCCTTTAGGCACGTCAAAGGCAAAGTTTCATAACTTTTTTACATTATATTACCTATAACTATTATTTTTCCTTAGCGTACCATGTTGGTACAGTGAAAATTATGTTGAGTGTCTAATTTGTTACTTTACTATTTATAATTTGAACATAAAGTAAGCTAATTACTTATCATCCATTTTTCTTGCTTCATCTTTCCACAGGTTTTGATAAGTAAGTATATCTCTATTTTTAAAAAATATTGGTTTATTGACACAAATAAAGAAGAAAAAGAGAGAGGACCATGTATTTATGAACAAAAATAAGTAAGCAAGTCAAACAATATGCACATTTTTTGTGAAAATATGATTTAGTAAGAAATTTTCACCTCAGGTAGTTATACAGAGATCTGTCATCCAGGTAAGTACAAAGTCTATTATGTCTAGTTACTTGGTTACAATCACATTAATTGTTGTTCTATTTCAGTTTAGATGAGCTCCTTGATGGAGGTCTGTACACAGGAGAACTGACAGAAATTGTTGGAGCTGCTGGTGTTGGCAAGTCTCAGGTAATGTTCAACACAGAACCTGATACCTGTCCTTAAACAGAAAAGGGTGTTGTTCACATTTACAATTATACAGTCATATAGCTGTCAAAAAAAATTCAAATTATGATAATTATTGTATTGAAGAGGAATATTACATCTATCTGAGTTAAAGTCACAGCAGGATCCATGGTAAGTTTGTGACCTGCACTTTGTCATGAAGTATTTTTTGATTTACAGATTAGTACAAATTAAACAATCTGACATGTCCAAAGTTGTAAGCAAAACGCCATGATAATTGTGAATAAAATTCCCTGAAAAACCCTGTCAGCTGATCAACAGATAACTGTTGGCCAGCATGGGTGAAAGTGACTGAAGTCGTCAGAGTAAATTCAATAATTGAAAGCACAATTTATATGAAGAGCAGTCAAAGTGTTTAGTATTTTAGATGTTAATTCATGGGTATTTATTGCTATAAAATGCTATTAAAACTTAGGCCAACTGATAACCTGTTGGTAGCCCTGTCAGGCACAGCCTGCCAAAAACCTAGGTTTCTGATCCTTTTTATTAACCTGAAGACAGGAATTATTCGCTGAAGTGCAGGAAGTATTTGAGGCAGGAGAACATGGTATGGGAACTAAGTGGCTGTGACCCCCTGTTTCCCCACCACCACCACCCCCCCCCCCCCATTAATTCTGAAAGAGCTATGTCATACTAATTTTTTTAATTCAATGGCAGCCTTAATGTCTTAACCTGTGTAGTTATTGTTTTTGCCAGATTTGTATGAGCATTGCCCTGTTTACAGCCATGGAAACAAAGAAGAATGTTCTGTATATTGATACAGGAGGATCATTCAGTGCCACAAGGGTTAAAGACATGTTAGAACTGAGGCATAATTCCCTAACAAGTGAGGACCTCAATAATGTACTGTCCAGAATATCAGTGATTCAAGCATATGATGTATTCTCAGTAATTGAAGCTCTTGAAAGAGTGAGAGACAGGATATGTAAACAGGTAATTACATTGTTCCTATTTGAATGCATTTGTGCCAGGTATCTTACTTATTGTGTAGCCTTATTACCAAAGTGAGAGTAAATGACTGTAACTGAAATTTGGACAAATTGAGCAGAAGTTGCCATCGGAGTTTGTGAAGAATTGTTTGTCAGTCAAGCACTCTAAGTTTAGTTCTTAAAAAGAATTTGTTTGCTTTCATAAACTTGTTGCGAGTCGTGGAAGAAAAGTCACAATCAAGGTGGTAATTTTCTAATTAAAAAAGAAACTGTAGTGCTGCATCAATGGGTGCATAACAATAACATTTGTTTTCATTGACTGCAGAGTTGATAAATAAATAAAAATTGGCCCAGACCATCAAGAGTTAATAAAGCTGACATTTTAAGTATTAGCCCTTTCTCAGAGCACATGACAAAAGGCTAACACTCAAAACATGTGCTTTAAAAGCTCTTTTCATCAACAAATTTACATTTTCAACCTAGCTGATCCAATAAAATTATCATCATGAACAAAAGTTAGTTTTGCTGTTATGCTACTGCCTGGAAAAGTTATGCTTCAGTCCAACCTGATTGATCAGTTTTAATTCATGGGTAACACCTCCCCATTTAAATGTGTACTTCACCATTTTAATGTGTACTTGAAATTTTAGGTATCTTAGTTCCTGAATGAACCAATCAGATCTCAAATACATTTTTAATTAGTTCTTTGGGATATAAGTTACTGTGTCCACCAATCAGATTTGGTTTGTAATGTGAAACTTACTCTTCAGCAACTTAGTTCCTCAACAAACCAATGACATGGAAGAATATAGGTCAGGTCATTTCTAAATTAAGGTTTGCCTGTTTTATTTCTGTCAACAACAAATAAAACAGACAACAATAGATGGGGCATTTCTGCTTTAAGAGCAGTAATGTTTCACCATAAATTGGATGCTATCTGTACTAAATTATTCTTCTTCGAGGTTGTATTATTTTTATTAGCGCTAGACGCGTAGAAGCTTTTTGTAAAGTTTTGTCACTGTTGTAATTTTGTGGTTAAAAAAATCAGTTACATTCAGTTTATTTCACCTTAGAAATATATCGAATACTCTGTGGTTAACACAGCAATGGAAACGCAACCGATTGCTTACAATTCCACAGAAATCGTTGACAGAAATCGTTGACAGAAATTGCCACTACGGTTTTGCCGCGCATTTTATCAGCGCCCGAATACTAAGAAAGCGATCAAATGACCATTAGCCTTTGTAAAGACTGTGAATTCATTTCCGGTGAACGTGCAAATAATCGTGTCCGCGTGATAAAAAAGAAAAAAATATCGCAACCTCTTTATGCTCGTAAACGTTCTTAAAAGCAAGAAAATTTGACAAGCTTTCCTGTCAAGAATTTGATAATGACATTACAGTAATCGTGACACCGTAACACTTATTAGAAGGCAAGCAAGGACTTGACCTGTAGACGCACGAGAAACTTATCATCTTACTTTTCCGCCCTGTTTTGCTACAGGCAACGATTGCGTTACAATTTTGGATTTTTGCACTGAATGTATGCTAAGTTTAAGGCAATCATGCTACTGAATTTAACCCAACTTATTACTACTGTATTTACGAGGAGAATTAATCAAATCTGTTTAACAAATTCCACATACAAATGCTATCATAATAAAAAATTATCTTATGTGTTATAACAATCCAATGAAAGTAACTTACCGGACTTGAACGTCTTTTAAATCGCGAAATTTGCCATTCTCCATTCAGTTTCCATGCTGAGAAATTCAACTTTTCCAAATTCTAAGAAGAAATTACATTGTTACGAATGTAGTTTTCGCTTCCATCTCGCATACGATGTCTCAACTCGAATTTACTCATTTCGCGCCATAATGTAATTTTGGCGGGGAATAGACAAATAAATGCTGTTTGTCTCTGTGTTGTGTAAAAGTTCATTCCCAACAGATCAAGCCTTGTTTTGAAATACTTAGAACGCATTCAACGTTCAAGCAAGCGATCTAATGAAATTGATTTGACAGAAGAGAACATGGCTCGTTAGCCGACGCACTAGAGTACGATCTTGGAGGAGTTATCGATCGAACGCGATTTATTTCACGGGAATTCCTATTGTGACCACAGCTGTATTGTTTTCCTAAACCGCTAGCTGATTGGCCAAACCAGTAGCTAATTTCGTGGCTACACGAGCCACAAACTACCACGAAGAATATTGATCAGCCAAACACCATGAAGTTTATTTCAACATAGTATTACACGAGCCTAGTACAGCACCTTTTGTCATGCAACAGGATATCCGTAGTTAATCGAGCCCACCGTGCCTTCTTGAGTTTTTAATTTTAGATTAGTGCAAATGAAAGCGTATTCCTTTCTTGAGTAGTAAGCTTTTTAAAAACTTCGAGGAAAATGAGACCTATTAAATCGAGAACTCGTTGTAGTATAATTCAAGTTGTTGCTAATGTTTAGCTGGCAACTTTCTGTTGATTCGCATTTCGTTCATCCTTGAAAATGTCATCTACTTCTTAGCGCCTAAATAATACAACACTCAGTTGTCCTCTTTCGCAATGCTTTTCATACCTTTCGTGTCTGCATGTAGTCGCTGATACGATGCGTACTAGGCTCAGCGAAATGTCAACATTTTCAAGATATCTTAACAACCGTCTAAAGAATCCTTGTTACTGTATATGTTATCAGTATGAAACTTTGCTTCCGAGTCGCGGATCGTCTTCGAACAGCTTGAAGCTTACAGCGTTTGAGTCGGTGACTCGTTATATTATAAATAATGTCACATTATACTCGATCGTCCTCTTTCGAATATGTGGTCGATAAAATAGGTTGCATTAAGTTGACTGAAAAGCCATCTTCTTCAACACGTCTGAACAAACTTCAAAGGACTCAGTTTAATTCTTTGTTTTATCAGTACAAGATGTTGCCTTTTGGGTTGATGACCGTCTTCAAACAGCTCGAAGCGTGCCGAGTTTGAGTTAGTTAAAAATTATACATCGATAATATCATATTGTTCTCAATTGCCCTCGAAGTTTACTCGGGCGGAGTTAGTGAAGCGTGACCATGACAGTCATATAACAGTTAGTTGTCCACTTTCGCAACGCATCTTCTGTGGTCACGAAAAAAATCTGCTCAGCGAAATTTCAACATTTTCAAGATGTCTTTACAACTGTCTAAAGAATCCTCTTTAATCTTCATTTTGATAGTGTGCCTCTTTGCTTCTGAGTAGAAGATTGCCTTCAAACAGCTCAAAGCTTACAGTGTTTGAGTTAGTGAATCATTACATCATTAGTAATGTCACATTACAATCCGATTGTCCTCTTTCGGGTCTGTGGTCAATAAAATGGTTTGCATTTAGCTGATCGAAATGATTCAGTCTATTTCTATATTTCACAAGTCGGCAATGTTGCCTCCAGGTTAATAATCGTCTTCAAACAGCTCGAAGCGTACAGGGTTTGAGTCAGATGATAATTATACATCGATAATGTCATGCTGTTCTCATTTGTCCTCTTTTTTGCAATGCTTTGCGAATCTGTGGTCGATACAAAAATTTCCATTAAGGTTATCGAAACGCAACATACTTTAAGATCTCTTAACAAACGTCGAATGATTCAGTTTGATTCTTCATTTCAACAATGGGCAATGTTGCCTCTTATTGCCGGTGTCACAGCGGATTTGGACCCCCCCGCGGATTTGTACCCCCGGTCCATATCTGCTAGCGGATTTGGACCCCCCCGGTCCAAATCCGCTAGCGGATATGGACCCCCCTTCGCAGATTTGGACCCCCCTACCAAACTTTCCTTTTAAGCATCCTTTGTATCATATTTGGTAACTAATTCTATTTGCAAGCTTTTTGTCGATGTTCTTTTCAATCGCAACACAACATTCCTCAATAAAGGTAAAAAAAAAAACAGTCATTTCGTTCCAATTCTACCGCATTATTTTAGCGAGTCGTACAGTAAACGTAAGAATCAGATGTGAACAAACTACTGCATTCGAACTATTGAAATTGTTACGATAAATCCTTGCTTCTTCTGATGCGAATCAACATTGATACGAAACGTCATAACAATAGTGGAGACTATTGCGTCCAGTCAGAAAAATAACTCAGTCTGATTTTCTAAAATAATAACAATAAACAGTTTCTGAACAAGAACGAAGAAACTACTCCTACTACAAGTCGTTCGTAAAGCCTATGATAAGTAAAAATGTTTCTATTCTGAACTATTGGAACTCTCAGCTTATTTTCAGATGCAAATCAACATTAATCAACATTAATGTCAACGTCTTAACAAAAATGGAGACTATTACATCGAACTCAATCTTATTTTCTAATTTTAATGATTATTAACTGTTGAGGGATCCAAAATAACACCTTAACAATTACGAAGACGTCAGAGTCTGGCGATCTGCAGACAATGCAGAGTCACTCGCCCTCCGGGGTAGTCTTAAACATGTGAAACCATTCCTCGCACAACTCGCACAGAACCATGTCGTCCCAACACTCGGGCATTGAATAATGACAAAATAAATTAGTGTCACAAGTTTGTCTCCTATTGAATCTAGTGGTGTTCGACTATCGCGGAAAAGGTTCAAAAACGACCTCTCTCCAGACATCAAATTAACTCTTGTGCATTTTCCCTTGGTCAAAAGAAACATCCGACGGGATGCCAGTTCGTATGCATTAACGATACGCATGTTTTGAATGAAAAACATACTTTAGTACGCACTGGAACGTAAAGTATCATCCATTTTACTAGAACGTTGAGGACGATGTTTTCACTCAGTTTTGTTGGGGGTCCAAATCCGCGGAGGGGGTCCAAATCTGCTAGCGTATTTGGACCGGGGGGGTCCATATCCGCTAGCGGATTTGGACCGGGGGGTCCGTATCTGCTAGCGGATTTGGACCGGGGGGTCCAAATCTAGGGGGGTCCAAATCCGCTGGGACACCGGTCCTCTCAAGGAGCTCGAAGCCGTTACATGGCTTGAGTTAATAAATCACAACATCCTCGCTAATTTCATATTACACTCAGTTGTCCTCTTTCTCAACGCTTTACGAAGCTTTGTCGATTAAATAATTGGCATTTAGTTCATCAAAATATAACGCACGTCACAAACGTCCTAAGTATCATCTAACTCTTCCGTTGGTATACACTTTTCCAACTGAGTTACGGGTCGCTCTTTAGGAGTTCGAACCATCTTCCTTCATTTTACTGGATTTTTTGTTGTCAAAAGAGACTTTGGACCGAGCTTGCCTGCCCCATTTTTACGGTCCGAAGGGTTTTTGTCTAGTTTTGTGTTCATTTGTTTTTGTGTGTGTGTGTGTGTGTGGGGATGTATTTGATTGTTTGCTTTTTCAAATAAAACGAGCAAGTTCTTTAAGAAACTGTGGTGCTGGGGTGGGGTGGGGGGGTTTAATAAGAAAGTTTGATTTTATCAACTGAGTTGATAATGTAACTACTTGGTTACCGTTTCTAAGACTATTTTCTAAAGCTGACGTCTCGAGGTGAAGCCGTTCGTCAGTCTTCATGGTCGTCAAGGATTTTTTCCACCCCAGTTATGTCCGAAAAAAAAAAATCTTTTGACGGGGTATTTAAGCAAAATGGGTAAAAGTTTCCCATGCGAGCGAATCACCATTTCGCCAAAGTGTATCTTTAGTGTGAGGTACTTAACCAGGGTAATTCATTTTGCTGTCGTTCGTTTCGAATGCGTAAGCCGCACAACAAGGAGTCATTTTTGGAGATATGGAAATTTTCCCATACGGATGGGTTGTTTCTCTTTTAAGATGACGTCTTAAAGTTTGCGAAACAACTCTTTCTTTAGTTCGTTGCTGTTTTTGGCAAAAGACAGATACCAGTTGTTTGAGGGAGATTACGCCGTTCCTCATGATTTATGCGCACCTTTATGGTCGATGACGTGTATTCTCATTATTAAACTACTGAAGCCTACCACTGACGCTTATGGTACAGGCTGTAAAGTCAGTTAATTCACTACCAGGTGATCATTCGAGTTTTTCGAAGGTGCGGAAGCCTATTTGAATATCCATTTAGTTGTACCGATTTACCTTTCTGTAAGATCATGTCTAATTAAGAAATTTTACGTTCCATTTTTGGCATCTACGGGTACTGCAACACCATCTGAAAGTCTGCCACGCCATCAAGTCCCACAGTTCTGGCCTTTGGTAGATGTTGTCGGGGTGTAATGTACATTCGGCCCTAACATCTTCAATTGCAACTTCTGCAATAAGGGTCTAAAAGTGAAGAGTCCGTGAGGCCTGCGCGATATCATGATGGGTTAGGGTTAGGGTGATAAGCTTAGGGATAGGGTTAGGGTGATATGGTTAGGATTAGGATCATGATACCACGATGTTCGCTTTTGCTTTTTTGTAAAATGTGTGCGATGTTGTAAGATCCACTTCTAGTTTCATTTTTTTTTTTAAGATAGAAACTTTAACGAATCTAACCTATCGTGTAGGTGACTTATCCGCTCTCCGTAGGAAATGGCGGCTCGGAATGTAGAACGTAGGCCTACGGGCCTATCGGCTGGCCTCTCCGCTGGCCACAAAGGGAATCAAATACAGCTGATTCTTGTTCACGTGGGGAATAAAAAGTAACAGAAACCGAGTTTCTTGTGCAAAAAGCGCATTGTAGAGTGAGCCAAATATATAGCAAGTCTCAAGGGGTGGATAAAGAAAGTAAAGAAATTAGTATGTTAATCAGTTGGGGTATGACATCATGGTATAGACAAAACTGTCTTTGGCCCGACATGATTAAGATACTAATTTCTTTCAAAGAACAAGAATCAGCTGTATTTGATTCCCTTCATGGCTAGTGGCACAGCCAGCCGAAAGGCCCGTAGGCCTACGTTCTACATTCCGAGCCGCCGTTTTCTACGGGGATCAGATAAGTCACCTACGCGATAGATTGGGTTCGTTAAAATTGCTATCCTAAAAATAATGAAACTAGAAGTGGATCTTACAACATCGCACACATTTCACAAAACAACAAAAGCAAACATCATGGAATTATGATCCTAATCCTAACCATATCACCCTAACCCTATCCCTAAGCTTATCACCCTAACCCTAACCATATCACTTTAAACCTAACCCATCATGATATCGCGTAGGCCTCACGGACTCTTCACTTTTAGACCCTTATTGCAGAAGTTACAATTGAAGATGTTAGGGCCGAATGTACATTACACCCCGACAACATCTACCAAAGGCCAGAACTGTGGGACTTGATGGCGTGGCAGACTTTCAGATGGTGTTGCAGTACCCGTAGATGCCAAAAATGGAACGTAAAATTTAGACATGATCTTACAGAAAGGTAAATCGGTACAACTAAATGGATATTCAAATAGGCTTCCGCACCTTCGAAAAACTCGAATGATCACCTGGTAGTGAATTAACTGACTTTACAGCCTGTACCATAAGCGTCAGTGGTAGGCTTCAGTAGTTTAATAATGAGAATACACGTCATCGACCATAAAGGTGCGCATAAATCATGAGGAACGGCGTAATCTCCCTCAAACAACTGGTATCTGTCTTTTGCCAAAAACGGCAACGAACTAAAGAAAGAGTTGTTTCGCAAACTTTAAGACGTCATCTTAGAAGAGAAACAACCCATCCGTATGGGAAAATTTCCATATCTCCAAAAATGACTCCTTGTTATGCGGCTTACGCATTCGAAACGAACGGCAGCAAAATAAATTACCCTTGTTACGTACCTCACACTAGAGATACGCTTTGGCGAAATGGTAATACGCTCGCATGGGAAGCCTTTGCCCATTTTGCTTAAATACCCCGTCAAAAGATTTTTTTGCTGATATAACTGGGGTGGAAAAAAATCCTTGGACGACCATGAAGACTGACGAACGGCTTCACCTCGAGACGTCAGCTTTAGAAAATAGTCTTAGAAACGGCAACCAAGTAGTTACATTATCAACTCAGTTGATAAAATCAAACTTTCTTATTAAACTCCCCCCTACCCCACCCCAGCACCACAGTTTCTTAAAGAACTTGCTCGTTTTATTTGAAAAAGCAAACAATCAAATACATCCCCACACACACACACACACACACACACACACACACACACACACACACACAAAAACAAATGAACACAAAACTAGACAAAAACCCTTCGGACCGTAAAAATGGGGCAGGCAAACTCGGACCAAAGTCTCTTTCTGACAACAAAAATCCAGTAAAATGAAGGAAGATGGTTCGAACTCCTAAAGAGCGACCCGTAACTCAGTTGGAAAAGTGTATACCAACGGAAGAGTTAGATGATACTTAGGACGTTTGTGACGTGCGTTATATTTTGATGAACTAAATGCCAATTATTTAATCGACAAAGCTTCGTAAAGCGTTGAGAAAGAGGACAACTGAGTGTAATATGAAATTAGCGAGGATGTTGCGATTTATTAACTCAAGCCATGTAACGGCTTCGAGCTCCTTGAGAGGACCGGCAATAAGAGGCAACATTGCCCATTGTTGAAACGAAGAATCAAACTGAATCATTCGACGTTTGTTAAGAGATCTTAAAGTATGTTGCGTTTCGATAACCTTAATGGAAATTTTTGTATCGACCACAGATTCGCAAAAGCATTGCAAAAAGAGGACAAATGAGAACAGCATGACATTATCGATGTATAATCATCATCTGACTCAAACCCTGTACGCTTCGAGCTGTTTGAAGACGATTATTAACCTGGAGGCAACATTGCCGACTTGTGAAATATAGAAATAGACTGAATCATTTCGATCAGCTAAATGCAAACCATTTTATTGACCACAGACCCGAAAGAGGACAATCGGATTGTAATGTGACATTACTAATGATGTAATGATTCACTAACTCAAACACTGTAAGCTTTGAGCTGTTTGAAGGCAATCTTCTACTCAGAAGCAAAGAGGCACACTATCAAAATGAAGATTAAAAAGGATTCTTTAGACAGTTGTAAAGATATCTTGAAAATGTTGAAATTTCGCTGAGCAGATTTTTTTCGTGACCACAGAAGATGCGTTGCGAAAGTGGACAACTAACTGTTATATGACTGTCTTAGTCACGCTTCACCAACTCAGCCCGAGTAAACTTCGAGGGCAATTGAGAACAGTATGATATTATCGATGAATAATTTTTAACTAACTCAAACCCGGCACGCTTCGAGCTGTTTGAAGACGGTCATCAACCCAAATGGCAACATCTTGTACTGATAAAACAAAGAATTAAACTGAGTCCTTTGAAGTTTGTTCAGACGTGTTGAAGAAAATGGCATTTCAGTCAACTTAATGCAACCTATTTTATCGACCACATATTCGAAAGAGGACGATCGAGTATAATGTGACATTATTTATAATATAACGAGTCACCGACTCAAACGCTGTAAGCTTCAAGCTGTTCGAAGACGATCAGCGACTCGGAAGCAAAGTTTCATACTGATAACATATACAGTAACAAGGATTCTTTAGACGGTTGTTAAGATATCTTGAAAATGTTGACATTTCGCTGAGCCTAGTACGCATTGTATCAGCGACTACATGCAGACACGAAAGGTATGAAAAGCATTGCGAAAGAGGACAACTGAGTGTTGTATTATTTAGGCGCTAAGAAGTAGATGACATTTTCAAGGATGAACGAAATGCGAATCAACAGAAAGTTGCCAGCTAAACATTAGCAACAACTTGAATTATACTACAACGAGTTCTCGATTTAATAGGTCTCATTTTCCTCGAAGTTTTTAAAAAGCTTACTACTCAAGAAAGGAATACGCTTTCATTTGCACTAATATAAAATTAAAACTCAAGAAGGCACGGTGGGCTCGATTAACTACGGATATCCTGTTGCATGACAAAAGGTGCTGTACTAGGCTCGTGTAATACTATGTTGAAATAAACTTCATGGTGTTTGGCTGATCAATATTCTTCGTGGTAGTTTGTGGCTCGCGTAGCCACGAAATTAGCTACTGGTTTGGCCAATCAGCTAGCGGTTTAGGAAAACAATACAGCTGTGGTCACAATAGGAATTCCCGTGAAATAAATCGCGTTCGATCGATAACTCCTACAAGATCGTACTCTGGTGCGTCGGCTAACGAGCCATGTTCTCTTCTGTCAAATCAATTTCATTAGATCGCTTGCTTGAACGTTGAATGCGTTCTAAGTATTTCAAAACAAGGCTTGATCTGTTGGGAATGAACTTTTACACAACACAGAGACAAACAGCATTTATTTGTCTATTCCCCGCCAAAATTACATTATGGCGCGAAATGAGTAAATTCCGAGTTGAGACATCGTATGCGAGATGGAAGCGAAAACTACATTCGTAACAATGTAATTTCTTCTTAGAATTTGGAAAAGTTGAATTTCTCAGCATGGAAACTGAATGGAGAATGGCAAATTTCGCGATTTAAAAGACGTTCAAGTCCGGTAAGTTACTTTCATTGGATTGTTATAACACATAAGATAATTTTTATTATGATAGCATTTGTATGTGGAATTTGTTAAACAGATTTGATTAATTCTCCTCGTAAATACAGCAGTAATTAGTTGGGTTAAATTCAGTAGCATTATTTGCTTCAACTTAGCATACATTCAGTGCAAAAATCCAAAATTGTAACGCAATCGTTGCCTGTAGCAAAACAGGGCGGAAAAGTAAGATGATAAGTTTCTCGTGCGTCTACAGGTCAAGTCCTTGCTTGCCTTCTAATAAGTGTTACGGTGTCAACTGTAATGTCATTATCAAATTCTTGACAGGAAAGCTTGTCAAATCTTCTTGCTTTTAAGAACGTTTACGAGCATAAAAAGGTTGCGATATTTTTTTCTTTTTTATCACGCGGACACGATTATTTGCACGTTCACCGGAAATGAATTCACAGTCTTTACAAAGGATAATGGTCATTTGATCGCTTTCTTAGTATTCGGGCGCTGATAAAATGCGCGGCAAAACCGTAGTGGCAATTTGTGTCAACGATTTCTGTCAACGATTTCTGTGGAATTGTAAGCAATCAGTTGCGTTTCCATTGCTGTGTTAACTACAGAGTATTCGATATATTTCTAAGGTGAAATAAACTGAATGTAACTGATTTTTTTAACCGCAAAATTACAACAGTGACAAAACTTTACAAAAAGCTTCTACGCGTCTGGCGCTAATAAAAATAATACAACCTCGAAGAAGAATAATTTAGTACAGATAGCATCCAATTTATGGTGAAACATTACTGCTCTTAAAGCAGAAATGCCCCATCTATTTTTGTCTGTTTTATTTGTCGTTGACAGAAATAAAACAGGCAAACCTTAATTTAGAAATGACCTGACCTATATTCTTTCATGTCATTGGTTTGTTGAGGAACTAAGTTGCTGAAGAGTAAGTTTCACATTACAAACCAAATCTGATTGGTGGACACAGTAACTTATATCCCAAAGAACTAATTAAAAATGTATTTGAGATCTGATTGGTTCATTCAGGAACTAAGATACCTAAAATTTCAAGTACACATTAAAATGGTGAAGTACACATTTAAATGGGGAGGTGTTGGGTAAATTTTTGTCTGTCTGTTCAGTTTGTTGGTTATGTTCATGTAAGTTATAGGTTGATTGTATGGAACTGGTGAATGGATCAGTTTTAATCCAAGAGTAAAGTTTGATTCTTATGTTCAGTTTAACTGAGTAAATATATGAAAATCATATAGTTATGTGAATTGTGGATAAGGAAGTGAATATGAAAGCAATCTTTGCTGTAATGATCACCACTTGAGCAGTAGTGAAAATTATATCAACAGTCATTTAATCATCACTTCATGGGTTTATTTGCCACCAACATAATGACCAGCTCAATTGGTAATATCCTGTGCTGACTGTACCTCATAGGATGATGATAATGATGATAACATGCATTATCTTCAAATGATAATTGTGGATTGCATAGCAGGAGTCATTTCTCCAATACTTGGAGGCCAGCAAATTCAAGGTATGTAGATTTTAGAAAACTGAATTAATATCAGTGCTAATCCATTTTAATTTTTCTTTTAAAACTACATTTCAGTCTTACCAAGTGAATAACTTACTTCCTAGATTCAATAGTCCATTTTACAGTTGCATTTGGTTACCAAGCCTTTAAACAGTAGCAAGGCTAAGGTTGACCTAGTTGTGATACAAACCTTGCTGCTCTTCAAATGTAAATTACTTTCATTGTTATCATGCTAACTAGATTCTGACTTCCATCACAACATGGTCAACTTCAGCCTCACTCCTAATCAAAGGCTTGGCAACTAAGTACACAACTGTAAATTGGCCTGTTGCATTTCCCCTAATTTTCATTTTGTTGTGAATTATTCAAAATTGGTGTTTTATCAACATGACACACTCCCACTAGTAAGTGCAATTTTGGTCTCATCTTCTGTAGCTATATGATACCATAGAATCCCTAAGAAACGCACAGTTTTATCACTGCTGAGAGTTTACCCTTTAACTCCTTCATGACTGACCAAGAAATAATTTTTCCTTATTACATCAATACAATATCAAGCAGGCAAGTGATGAGAATAGAGAAAAATATCAATGAGGGGATTGTAACTTGATCCAATTCCAAATTCTCCAAACTACACATTGCAACATCATAGGGGTAGAATGGCAAGGAGTAAGGAGAATTACTTGTGAGATTTTAGGATTAAAAGGGTTAACTCTTTAACCCCTCAAAGTGACTAGCATCTAATTTCTCCTTTCAGTATCTCCCCTGAATCAAACATTGGATTCATGAGAATAATGGAGATGATCAATAACTACAAAAGCTCTGGATTGTTAAGCTAATTCTCTTTTTCCGCACCTTAGGAAATGTAGAGAGAACAGTATGGAGAATATGCATACTGATGTTGGGGTGTAAAGGGTTAAGGTTTTCATTATTGGAATACTGCATTTTGTGAAATTAGGGAAAAAATCTACGAATCTTTAGCATCTTGAATGTACCATTAAATGTCTGTGATAAACAATGTGATTGACGAGTTATTAAATGCTGATGATTTTCTTGCAATTTTTTTCTCTTTGCTTCAGGCCATTCATTGATGGTGAGCCTCACAAGAATTTTAAAGTCATTAGCTGTTGCACATTCAGTTACAGTGGTGGTACGTAAAATAAACATTAGCTGCCATTACTGAATACTGTGAAAAGGAACTTCTGATCATTTCTTTCTATTTCTCTTCTTTCTTCATCCATGGAACATTTTTGTTTTCCGAAATTGCAGTATGATGAGCAGCACATTTGATAGCCAATTTGTTTTCAATGATAAATTTAGATCACCAATAACCTTGTATCAGATTCATCCAAGTCATCATTTTGTACCAAACCAGCCCTTGGACCAACCTGGGCTCATATTCCAAACACCAGGATTCTCATTCAAAAGAATCTTATGTCAGAGGCGAACAGTATCGTAAAAGAAAAGATTATGGCCACTTTAATCAAGTCATCCAAACAGGTAGATAACAGTTGTATTTTTTTGATAACTAAATGTTTTTTGTACTCCCCTTCCTCTAATTCTACATAAACTTTCTCACCACTGCCTTTTTCCTTTCCCCTGAAAATTTTTGAGGTTTGAAAAAAGGTTTAATCTTAAATTGCAATATACAAATGCTGCATATCAGAACCTGTTGTGGGATGCTTTTCTGATGAAGCCTAATCCTCTTTCCTCTCCTTTTTTTATTTTATTTTTTTAGCATCTTCCTATACTTTAATTTGTGTGTTTGTGTGTGTTCATTTTCATTCTAACTTTTAGTTAAGACATGTCCTTAGGGCTCATCTACAGCTCATGCTAAAATTTCCTATTACAAATCAATTATTAAATTTATTAATTAATAATTACTGTTAAAACAGAGTCACCCTATTGCCATTTGCTCTTCATATTCAAAAGTCTCTCCTTTTGACTAAATCTTTTTGTTTTTGTGATTTTGCACTTTATTGTGGCTTGTTTGTTTGATTGTTTTCATAGAAATTACACATGGCCAGTCCTTGCAACATTATGTAAATAATTGGTGAGTTCTTCCATAGATGGCCCTTCAGGCTCAACAGTTACTAATCGAGTCACAGCCCTTGAGAAGGGAAAATAGTTGATACCTTCAAAGTCTTTATCACAAATTGCAATAACAACTGGCCACTCGTAGGATTGAGCATGTTCCATGAGATCCAAAACTATGACACCTTTATCGTCTCCAATGCGGCAATGTGAGACTCCTTTTTCTTGCAAATGGGAAGAGAGTTTCTCAATCCACTTTTTGTCAGGGACCAGAACAGCAACTTTGTTTAACTCATATGTATCATCTACCTTTGCCCATTGATTAATCTCTTCCTCAATGATCTCGAAATAGAAGTCGGGGTTTACATCCAATGAAACCTTTTCTTTTATATGGGGGATGACTTGAGGTCCACAAACATGGTGACCAAGGTGTTGTGGAAGGTACCAGTATTTCTTGGCAAATTCATCTTCTCTTTGGGTTCTCTCTTTACTGAAAGACTCCTCATCAAATTTCTTCAATGTTTCGAATATCTCTGAAGTGCATCTCATAACTGTCTGGAGGCTTGGAGCATGATAAAACCTTTTGGTGTTACAGAGGTCAAAAATTAAGTCTTGAAATGCTATGTAATTATCTAATGTATCTGTGGACAAGAGCTGTTGGACATCATATGCAATCCACCGATAGAAAGAGGGGCTTTGATGACCAATCAAGAAACGTTTCAAAGAATCTGAAGCTAGGAAACTTTGAAATTCATCAACAAAGATATGGAACTCATCCACTCTTTCCTCCTCACTGTCCACAAAGTTGAGAAAAAGCGGTAGCTGGCAAATTGTTACAATTAAAACCTTTTCATCACAAGGTTCGCTTCTTCCAAAGAATTTCTTGAAGAACTTTAAAGCACAATCTTCCATTGAATTGTGTTCAAAATGCTGCCTGTCCCTTTCATAATTGAAATGGAGCGATAAAATTTTGTTACTTGAAAAGAATTTTTCATAGAGCTTACCAAGGATTGCTGGTACAAATATCACGACCTTTTCATTGCGCTTCGCACATTCCAGTGCTTTGTGCTGGATTAAAATTGTTTTTCCAGTCCCTGCGGCGCCACAAAACAGCTGCTTTTTCTCTCCTCTCCATAACGCTAGTTGTTCCTTATTTAAGAACATGAACTGCCTTGCCAGAATCGACGCATCCTCTTTCTCAGGCCGCCCCACCTCAGTACTTTCAGTACCTTCCAAATTTTTTTTTTTCTTAACCTTTCTATAGCTTTGTCGGAGAAAACTTTGCCCATCAATGGTTTGGAATACTCTGCCAAGTATTTGAGCTGTAGCACTTACTGTAACTCTCTGACCCACAAATACGGAGATCAAGCTCAAAAATTTTTTCTCGTGCTCTTCAAAAGCTCCTTTGGTAAAGTTTTGTCCCCACCATTGCTCGAAAGGCAGCAAATCTTGAACATTACCTTCGTCATCCATTCCTAGATGAATCTTCCTAAGGTTAATGTAACCGTCAGAACTGTTACCCTCGTCGGGTACGCTTGGCATTGCAATGACTTTGTAAACAGGAATGTTTATGCCCTTCGCTTCTAGAAATACTCTCACGAAATCTTCTGCAAATTTAAGTTGCTTCTTCGCTTCTTCATCTCGAGAACTTTTAAATTCTTCATTGGCTTTTACTTCGATGAGGATCACACCAATACGTCGGTGCAAGACGACAAAATCAATTTCTCCTTTAACGTTTTCCCCCACAAAGCGGTCTTCAAGAGAAGCAAACAGAGGGTGCATGTCCCGCATGGCTTCCTTAGTCTCCTCAATGAACTCCTTATATTTGAACTGTGAGAACACAAACATTGGCTGACATTTTTCTCGCCCAAATTTCTCGAGTAACCGAAATATTTTCAACTCAGCATAGTCTCCTCTCATGTAGCCCTTCTCAGCCTCATTGAGTTCCACAGCACCGGCAGCATCGCCTGTTGGAGAAGTGTAACGGAAGCGAAAAACTGGAGGGAACATATACGTTCGATCCTCTGTCTTCCAGTTGGGCCATCGTCTCGTGAGGTATTCCTCACAACACTTCTCGAAGTCAAAACAGTATTCGCCCGCTGGACGCTTCACAACATATCCCGAAACCATGATGATGAAATGCTGATGGAGGATGAAGAAACAGGAATGTGGAATGTGACAACTTGGTTACCGCGCCTGTTCTGTACATTTTACTTTGATGCGAGAAACCGCTGGTATGCGCCTGCGTCGTTTTCCTGCTAAAGAATTACATGAGTCACAACCGGCGGGGCCGATTACCAAACCGAAACAGGTCAGGAAAGTAAGACAACGTTATTACTGGAGATACGGTTGTTACATCAAAGGGCTTGTTAGAAATGGAGGAGTAATTATGGATTTTATTGGAGTAAGGAAAACTCTTTTCAATCATTAGTCTCGGGAAATATTATCAGATATGATCAATGATGTGGGGAAAATGTGAATTAAACCAAGTACTAGTTTGGGCTTCCAGTTGTAATATGAATAGTTAAATAAATCAATTATTTCCTGATAAAAATCATATTCATTTATCATTTCAACTGCACAACAATATCGTATATGCTATTTGCAACCTTATTTTTCAACCTATTAAAACACAAGAGTCGTGTAACAATCTGACAGTCTGAAAAGACTCTTATTACAAGCCAGGCAACAGAGAACCAATAGGGCTGATGTTAACAGTGGGGATGAAAAACAAAATATTTCCAAAAGCCTTTTTTTCCCAAGAACAAGACTAAAATGATGAGGTTAGATTAAACTAATGTAAAGGTTTATTGATCTCTTTAGGAAAATGGATGATTTACACCTATCAGATTTTAGTGAAACAAGACTTAGGTCAAAAGGGGACATTGACATTGCATATTCTGCAGTAATGGGCACCAGCTTGGATGCCTATTTGAGGAAATTTATAGTTTTTTAGCCAGGGGTTTGGCTGTGCCAATTTTGTGGCAGAAAAATCATTCATCAGTCACTTAAGAAATTTTATAGCTCACATTCTGGAAGCTCAAATACTCCCAAGTAACACGACAATATTTCACCTGATCACTCCTCATATTCTTTTCCAATTAAATGTGGACAAAACATTCAAAAACTTTATTGATAATTTTACAGTTGCAAATAAGGTGTAGACACAGGTTGCATACAGCATAAGCTAAGCGAGGCAAGTTACAGGGAGAGAACAAAAGATTTGTAATTTAAATCAGTAGTAAGCTTCTGGTACTAATGACAATAACTTGAATACCAGCTTGCCACAGTGAATATCACACCTATCCATTCTGTCAATAGTACCAACAATATATAGTGGAGTAACTTCACATCCCCCTAAACAGCAGGGAACATTAAAGTTAATTCCTATTCCTATAATTCCAGTCTCAAGAAATAAAAATTGAAGGATCGAGTCATTTCTAGCAAAGTGAAATGCAAGTCAAACTGGTTCGAAGACATTCTAACCTGAAATTCATTTTTCAAAACAGCAGAAATACTGTAGTCAACACTTCAAAGAAACAAGGAGTTCCAGCCCATTGGGTAATTATCCATTTGTTGTATCACTTTTCTCATATTTAAGAACCAAAGAAAGTTAGATTATTTTAATTTCGTTAAAAAAAGTTTGTGCTGCTTCTTCATAGTGGTAAAGTATAATAATAATGAAGTATTATCCTTTGTCTCATGATGTGGTCACTTATGATGTGAATTGCGACCTTTCGACTGCATACTGCTAGTTTTCATCAGGCAATGGGGTCCACTGGTTTCGGGTCTTCTTATAAAGGAAGATGCTTGGCTGTGATTGGTGCATTTTGATCCTTAATGTTAGTGCGTTGTTAGGATCACGATTAATGAACTTAACTTGCGCATGTGCAGAAAAAATGTCTCTGCTGTGCTATCTGCTCTCATCCTCTCTCATTCACTCATTTATGGCAGAGGTTGCTGTGTGCTCTCATTTATTTATTTATTTTTCACTTATTCATTCAATTAGTTATCATTGACCTATTTTCCAGTAGCAATAGCGGCAGTGTCACTGCGCCTTTCGAAGAACACGACGGACTCAGTAGTTTGATTTTAAGGTTACGAGAGGTTAATTTCGTATCTTATCATCCAGCTGCAAAAAGTAGAATACAAGTAAGGCGCGAATAGAGTACAAATGTCCTGCGATATTGTGCAGTTATTTGGACAGTTGTTATTTTGTACAATAAAAAAACTTGCTTAACAAGTCGGTTAAAGTACAAAATAACCAACTGTCCAAATAACCGTACAATATCGCAGGATATTTGTACCCTATTCGCGCGTTATTTGTACCCTACTTTGTGCGGTTGGATAATAATCAGCGATACTACACACCAGAACGTCTTAGAAGATAGATGTAAAATCCTACCGCGTAACTGAATAGGTCGCAACCGCTTGGCTGTGGAAGGTCTGCGTACGAGACAAATGAGAGGTAGCTTATGATACCCACCATGGGGACCGGTCATCATTTATCGCCTGAAGGGGGGGGAGGGGAGGATGTTGGTTGCGTCACTAACATTTCAGGAAATTAACATCGTCCATCATAACTGAGGAATTCAGTCGCAATGAAATTAAGCGATGTTGTTAAATAAGCGTTTCATCTTTGCTTGCCAGGTTTTGGGGAAAGGATGCTTTTATCTTGAATAAACAGGAATTCGTGACGATTTTGAGAAACATCTCTAAGAGGTTGCGACTTTCTGAGACATTACCTGGAGCTTTCAACTGGTCCACTGCCCTTTGGACACGATTATCGCCCTTACGTCACCGGCACCTTACAATCCAACTTAGTCTCCACGTTATAGGAACTCAATCTCTTTGAAATCACATACATCATCATCGTGCAGAAGGATAAAAAATTAAAAATTTAAGGGCAGACTTTTCTGTCGTAAAGTTACTTTTCTGGTCACTGCACCTTTTTAGTATATTTTCAATAGACATCTTAGTTAAAATGCAGGTAAACGAAGTAGGGGTTCTCTCATTTCAGAGTTGAGCTACTGAACAGGTTAAATGGACGCTTGAAGGGGCTAATTAACAATAGTAAAGATGTAGACGAGAGCCCTATTTGCTATTCACAATCATAAAATAAGCTAAATTAAACGTGCAAGTTGATTTATTCTTACACATGATATGTTGGAGCACAGAAGCAAAGATGAAGTCACCATAAACAACTATTTAACCTTTATTATGCGAAACAGATTACACTTAACCGTATGTCTGTACAGTAATAGGGACGTAATAGATCATAAAAGACGTCAAAATGTGGGCTGCGCCTCGTGTGCCACCTTTGTTATTCTCACCACATTTTGACCTCAGCTGTGGTCTGTTACGGAAAAAACGCACGATAACATGGAATATATTCCATAAACTGTCCCCTGATTTTATCATCGGAAGGGTAAAAAAAAACACCTTGATTAAGAAAAATTCAGTAGCTTCTCTCGTTTCTGTAACGAGCGCCTGAACAGTTTCGGCGCTAAAAGGACCTAATTTACGATATTTTGTGTAAATTCCTCATCAAGTTGTTTAAAATTGTCGCTAATTGGAATGAAACCTCTGAGTAATATATTTCCAGATTAGAAAAGCATCCGAAACAATCAAAGAAAACAAAAAGGGAACTAGTTAACGATGCCAAGAAGGACAGACTTTGAAAATGAAAAGCCATAATTTTTTATGGTACAGAAGTTGGACAGATGACTACGGTACCTAAGCACAGCACTTTGGGAATGGGGATTAGTGATCATTACGTCGCTTGTGGAAAGGACTCGCTTTCGATAGAAACTATCCCTTCAGACAAGTGTAGTTTATCACAGGGAAAAGGAAATATTTAAAGTCCATCCGTTTTCGAAGTAAATCGCTGAATGTGTTCTAATGTGCTGCTCTATCTTCGTTCTTGTGTAATGATCTCTTTTCCCCGTTTATCCGTCTCCTAGAGGAATGGAAAGGAGAGACACCCTGGAAACCTACGATTGCTAACTCCTCAATCTAAAAGTTGTCAAATTACGGGCGAACCCAAAGTTTACGAAGAAGTAAAGTTAAGGCATAACAACGTGATATTGCCAGAGGGAGTCGGAGTCGCAGTAGAACTGATTGCACCGCTGCTTCCAGCCCAGTCTGGGAAGTCATGCAGTTCAAACATTGGTACTCCGTATGTGTTCATACAAATCACAAGCACTATCACTGCCAAGAGATTCATTCCCAAACCTGCTTTTGCCTGAATTTAAAGAAAAACGAAAGAGACAATAGCTAGTTTCTCCGTGGATGTCAAGGGTGAAAATGAATGTGCACACAAACATGAACAAAACTGTAACCAAAGGGTGATTTGGTTCTATCAACTGAGTCGAAAAGTGCTTTTAAAGCTGACTTTTCGAGCTTTAGCCCTATAAACTCTGACAAAGAGCTAACACTCGAAACGTCTGCTTCAAAAACTTTCCGGTGGCCAATTTACAAAGCAACTCAGTTTTTAAAAACAAGTGATGTTGTTATACCTTCCCTCTCACCCACCCTCTCACCCTCTCACCCACTCACCCACCCACGCCCCAACCACCACCAATGGAGCGCTAGAGTTTCTTTAAAAACTTACCCCCTTTAAAAAAAAAAGAAGAGCTTTGCTACTACCAATTCCGTGCCGCAGGTAATGAATTAGTTCCTTGTGATAGAGCAGTTACCGATGGAGTGTCGAAATACCAAAACCATAACGATGACATCGGCCAGTCAATACAAATATGAATTCCACAATGAATTCCGCATTTCTATCAACGGAAACTTTGATGAAATAAAAAAAGTAATCGTTCTGATGACTCGCTTTGCAAATATTTGTGTAGTGTATTCTATTGAATACCAATTCCCACGAATGACAAGTTTAAATCCAAGAAGCCACCAATCAGAGAACCTCAGAGAAATATTAGAGACCTTAAAATAATGACCCGTCCGTGCTCTAGATAGGAAAGGCTAACGACGGTTTGTATAAATTGAAAAAAGTGACTTATACTAACCATGTCCTTAACCTTAAGATGTCCGCCAGCAAACACGATGGCATTTGGAGGTGTGGCAACTGGTAACATGAAAGCGAACGAGCAAGAAATTGTAGCAGGAATCATGATGTACCAAGGATGAACTTTGATCGCTTTTGCCTGTGGAAATATTATATTAGTCGTACAATTGAGTTTACTAGACGCTGTTACATGAGACATTGTCTGAGCAACGTTTTTTCACAAAGTTTGTGGCTCTGTTACAAGTTAATGAGCGCTCCGGTGAAAATTACTCTGATCTACTGAAGATATGCTGGTATATTTGTACTTGGACATTGAGTATTCCTCCGTTAAAGATCATAGTTCCCTCAGTTGAGCTTCACCCGTTGAAGACTTTCTGCTTCTTTGAGCTTGTTACCTCATTTAGTTCGTTATTTTGCAAGGTTCTTCAAGATCGTGGTAATACGATAATCAGGAAAAGGAAACTTACCAAGGAGGCCAGTATGGGTAGAAAAATGGTGGCTGTTGCTACGTTAGAAGTGAATTCAGTGAATGTGGTGATCATGATACAGACACACATCACGATAGCGTAACTTGGAATGGCATCAAGTTGCCTTAGCTGGGCACCAACCCACTCAGACAGACCTGAAACCTGACAGCGAGAGGGTCAATTAATCCAAAATCCCTTTGTAATCCACATTTCTTTAAAAAACTGTAGAAAGATACCAGATACCTCCCTCCCCTTCCCCCCGTGGGAACTAAAGAATAGTTACACGATTTGAATGCGAACCAAATTGCCTATAGAGGTTTAATTACAAGATAAGGAGCAAAACTCTCGGCCTTCTTAAATAAATTTAAATTGTCATTTCTTAATCTGAGATGACGATGTTATGGCATTATCTCATTAGAGATGGAATCTTCTTTTTTTTCGGATTACTGCGGTGTTAAAGGTGCACCTTTTGTTGCCTGCATTGAAAAAAATTCACAAAACGTGATAACATACCAGATAAACTTGAAAGGATTTGTCGTACCATGGATTGTGGCATGTGAGTTCTGTTTTAACGAAAGTGGAGGATTGATATAAGCCACATGAATTGTAACTTACTTTACAAGCTTCCGCCAGAGCAAATCCACTTCCAAGCAGCATGACAAGGTGCCATGGAAACCTTTTAGACATCGTCTTAAACTGCAAGAGACTGGGTGGAGGCTTTCTCACTGTATGTAGGAAGAAAAGCATATGTTCGTCGAAGAAGTCCTTCTTTCTTTATCTAAAAGCATTCTCTGATGTTTCTAGATGCCAGATTTCCTTCCATAGTCTTCTCTTGGCTGAATGATTTCCATACATGTCTTCTTTGTCGCGTGGTTCTTTACGATCGTACTCTGCCGAAAAGGGGGGGGAGGGCGGGGTAGGAAATTGCTCTTTATGTCCGTAACCATGCGTAAGCAAATGTATACTTGTTCTTTTTTTTTCCAACGGGAAAAAAGGAGCCCAGCGCACGATCAGGTGTGACTGTGGTACAGATAGAGTACAAGATCGGTGTTGCCGCAGTATTGATATTCAACATTCTAATCTCAAAATAGTTTTCTTCAAAATAGTGGAACATAGTTTATCCCATCTTACCTGACCCATCAGGGGTAAAGATCACGGGTTTTGTGAAGGGAACACAAACAGACAAAAGGCCACGAACATAGCAGCTGTGGCATCCCGAACGTAACTGAAAAAAAAAACAAACAAAAAAAAACGAGGAAACAAGTTTGAAGTATAACATTGAAGGAAGCAAGTGAGTAGTATGGGCGTCTAAAAAATTTTCCAGGAGGACAACGATGCAAATAAAAGCTTTCCCCTTTCTGACTCTTCCTTCTGGTAATAAATACTAACCCCTTCTCAAATATTATTGACCATCCTTTCATAAATTTTGGTTCACGAAAAAGCCACAGCAAGGCTAAAAGGATGAAGTGGCCAAGGACGGCTTTCTCGGCAAACCTGCAAATGCATAATTTGTACAAATTAGGATAAACAATGATTAATTACTTTAACTTTACGAATGACCTTCTTCGCGTTTCGAATCTTCAGGGAGTTCATCGCAGCCGTGTTCTTTTCCCCCATCCACATCTCTCCTTCTTTTCCTCTTTCCCTCTCTAGAAAATTTTTTATTTTCCTATAAATGTTCGATTGAGTAATTAATCGAACGATGTGTGAGCACGGGGCTGATGAGAGAGCCAGTCCGAATGGTTTAGTAAACAGTACTTACGACATCGGTCCCAGTGCTCTGTACTGATCCACCAGAACCTGTCTAATTGCTTGAGTTGATCGGCTATCTTTCTCCCGCCCACCTGAAGACTTGTGGAAACACTTGCGGAAACTAAACACGAAATAACACTGTGCGTTCAAAGGGACATCTCAACGGTGGGAGGTTGATCTCGGATGCTTAGTGGTCGAGCAGCGCTCAGGGGCATCTCTACCGGGAATTTCAATCTAAGTCCCACGGGTAAGATATAAATCCGGCCGATTTGCCCCACTTTCCCTTCTACTTTAGTTTTCACATTTTGACCAATGAATGACGGGAGCTTATTTGTAAACCTGCTCAGGAACACTTCACTAGTCTATAAATCGATTAGCACGCAGAGCCCTATAATTTTCACTTTAATTTCAGTGAGATTGCTAGTCTAAAGAACTGTTGTTCACTTCTGTTCCGGAAAAGAGTTAGATGTTACTATTAGTAATAACTCCAGTTATTGAACAATGATGTTAAAAAGAAACAGAATGCAAATTTCGGATCAATGTCGGTATCTGAGCAACGGCGCACCTACTACTCCCTTAACCCAACGTTAACTTGTTATCAGTTGACTGTTGTTGGGTCAGGGAAGGGGTAGGTGCGTTTTTGCTCAGTGTGTGACTGATCCCAAATTTTACAACACAATCCGGGAAAACATCCGAGATTGCATTGGTTTTGTTCTCTCTTTTCTTGTTAGGTCTAACGGAGTCGCGCCCCAATGACTACCCGTCAAACGCAATTTCTGGTCACAAGCATGTCCGTGGCTTTTTGAGGCCACTAACGTAAATTTGACACGAGTTCTCATTATCTTCTTTTAATTTTAGCTTTGTCTTTTGGCCTAATCTTACAGCTATCGATGAAAATGGGTTTAAAAACTGTTTATTCGAGCATACTTAAAACCGAGGAACAGTAACTGAATCCAGATCCAGGCCACAAACAGAAGAATCACCATTTGAGGGAAAGCATAACCGAACCATGAGGCAAAGCTAAATCCTCCGCTTTTAGGAAAAAGACTGAAATAAGAAAAAGGTTATTAACCATAAGTTATAAGAACCTGTATAGGAAGGGGAGGATTGTGGGAACCTCCGTGGAAGAAGAGGATTATGAGAACCAGAAAAAAAAAAGAGGACGGTGTGAACCTGGATGGGAAGAAGAAGATTGTGGGAACCTGTATAGGAAGAACTGGATTGTGGGAATCTTTAAAGGGAGAATTGGGTTGTGGGAATCTATTCAGTGTTTGTCTTTAAGTTTGTTTGTTCTTCTTGTTTGTTTTCAGGAGAGGATTCGATTTGATTCGCCGTAATAAATAATTAACGGTGTGGTCGGCGAGCTAAGTCACACACTAAGTTCATTTTTGTCTGCTTATTTCTTTTTTGCTTTTTTAATTCACTTACAGGCCTGCCTGTCCACCAAACACCAGATTTGGACCAGTGCCCGTCAGGGTGGCTGTACCACCAATGTTTGCAGCGTAAGCCACAGCTAACATAATTGCCTTGCAGAGTCTGTTGAAGTATTGAGTTTCTGCTTCCTGCAGATGAAATAGTATAATAGTTTGTAGTTCTATAAAAAACGAATACTCATTTAGATTGCTTTTCAATAATAGTAGCCAACTACATCCATTGGCTATGGTCCCCATGGGAACTGACACCCTCCCAACTTTTTGACAGTGGGGGGGGGGAAGGTGTATACAGATTAGGGTTTGTGCACCGAGATAAAATCGTATCTAAATGAATGTGTTGTTCTTGTTGTTGCTACTGCTGTATTGAGCATCCAGAGGACCAGAATGTTATCTGAACCCTCTTATAACCGTAACTAAAATTTACAATTACAAATTAATTTTCATGCCAGCTGCAAAACTCACGTTAGCTTCCTCGTCTCCTTCCAATAAGTTTACAGCAGCCATTCTAAAATGTTGAAAAATAAGAAAAAATTCCAGTTAAGCACAGATAAGAGATGAAAAACCAATTCAACTGATAAATTTAATGACAGAAAGCGTTTTTATTTCAGTAATTAAAAAGTATCTGAAGGACACCATCCATTTCCATTCGATGTAGGGAGTAAAGAATACAATCATTATTTTTTTAAGAAAAGGGTTTTTTCCATCAGTCGTGGGTCAAATTTAATTCCTCGGGTAGCAAAGTTTTGGTACCAGCAATTCTACCTGTCTTCTCTCTTAGCACAGAGGTCAGTTTCATCTTCGCCCAATTCTTTTGTTATTTTATGTTCCTGAACTCCGACCGCATTGTCTTCTTCTTTGACTTTGCTCCGGTCGCTAAGTTCCAAGGAAGCATTCTGTGGTAGGATATGTTCAATCCGGTAATCAGGAAAAGTTAACTCACAATAATAGTATAAATTAAGATCAGTTTGAACACAAGGTAAACAAAAATACCTCACGTTAGAGGCCAAGTGACTAAATGAGTGAACAACTGATCAGGATCGGATATAATCGAACCACTAGCACCTGATTACTGACAGACTGGCAGACTGACAGACTTACCGACTGACTGAATGAATGACTGTCTGTCTGTCTGTAGAGGTGATTGACGAACAGACAGAAAGACAAAAAGTAGCAGAAAGATGGACAGATGGGCTGACCCAACGACTCACTGATTGATTAGCTAGTAGAATCACTGACTCGCTGACTACATGATCAACTGACTGACTGACTAACATACAAGCTGACTGATTGACTGACTGACTGACTGATTGTCTGACTGACAGACTGACTGACTTACTGATTGACTTACTGACTGATTGACTGACTGACAGACTAACTGACTCACTTACTCTATGACTTCTGACAAACAAACTGACTCAGCTACTTAACTTTCTTCTAAAAACTTACGTCATTTTCCTGTTCGTTGTCAATGCTGTTATTCTCTGGCCAAATTTGTATATTTTCGTTTTTTATTTCTCCCAACACTGCTTCGACAATCGGTACCATCATGGCAGTGGTAGCTGTGTTGCTGATCCACATGGACAGAAATGACGTGGTTAGCATAACACCAAGCATTAACCTGTGAAGAAATTTAAAAGCAATTCTTTAATGATTTCTTTAACTGATACTTCTGGAATATTACCAGGAATTCATTTGATTGCTTCTTTAACGATTGTAATGGACTTCCTTCAGGTTTCGTTTGTTATCGGATTTGAAGCAGCATTAAAAGTAACTCTAGGTTTTATAACAATACGCATGTGGCTAATAGACCACAACAACGTCAATCACCAATCTCTGCTCTAAGCGGGGCCCGCTCTTTATTTTTGTGATAAATAAAGCGCACTTGACCTAACGGGGTATACATTGGATGCCCTTTTAGACAACGCAGAAAGTGACGAAGGGCTAGTAGTCTGTCAGATGTTTCACCCGTCATAGCCCCTCTCGGCTGTTCACTTCCGCTTTTCGCTCTGACTAAAAACAACGAGCGATAGCATGTTAAAGCTGAATTACATTCTTATCTTAATTATCGTAGGACAGTTGTTTGGCATCAGTGCTGAGACTCTAACACATTCAAACCCTTAGTTTTTGATCATGGTCAAAGTAGAACGCTTGTGTTTTAAGTTTCTGCTTTTTTAACGATTTGAATCTTCACATCTATGTTTAGAATACAAAATGGTGACTTCTCTATTTCACCCGAAAATTCTTGGGACGGTAAATAATGGAATCGAAAACTACATCAGACTGATGTACCAAAGTACTACAGTTCTGCGTATGAAGGGGTCAATGATTCCTTCGGATCCTTTCAGCAATGAGTGTTCCCCCCTGACCACACCCTAGCCACCCCTTCCTTCCCGTCCCGTCATAACTGACTAACCGTCGTGGCTGAGCTCCGACCAGCAAGAGAACACGAAGAGCGATCCGCTTGTGCAAGTTCCACTGTTCAACAGCCACAGCTACGATTAGGCCGCCGAAAAACAGAACATTTGTGTCTTTGAAGTAAGGAGTGGAGACTTTTTTAGAGCCCAGGACTCCAAATAGGGGGAAAAGAACCAATGGGAGAAGAGCTGTGACGGCCAACTCCACAACCTCTGTCACCCAGTACACCGCCATGATCAGGATACAGTACGCACAGCGGGACTCCTGGTGCAATGAAAACATTTTTTAAAACTTGATCTAAAAGGGGAAGTATGTTCCGAAAGATGTAATCCTCGGATCAATGTCAATATCAGAGCAAGAGGGGGCATTGGGTTTTTCGGTTTTGCGTTATTGGCTATTTTTTAGATCGGTTTTTCGGTTTTTTGTGCCAGAAAACTTTTGTTTTTCGGTTTTGGCGTTTATTGTGTGTGACGGATTTTCCGTTTTTTAACAGTTGGTTTTTCAATTTCCATCAAAAATTTTAATGGGTTTCGGATTTGGTATCCGATGTAGTTTTCGGTTCCGGTTTCACTTCGATCTGAGTTCGGCAGTTATCTGATCTCGCAAAGCAGCAAAAGCTCTATGTGCTGCACTTGTCACCACTGCGTCGGATTGATTAGGGTTTTGATAACTAGCTGGGATACGACAATTTATCGGTTTACACGGTTTTGCATGCGGGAAGGGGTAGGACTGACTGACATTGATCCTTATACTCAAAGGAATTTATGAAACTATGACACTGATCGCCTTTTGAGATTCCAAAGGGTAACCTGAACGATGTCTTTTCAGGTGTTGAACTCCGTAATTTTTAATTTTGCCCGTCAGCCCCGCTTCTTACTAGCGACTGGTTCTTGCTTTATTTATTTATTTTTTTTCATCTCTTAGCAATCTCTTTAAACAATTAAGAGTTACACGAAAAGGTAGCTCTGATCCAAATAACGATTTTTTTGTGCGGGAACTAGAGCAGTAGTTGTTACTTGAAATGCAGTAGATAGCACAATTTTTAGATTTAAACTGTTAAATGACAAGGAAAAAAAGCCGTGCAGGCCATTCTTCTCCTTCAAGTCAACTGGTAATCATCACATCATCTAGTATCTTACAATTAAATAATTCCTTTTCAAACAGTCTTGATCAGTTGTCAAGACCTATGTCTCGAGATGTCGCTTATTATACGATTTACTCAGTATAACGAAGGAGCAACTGTCGCTCACAATCAGTCAACCGTGCAGTCAATCAATAGAACTGTTTTCTCAAAGAATCTTGCGTTCTTGTTTATCCCTGCGAAGAGTTTTTGCCTTAAAGATTACTGGTTATGGTTGAGAAGGGAGGTCTGGTTGAGAGAGTCAAACGCAGGTGCAAATGACTATTGTCGCTTTTTGCGCGAACCCACTCTCCTTCCTTGAGGATATGTTGATATGGAACTTGTGTAAGGAAGGAGGACTGAAGGGGAATGAGCACATGATACTTCTGGCGTGCTTCAACATCAATAAATCAACTGGAAAGCCCTAGCTTTTCCAGACAAAAAAATAAAAAACGGGAACTTGGGATTAAACACTCCACTTCTGACAGCCATCCAGGTCTCAAAAATATGTGAGATTAAGCTCCTTAATACCCCTCGTTTTACAATTCAGTTAATTGCTCTTTTATGATGACCAATGTATAGTAATCAAATGAAAACCCACCGCAACCCTAAGAGAAGTCTATTACCACAAAGGCATATCTCACCGTTCCTCTCACAGCGATGGGTAAAGGCATCAGTAGTGTCGGCGTCATGATCAGTATTATGTATTTCCTCCATGCTAGAATTCGTTTTAGAAATGGAACACGTTTCGCTTTAACCGGTTCTTTACAGTTTTCGTTAGGACGAGCCGACTCCTCAGTAAACGGTTTTGTCTCTGCCTCTTGGAGATTACTATAGCCTCCAGGTCTTCCGTCAGATTCACTCATCTTTCTCTACAATCTACAGTATAAACCGATAAGATCAGAAAAAATTCTTAATGTTAAGGTTAACACAGCACGAAGTGAGTAATTTGGGTGGTTAGAACCTCAGTTTGACATTGTTATACAATTTCATTCTGATATTTGCCTCAATTTTCTTAGGTCCCAATTGGAGAAGTGTACTGACTAGGCCAAACATAGCATCTGTGGTATTCTTCTTTTTTAGACAACAATTGTGTGCGATTCTAAAAACATACATAGGTCAAATCCCATCGTTGCTACGTTTGGTTATAACGTCACGCTTTCCCGTCTTACGGAACAGCTCACGCATCACAGCCTATGCACAGCATGACTTTTTGTGGAATTTCGAACTTAACCAGCACATAACAGGAAAAAGCCCTGAAGCACACTCGCCTCCTGTTTCCAAAACGCCATGTTTCTCTCTCTTATCTAAACTAACGAATCATAAGCGAAAAAATTTTCGTTCCAGAGAAGGAACAAATATACCCATGTTTAGGTTGACTCAAACCTTTGAGAATTTACTGCACCTTAACTTCCTCTCTCTAATTACTCCAACAGATTTCATGCAAACGTGGGCAGCAACTGTTTAAAAGGACGTGCCCTTTTCCCTTACTTTTGTATGGTCCATGGTTCTGTAATCGTTGCCGTCATCGTCGGGTAATTTTACGCTCTTACTTTGCAAAGAACGGCTGTTCAATAGGCAGTTTTTAAGAATACATGCAGTCATTGTTCTGGTAGTAAATCTTCTGTTCCGACCCACTCTCGTTGTTGTTAGACTCAGTGAAAAACATCAAGAGTTACTCGAAATTCGAATATTTAAATTCAACGCAATTGTGATTGCGTAAGGCTGTCTAGTAGTGTTCACTACGACAATAATCTCCACTTGGTGTAGGGACGCCATTTCTTCACGAATGCTGGAAGAGAACATTTGGTAGATTGACAAAATTGAATGCTTCTGCGGAGTCGAGCAATAACACATGACTCGTGAGACTTAAAAAAAGACTTTATTATCACATCTAGCGCATACAAATTCTGTATATAGAGTCCTAAAGATGTGCCGTTACAAATCACGCTTTACATTTGACGGAAACGACTTCAGTGTTGTGTTGCAAAAGCTTTTCCATTTTGAGAAAAATCATTTATTTACGTTTTAAGACTAATTGTTCACTTGTGTACATGTTTCAAAAATAATCACGAGCAATTTAGACTAAACGTGAAAGTATAACCTCTTTGGAAATACTTAACTCATTTTGGTCGACATTTCTGTACACAATCGACATATTAGGACCATTAAATTAAAATTGAAGAGAAAAAGTTTATAGTAAATTGTCGCAACATTTATGCGCGTTAACAGCTCAATATGTATCTTGACCCAGGAGTAAGTGCGATATTTCAAGCGCCAAAATATCACATAAAGAAAAATTGAACCCTTCCATTGAAAAAAATGTAAAGGACACCCAAAAATCAATGATAAATGCGTCACCATGGATTTATGAGGAGGGCCTTCCTGGGGTTTAGGAAATGAAAGAACAAGATCATTCAATTGTAGAAAAAAATGAAAATATTACTATAGAATGTAACAGTAAGGATAACTTTAGGGCTTTCCGGCTTAAGTTATGCCTCTCCTAGCTGAAGTCGCATTTATAGACATATATGATTGAATGAACAAATACATATTGATCATTCTTGAAAAGTTCCTGAGGTCAAGGAAACACGGAACCCTTAACTTCTGGAAACTGGGGGATTTAGCTCAGAGCCCCTCCTGTGAAATCAATTTTGTTCAATAAATTAACCATAAAAAGGATTGACATACTAGAAAATTTCTGGGAACAAAGAAACCTGACTCTCCCCTCCCCCCGGAAAGGCCCTTATGACGAGGAAATTTACTGTCACTGTTTTCATTCATCCCCGCGGCCACTCGCTTTTTTACGTAACTAAAGAAACGAGGACTCTGGGAACGAGAGTGAGCGATTACGGGCAAATTTCGAGTTCATTTATGCATGTATCGTTTTACAAATTACCAGTGAGCCGTCATCTTAGGAAGAAGTGAAATTCTGGCATAAAACCGTCTGATTGTAACCAACAGTCGGTGTTGCACTTTTACCTCCAGCCCAGCTTGGAAAAGTACTTAGATTAAACATTGGAACTCCGTAAACATGTATGCAAATTACCAGTACTGTGACAGCGAGGATGTTCATACCAAAGCCAGCCTTCGCCTAAGAGAACACACAAACGTTAATTGTTGAGTAGAAGATTAAGAGGACATGACAATGGGAAGAAACAATCAGTCTGATTACACACAAAAAAGAATATTATTAACTTTTACTCCTACTCAACGCTATGAAAGAAGCTGGAAAGACTACTGTAAAGGTGTTGTAGCTTGAGGCGTCAAACAGCTGAAACTTTAAGGTAATTGTCATCTCTCTGGTATTCGCCAAACCTGAACATCATCTATGATTTTGGGTCATGTGCCGAAATGTACATAAATTTCCAATGGTATAAGGCAGCATGCACTTTGTGAATTTCCAGGCACAATTTGGTATTTTCCTGCGCCCATTCTTGTTTTAGAACAACCCCGATCTTTTGAAGCAAAACACACATACCATATCTTTTACTTTAAGATGTCCGCCAGAAAATACGATGGCATTTGGAGGTGTAGCAACCGGCAACATGAAAGCGAACGAGCAAGAAATGGCAGCAGGAAGCATAAGGTACCAGGGATGAACACCAATTTCTTCTCCCTGCGAATTAAAACAAAACTTTTCAGGGTCATGAAGTCACTGTGGCTCATACACAACTTTTATGTTTATGTTTGTGTAGATTGACTGATTCTTTCAGTCTTTCCTGTGGACTGTAAATCCAAATACACTTTAACAGAACTTACCAACGAAGCCAGAATAGGAAGAAAGATAGTCGCCGTTGCAGTGTTCGAGGTCACTTCCGTGAATGTGGTGATCATTACACACACGATAATGACAATTGCATAGTCTGGAATGGTGTTGAGGTGTGCCAGCTGGGAACCAACCCACTTGGATAGACCAGACACCTTGTAAGAGAGTCACAATTGATGTAAATTTAAGTGCTGAAGGAAAATTGGTTTTCTTATGTCTACTGTGCTATGATTATTGCTATAAAAACCTTACCTTACAAGCGTCTGCAAGGGCGAACCCGCTGCCAAGCAAAATGACGATATTCCATGGAAACTTCCTCGACATCTCCTTGAAATTTAGAAGTCCGGGTGGCGGTTTGTTGACTAAGCAAGAAAAGTAGCGTTTATTAAGGGCTTACGGCAAATTTTACAAATTTAACGACTGAAAAAAACATCAGTTAAAGCAATGGCATTTTCACAACTCGACACAAAGCACGGAACGCCTTAAACAAATCTAAAATATAAAGCAGTTGCTTTTAAGCCAAGCTTATAAATGTGAGGAGTAGGAAAAAAGCTCACCTGATCGATCGGGGGCAAAAAACACCGGCCTCTGAGAGGGAAATACGAACAAAGAGAAAGAGATAAAAATGGCCACAGTGGCGTCACGGACGTAACTGAAAAATAAAGCAGAACGATAGCCGTTTTTTCATAAAAAGTGGAAAGGGCGTGGACTCCCAAACCCTTTTTCCATGTTTGTCAAAAAAACTGATATTTTATAACACTGAATCAAAATTGAAGAAAAACACAGATGTAAGACCTCCAATGCCGCTTACATTTTTAACAGAGGAATTAGCATTGCATAAAAGATACTTACTCTTTCTTGAATAAAATGGCCCATCCTTTCATAAATTTCGGATCACGAAACAGCCACAATAAAGCTAACAAAATAAAATGACCGAGCACGGCTTTCTCGGCAAACCTGGAAACAAAGATGGAGAGTTTCTTTAGTCCTCTGGGAAAAAATTCTGCCAGTATAAAATATGAAAAATATTGTTCAGTGATGACTTTGAGTCCTTTACTCCGTGGACAGAATCTTTTTTACTGATTTCTTGTGTAAAATTGCTTTGCTCTAAGAGATGCAATTCGGGAATAAATCGCACCGATGACAACCAATCAGATTGCAAGGACAACCAGTGTTTTAAAATTGTATGTTACAGATTGTGATCATTTGCACACTATATAGTTTCAACTCTTAAACCAAGCTGGCTGTCTTTGACTGTGTTAACAATATATGCATTCACAGAGCTGTTGTCAGCTCAAGATGTACATTTTGTGCGTCAAATTTAGGTAAGATAATTAGATCGATAATACTAAATATTTCTCAGCTTATTCGCAGTGTTATACAAGTCAAACTACATAAGTGCATACGTGCGTTAACTTTTTATGAGAAAAGTCACTGAATCTTACGACATTGGCCCAAGTGATCTGTATTGATTCGCCAAAACCTGCTTGATGGCCTTAGCAGATTGATTGTTCCTCTCTTGCGATCTTTGTGACTTACGGAAACAGCAACAGAAGCATCTATGGCAGCATTCACGGATGCTGAATGGATAAGGAAGTGAAGTGATGATGTTAGAAGACGGAACTGAAAGTTCACAATTCCGACTTTTTTCAATGGTTTAGAGTACAAACAGAAAAACTGTAATTTGACACTTTTTGGCTCACCACTTCCTCTACTTTATATTTTGTTCTAATATTAGATTAAAATAAAAATAACTGAATTTGTGTGTAGAAAGCTCTTCTTACTTCAATTTATCATTCCCGTGTGGTGAGGTTGTTAGACAGTGGCGAAATCTTTAGGTATTATCTTCCGTCGAAGAAAGTTGAGGATAGTGTCATGAACAGGTTGTGGTTGGTGGTTTGAAAGTTTGATTGACCTTAATAACGATTGTGGCGACCACCTGATGAAAAAGCGCGCTGCAATAGCGCTGTAATAATTATGCGTGAGATGCTTATTTTACACACGGCGTAGTTTAACATACCTAAATTTGAGAAACATTATTTGAATCCAGATCCAGGCTACAAACAGCAGAATAACCATTTGAGGAAAAGCGTAGCCAAACCAAGAGGCAAAACTAAATCCTGGACTGGCGGGATACAGGCTGAAAGACGAAGAGAAGGCAATAATGTGAATGTAACAAAGACTGCTTCTTAAATCGTGGAAACCCTTTAACTGCAATGTTATGTTATGTTAGTTTCATCCATTTCCTAGAAAATTAGTCTAGAGAATTTGGTGATGTATAAAAATTTTAAAATACACTCTAACTGGTTAGTTTTCCCGAGCTACCTCAGCTCTTGTTTATCAAATAAAGTATTTAAACGGTAGGGAAAACTTCATTACTTTTCATTTTTCTCCGTTCTCAGACCTTCCCGTTTTCAAGGCTCTGCCGCTTGCAGTGTCAAGGGGAAAAAAAAACCACCAGCATCGCAAACTAAGAAAGCTCATGGAGAAAGCTAATAGTGAATCTCACGACAGAGCAAATTTCAGATGAACGAAGAGTTAGGGCCACGTTGAAACCTTACCTCGGTTTTCTACAGATAAGGAAAGAACACGCAATTTCTTACCACTTGCGTTAATTGCGTTGTGTTACCTACCACTGGCCATAGTAATGTAACCCAAGTAACGCAACGTAAATAACCACTAACGTTAGTTAAGGTGAATTATTTAGTACAAATCGCCATACTTACCTATTCACCTGTCCACTAAATACCAGATTGGGCGCAGTGCCTGTCAAGGTGGCTGTTCCACCGATGTTTGCAGCATAAGCCACAGCTAACATCATGGCCTTGCAAAGCTTGTTGTAATACTGGTCTTCGGCTGTCTGTAGAACATTATAAAATGTGATGTTCATAAATCACATTTCCACTCGGGAGTTATAATAGAGGGCAGCCAGAGACACATAACCCTCTTGTACTTCTGGTCTAACGGCAAAGGTGTTAGTGAAGGTGCTAGGTGAAACACGAGCAATTTTGAAATGAAAAACTGTATGTTTATGAAGTACAATGCGGAAGACACGGCGGCCCGCTAACGGTTACCACGCTAGTGTCTGGTTGGGTATGTCCGCATTGAGAGTTGAAAAAGTCATCGTATTGTATAATTCTTTACCGACAAAGAATTTTCACGACGTCTCTCTGAGTATCCACGAGTGATATTAAAAACTTGAGCCTTTACAAATAGCGTTTCTTTGGATCAAAATGCAAAATCTCAGTTGTTTTCACTCATGAAAGATTCCTCACCTCTACGATTGCGGGCTCATTCAAAAGGAATAGAGAATATATTCAATATGAGGCACCGTATCTCTCAGTAAGTACACGCGCTATTAATTTTATTCAATTCAGCAGGTCGTATTTCTCTGTATAGCTCACTAAATTCAGAACTGGTTGTCAGAATTGAAATCTTCTCCCCTCTATTGGATCCCAAGGATATAATAAGTATCTTACTAAGGTTGTTTTCTCGGTCTGTGCTTTAAGTTACGGAACCTCGTTTTTTACCGCCTGGATTTATAGCCCGCGCGTAAATCTGAGCGAAAAAATCTCGGTTCGTAACTTACAGTGCGGCCCTCGATCTTGAGAGAGGTAAAACAACTGACAGAAAATAACTAAAGAAATATATAGAAACCAATAAGAACTAAAGCAGCAACCGCAATAATTACTTCATTATCTTTATCCTCTCGCAGTAAATCTACAGCGGACATTCTGGGGAAAAAACATGGGAAAATTTAATATTATTAATAATTTCCCGATAATTTTTTAAAAACAAACAGGCATTTGGAAGATTGACAATTACATATCAAAGCAATAACTTCAGCCAATCAGAACAGACACAGACAGCAATGACCAATGAAAGGACAAAGCAATTTACACGTGACCAGCTTCAAGCCCGGAAAACACAGGCCTAGCTGGCGCCTCTTCGGATGCCAACAATATGGCGAGAAAATCGTTATATGACGAGAGCCTTATGTACGAGCTTTGTGTTTGTATGCTGGGCTGCCCAAAGGACCACTTTGAACAAAAAACAACCTGATCAGCTTGGAGAGTGGCGTGCGTTTTAAGGCCGATCACAGATCACAGAGGGTGGTCACAAAACCTGCGTGATGCGAAATTACATTCGACCCTTCATTCTGAAAATTTTTTTTTCTACTCTGAAGTAGGGTCTACCTTTCATCCTTTTTGTAGTTGATTCCGCTATCCGCGTCGTTCTTTTCTTTCACGATATCAACTTCCTGGAATGTGACGTCTTTCTTTTCATCAATCTGGTTGGCATTGTCTACAGTCATGTCACCAAGTTGGAAAGAAGCCCGCTGTAGAGTAAGGTCGCCAAGCCGTTGAGAAATAGCATACGTAACGTTCATTTGCATCGGGAACTAGAAATTATTCCTAATTTGAGTAAGAAACTATAACTCGACCTACTTTTTATTGCAGCTAGAAACTGGGACAGACAACCGTATTCAAACTCACACAAATCACATTTCAATTGACCAGCGTAAACCAAAACCACAGGCCAATCAGACGAAAAGAAAATATCACAAGGAAGCAAATGAGAGCTTAAAGATAAAACCGGTAAACAGCCTGAAGCGTGGAAGACCTTTAACAATCAAGTTGCTCTTAGTTCTGGTTTTGCATCGCATAAGTTGAAACGGGGGCGCAAGCTCCCTAGAATAATCACAGAGCAAAGCAGAGCAAAACTAATGTAATCCAAGGTTACTTTCGACTCCCAATTGAAAAATTACTTTTAAATGAAGGGGACGCTGATGATCTCCCTTACAGATGCAATTCACTCATATTGATTCCACTCTTGAACGCTTTACGCTTTAGAAGGGCGTAAATTGAAAAATTCCAACAAACGACCCGGCTTATGTTTCTACTACGGAGTCTCGTCCTACACTATTTTTTCATTTCAAAATCTCTCTACTTAAGCCATTAAGCCCAGTGTAATCTATTTCTCGCGAGATAGATTACACTGCGTCTGAAGAAGATTTTGATGCAGTCATGAATAAATTACTCGTAATCTGGGAGTATCGGTGGGTTCTGATATGTTTGATTCCATATCTCATCGTCTAGGAAGCATCGATACGGGATTCTACGCTGATAATTGAACTCAATAAGCACAGTTTGAGTGGTTCAGAGAAAAACGAAACCTTAAAAACAAAGCTTATCACATCCAGGGGAACTTTGAACACACCTTTCACTCTGGTTAGTTAATCGATATTTATTGAGACTATTGTTGTTATTATTGCTATTACTATCATCTTCATTATTGCCCTCCACACTGTAGAGTGACCATCAAGTGACAGTCATACAAGAGGATCATATTTGGAGATCTCACTCACCTCGTTCGTTTGGCTGTTGTCATTTTCTTTTCTCTCCAGCTGGTTCTTGATGCTCTCATTTTTTATTTCTCCCAGCACTGCTTCGACAATCGGCACCATCATGGCAGTGGTAGCTGTGTTGCTGATCCACATGGACAGAAAAGCTGTCGTCAACATGAATCCCAGCATCAAACTGAGACAGAACCAACCAAAAAGTTAAATCAAAACTGCAACATCTAATATCCAAAATTTCATACCGATGTGACAGTTTTGAAGTGGTCGGTGGTTTTGAACTTAAGCTTGCTAAAAACAGGTTCCAAATACAGTGATTTTGACAGAGAAAATGGTGTTAGGCTGAGGGTAGCAGTTGACCTGGAATCAAGTCCTTCGACGGCCACTTCTTCTGCACAGTAGTGACTGGCGAGAACCTTATCATAACACAGACTAAACACCGTAAACGAGCGACGAGAAATGGTGAAGTAAACAATCACATTGCCTTATTTTAGAACTCTATTCAATTTTCAACCCACAGCAAGAACTTCTTTCAACAAATTCCGCCCTTTGGGAAGCCGGTTTATTTACTTGAGAAAAGGCCAGACAACTTGGATAAATTGGAGACTAAAATATTGAAACAACTGACCAACAATTACCACTTGACCCTGTTAATGACATACGATTATATTGCGGAAACGAAAAATACTCCTTAACGGCCTGAATTTTTTTCAGGCCTCATTTTTACTGCTGTTTAAGTGGTGTTCTGACATAACTGATAAGATCACCTTCACATTCATTTCTTAAAAATTACTTGCAGGTCACATATACGATTTCCAGTTAAATTCACAGTCGTTGATTCATCAATTCACAAGTTTGTTACAAACTAACATAATGACCAGCTCTCAGTTGGTAGAGCTCTGCACCGACATCGTAGAGGTCATGGGTTCAAATCGTGTAAAAGCCTGAATTTTTTCAGGCCTTATTTTCACTTCTGCTTAAGCAGTGTTCATTACTGAGAAGATCGCTTTCATATTCGTTTCTTAAAAACTGCAGTTCACACGTATGATTTTCACATATTCATAGTCTGACCCGGAGGCGGTCGAACAGAGAGAATCATGCAAACGAGTCTGTCTTTCAAGTGAATAGATCACTCCATCCAGACCGCATATTCATTATACTAAGCTGAAGAGGATTACCTTCGTGGTTGAGTTCCGACCAGCAAGAGGACCCGAAGAGCAATCCGCTTGTGTAAGTTCCAATGTTCAACAGCCACAGCTACGACTAGGCCGCCGAAAAACAGAACATTAGTGTCTTTGAAGTAAGGAGTGGAGACCTGTTTAGAGCCCAGGACTCCAAATAAGGGGAAAAGAACCAATGGGAGAAGAGCTGTGACGGCCAACTCCACAACCTCCGTCACCCAGTACACCGCCATGATCAGGATACAGTACGCACAGCGGGCTTCCTAGCAACAGAAATACACAAATATTCATCGAAAAGTAGGGAAAAGAAACCTGTGAAGTGGGTTACTTTGACTTCTTTTAAGTAAGAACGGGTCAGTTAGACATCAGTCAAGTTGGATTCTTTTATCATTAATGGATTTCCTTTTTTTAAAGCGAACGGCAACATGGAAGCAAATCGCAAGAGGCGGTATGCAACCGATATCTTTCTGCAGTCTAACTTTGTTCCCATTCTCAAACGTAGTGTCTCCTTCTAGGTCGTCTGATCAAGCCTGCGCTTTCCATGGTTTCGGTGATTTCGTAGAAATGACGAACAGGGGCAAGTTAAAAGCCTTTAGTTATAACCCTTAGAAATTAAGCCATCCGCCAAACTTCCTTTTCGTCGAAGAGAATTGACCTGACCGAATATTTTTGTTTACAAAGCACAAGCTTCAAGTTCCCGCTGTCCTAGACAAAAAAGAACTCTTGTCCCAACCGAAATAATAACTATGCATTGCTTTATTTCCTAGTTTTAGCTACCATTGTTCGCTTACCAAAGAGAGAAATTTAATCAAAGATCTTTTGTGTTAAGAACATTGGACGGATGATTAGTTTGAACAATTTTAATATCTATATTCATGACACGCAACTTTCTAAAATTGGTTTTTTTTTTAGCCATGAATGCAATGGACTCACTTTGGCTGCAACCTATATGGCCCAGAGAAGAGAGGGAAGTATCATCATTAAAATTTCCATCTAATATTAAAATCACATAATTTTATCAGCCCAAACACAATAGATTCTTCTGTAGAGATACTTTCACGGTCCACTAAGCAATTTTCGTGAAGACTGTCATTTTATAAATGATAAATATTGCAAATTAAAATGGGGCCAAATACATCATTAACCTTAATTTCTGGAGATATCTTAGATGATCCGCTATAGTCTTCCCCAGTCTTTTCGATAATCATTAATTCTTTAATTTTGCATTGTTTGCCTAGCCTAGCATTTATTACCTATAAGTCTTAACTTTGTTTGACAAACATGTCCAAAATTGCTCTTTGATAAATAAACAAATTGATTTTCTTGTTACGCATTTGTAAATCAGAACTGAACTGCAATGTGTAGAGCTTCTTTGGACTGCTAACGATCTTAAAGTACGATTGTGCATCATCTTGTAAAATCTCGTATCTATCGCCAAATCTTTCTCAGAACGCGGCTACAACCAGTAGTATTCTCGAACATTATAAACTCTCTGGCATCGTTTCAATGCCGTGATAAATCGTCCTTGAGATTGGAGCGCATAGATCATCGTCAACTCCCTTAAAACACCCACAGGATTTCGCTGCTATTTGATTCTAGAAGGGGAGAGTCAAAGGTCCAAAAGAAAAAACGCTCGTCAAAATTTTTGTCGAGTGTCAAACGTCTCGTAAGCTTGGTTTTGACCATTTCTTTCCATTGTTGTCTAAGTCTGTCCCGTGGTTTTGAAAAATTCCTTGCGTGTTTAACATGGGCTGAATCGGTATAAAATCAAGAACACCCCAGATCCTTGAACAACGAATGGTAAGAATTCCAAGCCTCAGTCTTAAAAATAAATATATTCCAAGACGATAATTCGAGGAAATATCAGTAAGAGCTAAGCTACGGAAGCCTAAGAATTTCAAGTACTATCTTATTTGCTGGAGTAGGGAAGATCTAATCAAACATTAAAAATTGATGAGAAATCCTGTATAAGAAATAGCTACTCTCGCCGCTTTCGCAAAATATCTAGTAAATAACACCATACTCAGTCCTGGATATCGCATGCATCATGAACGATCGCCGGGTCATACGCATCTCGAGAAGCGAGAGGTGTTCATGAAAGGCTCAATACTGATTTATAAAAACAGCCGTAAATCAAACAGCACGTACATCGACGCGTTACGTTGTGATCTTTCTTGGGCTGAATTTGATGAGTCTAACAAAGCTGGCCTTTCCCATATACCAAAAAAAAAAAACAACCAAATTCATGCGCTTACCGATGTTGGAACTGCTATGGGCAAAGGTGCCAACACTATTGGTGTAAGGATGAGAACGACGTACTTGCGCCATTTCAGAAAGCACTTCGCGACAGAGGTATCCACAGGATCAGAGGAAACTGCCTCTGCGGAACTGGCCGGTTTCTGGCGTCTGTTTTCCGAATTCTCAGTAGCATTTTCGCTTACGGCTTCAGATGAGAGGCAAACCACATTTGTTACCCCTATTTCCATAGTGTTCATTTCTTGATTCACTCTTGTAGCAACTTAAAATCGACCGAAACAGGGTTATTTGTTTTACGACGGATCTCTCTTGCCGCCAGGTCGACTTAGAGCGACTAGAAAAACCTAGTAATCTGAACACGGTTTTACCGAATGTGAGGTTAAAGTTCACACTATATATTCAGTGTAGCTTGGTTTTAATTGTTGTTTAAGCCCGCCGCTTAAAAGAATATATAAACAAAATGACGTAGCCCCTTTCTTCTTTGTTTCCGAAAAACAAAAATAATGTTTATTGGTTTAAAAGTTAGAACGGATTTGATTAACTTCCAATCAAATAAGTACGACAAAAAGATGCAAATTACAGCAAATGTTTCCTTTCCTACAAGCAGAAAATGAAATAGGTGGTGTTTTTGATCAACATTCCAAAATTTGCACTCTTCATCCAGGAAACATGGATATTCGTTACCTAATTCAATTCCGGGGCCAGTATATTTATTTTATTTTTGTATTTATAAGTCGCGAATCCCCACTGGTGTTCCTAATGAAACTTCGGTTGGTATGGCGAAACAGAGGGATGAAGAATATCTTGGAAATTGTAATATTACCATTAAGCAGGCAGCTTGAGAAAGAGGTGAATGAATGCGCGCGCGTTCTTTTTTCGTGAGAGCGTATTTCGAGTCCAGTACTCTAAGCATTCTCTTTAAGTGGTGCACTACTTCAACAAATGCTTTTTATTTACAATAATGATGAACTTCCTCCAATCAGCTCAGCAAAATATTGGTAATCTGGTGATGGCAGGTATAGTGTTTATAGTCACGCAACGTACCCACCCGTGACTGCCAAGGACAACAATGAACTTGGTATTTTCTCTGTCACCAAATACATTGTGCGATTACAGATTTTTCCTCTACCCTAACTGCAGCTCTAATTGTTTAAGATTTAAATTATTTTAAATACACGTGTCATGAAAATGATAATTTGGGTGTTACTCAACTGTAGATTAGCAGACCGCGGAACCTGTGGAACCTGCGGAACCCTACAATTTTTGTAGAAAGACCTTAACCCTGATTGAAATTTCGTTTTCGGTACAGTAAACAAGATTACTTTAAAAAGACAAATACGTTTTAATTGTCCTTGACGTCCAACTTAGATTGTGGCGATATTCACCGTATAAGGGTATGTAATGTCATACCCTGAGTGTCAATTTAAAAGCTCTGACGGTTTGGGTACCACGATATCCGAATAACGCCCCATCCGAAGGCTCTCAACAAACCTTTAGGCTGAAAGTGGTGGACTTTAATTCCATGGCCATGCATTTCATTGTACACGACCTTGGACTGAAGAACACCGCCATATAGAAACACCATCGTCTGTCGTGCATGTAGAATTTCGGGGTGATCGGGGAGTCTGGAGCGAATTTACAGCGTCTTAGTTCCAGTGGGTTCGTTTGGTTGGCGTTAATGACGTATCTTGGAAAGGATTATATAGAGGGCAAAGCAGATGAACTAAAACCGAGCTAGATTGCCCTAAATTAGTCCAAAAAATTGACACGATACAAAAGAACAACCACTTAAGCGGGGTAAAACTGATCTTATTCAAAATTTGCGCAGACCTTTTAAAGGTTAAGAGCGCGTCTGTTCATTCCCATGCAAATCCTCATATTTCACCCATCACCTATCGTACAACGTAACCATGCCATATTTATTCGATTCAACGCCGCGGCTTTTCTAAAAAGTCATTTTTTATATCGTTACTAATTTCACAATTTGCATGTTAGTACTACTGCATCACATGAAAAGTGAATATATATCTAATGATGCTCTCTAGACATCAGAACTGTTCCATTCAAAACTTGTGCCTGGTTCACTAAAAATTTCCAACTGCGATCGAAGCAATGATCGCTGTGTGCTATTCGAGTAAACGACGCATCGTGATGCGGCGTTTATTCGAGGGTGGCTGTAATTCGAGAGCGGCGTTTGATCGAGTAAATACGGTATTTGGATATTCACAGAGTTCACAAAGGCTCATTGTGTGAGTGTGGGCTTCCTGAGGTTGGAAATCAAGGTAGATGAAAAAAAGAAACTTCAACTTTATTTATACCAGGAAAAAAATTCTCGTGAAGGGTTAAGGTATTATTATTTTTCATTTTATATCATCATTTTTTTTTAAACAAAAAATCAATGGTTCCGCAAGTTCCGGTAGTTCTGAAGGTTCCCGAGGTTCCGCTCTGCTGATCTAAATTTAGTAACTCCGCAGAATATTCATAACAATGATATGTAAATTATGATTTAAGTTCTCTTTGGATATTCAAAAAGAAAAAAAACAATTCATAATATCAACGGTTCTGAAAGAGAGGCGCACTTACAAGAATCTGCCGCCTCATCTTAAAGAAGGTAGATCATAAATTCAAACGTCACAAGCTTTCCAAGCTTACCGTTCCTTCTATCGCGATGGCTATGGGCATCAGAAGAATTGGAGTCAAGACAAGTATCAAATACTTTCGCCATGTTAGGATTCGCTCAAGAAGCGAAACTTTTGCTACTTGTGGCTGCTCGTCGAATGAAAGGTTAGGAGAACCCGATACGTCTTCCAAACTACTGTAACCTCTACCACGCTCGTACTCTGCCATCTTTGTAGACCCTATGCTGTGACAATAAACACATATGTATGTAAAATAATGCGCCGGTTACAGAAAACGAATTAAATTTTCCTATCTTGCCGAGAGCCAAAGCGAAGATTTTCATCGCCTTATCTCAAACAGGAATTAAATCGGTATTCGATCACCTCACAGTTCATTTAAATCACGAGCACGACGTGTTTCGATACTTAAGAACTGAAATTAATCGCAAAGGATCCTTGCCTTGGCTCACATTTTACAAAGGAAACGGAAATGAAAATGAACAGCAAAATTATATTGTAGTTATGGTCCTAAAAATTCATTTCAAACACAAAAACACTAGCAATTAGCTGACCTTGAATCCAACACCGAAGAACCAGATGATCAATATTCAGAATACAAGCAGATCAGGAAGCTGATCATTTGCATGCGTTGTGTCGAAACGGCATGTGTCACGCTTATTAGCAGTCACGCGTGTCATGTGACTTCCTGGGAAGACGACATGGTCCCAAGTTGTATGAATCGAGAAAAAATTCTCAACAGGCAAGTCAACAGACCTTTATTCATTTTTAATTAAGTTTTCGATCTCCAGTGCCTGTATGGCAGCTATGCGATGGATGAATCGTTATCTAGCAGATGAGTGTAGACAGAACGTAATGCGCTGTCCATCGGAGAGAGATTTATCCAGTGGTTTCCACATCAAGGTGATCTCGAGCACTAACTTTTAGTTAATGTGCAGAAATCTCTTCCTTACACCTTAGCGAGCGTGTGTGAACGTTAACAGTTTCATCAGACCTTCATGTGTGCATATCGCACGTTATCATTCCTCCGCGAAATTTTATTTCAGTTAATTAAATCCTGGGACCTTTTAACGGTATAAAAGTAGAAGCCTCGTTATGGCAGCAGAGCAGGCAACAAGAATTGAAAGTATTGTTTATTTTCTCGTGATTTTATTTATCTTTTCTTAATCCTTTGTATTTTTGAAACCATGTAATGTATATTTTTTCTTTCATTTTTTCTTTGGTTTGACGACGTCTGACGATAAACATAATAAACTATAGTGCAATATCTATCAAACTGTCGAAGTCTCTTCCGATGGGCGAACTATATATCTTAATTGCAGTCACCTCGCCACTAGAAGACTCTCCACCAGCGAGCTCGCTACTAATGTAATCTCGTCCCTACTAATTCCCCACCAGTAAACTCACCATAAAGGTCGCCACCTACTTTGATATAAATTTAAAGCTTTAGCCTACTCTACTGAAAATAAAGTCTTGCAAGCCTCGCCATAAGAGTGCCTGTAAATATTTGGAATATTCACCTTTGACTTTCTTAACAATAACAGCTAATTAGTGGCTCGCGGAAGGTAAGTGTGATGTTTCTCCCCTTGCTGTTCACAGAAGAAGTATATTAGCCGTTCTTCATAATAGCAAGCAAAAGATTGTAATTCGATTCAATATTATTATTTTCCAAAAATTGACGCATTAGCAATAAAAAAGAAGGTCGTAATGCAAGTTTATGTGAGATGGAAAATGAATTTATGTGTGTCTGATGGAAAAACTAGGTGCCTCTGTCTTATGACTCGCAGACCCCGCATTTTCGGTTCCAGTCCTTTTATTGGTTGAAGGGGGTAAGTCTTTAAAGACACTGTGGTGCTGTGGTGTTTTATCTGTGGAAGGGGATAATTTTTTAAAGAAACTGTGGTGCTGTGGTGTTTTATTGGTTGAAGGGTATAAGTTTTTAAAGAAACCGTGTTGCTGTGTTGTTTTATTGTTTGAAGTGGATAATTTTTTTGAGAAACTGTGGTGCTACATCGGTAGGAGAGTATAGCAGTGTAATTTGGTATTTAATCTGACTTGATAACGTAAATTGGTCACCGTAAAGTTTCGAAGCTGACGTTACGAGCTTCAGCCTTTCGTCAGAGCGAATGTTTTATCGGGTGGTCGCTTATGAAAAAAAGAATACCACGTAGACAGAACTTATTAAACGCAGGTAATATTGCTATTAACATAAGATATCCATCTTTCTTCAGACATACTTAACATGGGAAACATATTTTATTAGTATGTGAACGAAATAACTCAACTGGCTTGGTGCGAATCGTCCGAGCAGGATACGAATGGACTGGGTACGAAACGGCTTGTGAACGCCCAAGGAATTTTGATGAGTTCTTAATAATTTTTCATCGCGCTTTAATATGCCATGTTCGTGCCGAAGGCGCGTTATGGTTTTCTGGGTTTCGAGAGGTAATGGGTTGAGCATTACTAGGAGTGAGCTTTTGAAACAAAGGTGATAAAGTGTACTTATATCTCTCGGAAAAGAAACACGACAGAAACACGACAGAGGTTAGGTCATTGTTATTCCATCGAGTTATAGTTTTAACTGCGCGCTTCACGAGTCGAGTCGCCTCAATATTTTAAAATGACATGTCAACCCAATCCAGTGTAAGTCAACTTTCATACTTGCAAAGGAAATAACCAAGTAAGTTGAACTAAACTTTATTACTTGATGGCGAGATAACTCGCCTTGGTAGCAAGATCGATCAAATATTGGAGACGAGCTTGCTGGTAGCAAGTCTTCCTGGTGGTGAGCTGAACGAATACCAAATAACTAAATCACCTCATTTTTCCAAAAGTTTGAAAAGTATCCGCTAGAATGTTAAGTGATTACTTCTAACACTATGGTCATGGCCCCATGAATGCTCTCCGACCGCGAAATAACCGCACACGCAAATGATCCCCAAAATGAATAAACAACAGCAAGGGAAAATCATGGGACCATTATTTCCTCTTGATACTAGACAACGATCTTAAACCCAATATGCGAATAGACTCGTAAACCATCCTGCTTTGATTATTTAATGGCTAGAAATCGAGTGATTATTGCTGCTACGACACGAACGACCTGCGAGCGTGCGAGAGTCTTGTAGGCCTCTCGTGTGCTTGCTAACTCGAAACGCGCGGACTTCTCCGCTCGTGTCGTAGCGCACCAGGAAAAGTCTGCTCCAGCCCACCAATTTTGGTAATCGTGTATTATTATGGACCAAATTGTGTTGACCAATGTTTATTTCTTTGAACCCTGTTTTTGTCCGTTTTTACAACGGAAGCATGGTAACGTTTTACCTCAGTTACAAGAATAGTTTCTGACGAAAGGCTAACGCTTGAAGCGTCAGCTTTAAAGCTCTTTAGGGTGGCCAATTTACGTTATTAAATAAGGTTGAAAATACTTAAATACCTTGTTATACTTTCCCACCAACACAGCAGTACAGTTTCTTTAGAAAGTTACCCCCTTTATTTACAAGAAGGGTTGCTTCGTTCGACCTGTCATCACAGGTTGCTCAGGCTGCTTTGTTAATTGTGGTTGAAAATTGTTTTCTTCAGAGAAGCCGCTTAAACCGATGTTTGTGAACCTCGATTTAGCGCATTGAAAATGCAAAGTGGTAACTACTTGATATCTTTGGAAAATTCAGTTTTTCGATTCTCACTTAACATGTTTGCCGATATGAATGGGGTATAAGATGAAAGGCATGACTTTCTTATTGCAAGCTAGCAGATAAACCAGAAAATAATATTAAAAAAAATGACCTTTCATATTGTTAGTCTGCTTTTCGTTTGAGTCTGGCGGAGTACAGTCAAGAAGATTCTTCAAGCAACAAGTTCCTCTTCGTCGCTCGCGGGCTAATTTGCTCTGAAAAAAATAGACACATCCATTGAAAAATGCGACCTTTATAGCACCCTTAAACGCGTGCACAGTATGAGGCATTGTAATTCTTAGCTTATTTTGGAAACAAAGGCCCCAAGCAAGTGATAGCGTATAACCTATTTCCACACAGTTTCTATAAAGGGCAAAAACTGCTTCAAGCAACAAACTCCTCTTCACCGCTCACGGGCTAATTTCTTCCTGATAAACTGGACACATCCATTGAAGAATGCGACCTTTATGGTACTCTTCGACGTGTGCACAGTATGAGACATTGCAATCCTTAGCTTATTTTGGAAACAGAAGCCCCAAGCAAGTGATGGCGTATAACCTATTTCAACCCGGAAAATTAAACGGCGCCACTCTGTCGCAAGTACATTTATACACGCGTCGATCATTGGATTAAAAGGTTCAACTTTAACTTTCACCTTTATTGCTTTCATCCCCTTTGATATCAAAAGGTTATATCAACATTTAGATTACCATTTAAAAAGAAAAAAACACGGTTTCTGTAAAGGGAAAAAAACTGCTGCAGGGCATGCTTCTTGATGCAAGAAAAAGTAACTGAAATCGACTATAACAGAACATCTTAAATAAACATTTTCAATATATTTAAGTGCTTTTCAATGTCTTAAGCCGCCTGAATAACGCCTGAACGGTATGACGGTCACCTTCAGCATTTTTTTTCTCCGGCAAAATGTATTTTCACGTCAATGCTGATAACTAATGCAAATCATTATTGTGTTTAGTTGTTGTTAGACTGACCTGCATCCTCAAGAAAAACGTCTTGCTAACAAGAGTGATATCAGATGGAGTGATTCCTAGCATTAATTAAGGGCTTTTGATATGACTTGGGAGGAAAACATTAAAAAAAAGATAAAAAATGAAATTGTAAGCAATTAGGTTTTGAATTTGGCGACAACAATAACAAAATATTCATGAGATAGAGACACACACCTCTTTAAGAGCGAATGACGTGGCAATATCAGTAATTGTAAACTTCACGAGTGACTGTAAGGACAAAGAGAAGAATTTACAGGTACAGTAAAACATATTTGACGTTTACTTTCAGTTTAGGTAGTAGTTTTTTTTTTAACTTCCTGAGCAAATTAATGACAAAGTACTTGAAAGAGTAAGCTTCGTTGTTATAAACGACACCAAAGGACACAAATGAGAAAAAAATTATGAATTTAGAATTGTGGAGACTAGGTTGATAAGATCAAGAGACACAAAAAAACACTATTTTCCATTTATGTAACAAAGTATAATCATTAATTTGCTGTTCAAAGGGTTGAGTGAAACTTGTATCTCTAAAAAAACAGTATCGTTTTTTTCTTTATGGTCGCCAGAATCAACTGAGTGTACTTCAATGAGATTATCAACAATTGGAAGCAATTCGCTTGCATTCAGCATTATTTATCCTTATAAAATCCGTAAAGAGTTTTCTTAATTAGCCGTACCATGACTTTTGTTGACCGTGCAACCAAAACCTGAACTCATTTTTAAGAAGTTCATCGACAAATGCAATAAAAATAGAGTATTTCAATTAGTTGAGTTCATCCCCTGTTAATGAAAACTACCTCAAGAGTCTAAAAGTGGAGCCCTAGTTTCACTGAAGTGAACTGTAAGATTTTTTAGTATAAAATGTTCCAATTGTGGAGGAACCACTATGATTTGGGAGCCGTTTGAAAAAGCTCTGGCGTTTTATTTCAATTTATGCAAGTCTAAACGTACACGAAATTTAGCTATAATTCTAATTTGAATCATTTTATTTGATTCCTATTTCGGAATAGAATGCTGATTCCGATCTCGATTAGTAGTTTTACTGCATGTCACTCACTGCACGTGATCCTTTGGCGTCGAGGAACTTTGATTTGACAGTTTCAGTTGCTCACGTGCATCCATGCACGTGAGCAACTGATCTTCATGATACACAAATATTACGATAACAAAAATTCCAGAACTTCAAAGCGCGTTTCGTCCAGAATAATTGCCACGAGAAGCTGGTAACTGCTTCCCTCTTAAAGTTGTCCTGTTACCTACTTTCTCGACATTTTGGCTGTAAAATTTTCTTTCCTTACTCGGTAAGCTTTATTCGAATTAACTTCAGCAGTATCTTCAGTTTTAAATGCAACACTGACGGTTGTAAAGTAAAATCAGAGAGAAAGAGATAAATACTTGTTGGAAATTTTTTCTTGTCAGGTATTTCTTTATCTGAAATGACTGCTCTGTGGTAAGTTTTCATTTTTATCTCTTTCCTTCCTCAGTTTGCTGCAGCGGAGCTCTGCGGCAATTTCAGCTTCCGAAATTAAACAACCATATTTGACACGAAATCAACAAACGAAATTACACAATGATCACAACGACGTCTCCTGTCAATTGGTCAAACGTCGTAGAAATAACTGACACTTCCTTACATTTACACGACATTAGATACAAAGCATACATCGCGGTTATGTTTTTCATCCTCACGGCTGGTTTCCTTGGCAACGTAGTGACAATACTCGTCCTTTATCAACCGTCACTGCGCAGTGAAACCTTGACCCCACTCATGGTGAACCTTGCCTTTGCTGATCTTTTCCTAACCATATTTGGGTACCCCACGTCCATCACCATGCTCCTTGCTGGAAGAGACATCGGAAACGATGAAACAGGTTGTAGCTGGTACGGTTTCGCTAACGGAACTGTAGGAATTGCATCTATTGTCACCTTCACCGAGATGACTATTGTTTTGAGTTATATCATGCATCAAATGAAGCCCAGATATAGGTGCTCACGAAAAGTGACCTGCGGTCTCACTATGGCACCTTGGTCTTATGGTGCGATGTGTATGCTTCCCCCTCTTCTTGGTGTGACGCACTTTTCCCCAGGGGCTGCTGGCATGAACTGCGGTCCTGATTGGATAGATATTTCAACCATTGGCATGGTCTACAGTTTGCTGCTGGTCACAGCTGGATTTTTCGTTCCACTAATTATCATCTCTCTTTGTTACTTCAAGATCTTCAGGTTAGTATTCTTGGCTCAAATGCTAAGGTGACTATGTAATGTAACAGCGCTATTTAGGAGTTCTCTTACTGAGCTGAGCAATTGCAATGTGGCATATGATCTTAATCAAAATTTATTGAAACTCCTAAACTTTTTAGTTCAAGAGAACTAGAGAGGAGATAGTTGAATGACTCGAAGTATTTTTATCTGACTGAATTAGAGTAGCAATTTTGCAATTACAGAGCCAGAAATTTAGATATTTAGATATTTCCCAAAGCTAGATCAAAGCAGTTTTTAATAATGGTATTTATTCTCCATGTAGAGTCGCTTGAAATAAGCTAAACCATTCATATAAAGTATTCATTTCCATTAGTTTGATCCTCTTAATACTAAATCAGTGACTCACTTAGTAGTTAGAGCGCTTTTCGATTGAGTGTTGTAAAACCAAACCCAAAGTTATCACAACAGCCAATCAGAATAAGAGGAAATATCACAAGGTGCCAATGGGAAGGCAGAGTGAAAACGTGTAAACTGCGTAGAGCGCGGGAAAACGCGGGTGACCAAGGCGCGATTGGTTTTAGGTTTTGCTTATGATTGGACGAGAGAGTGGTGCAAGTTTTGTGGACCAATCATTACCCTTGACAGTCATTTGTAAATTACTCTACTTTCATCTGCGTAACATTTTCTTACTAGGCTCCTCCGTGAAGATCTCGTTCCAGGTAATAGACCCATAAGATTGCGGCGGAGAAAACGGCAAATTAAGTTACTGCGACTGACTGTAGTGGCCATCACTGTGTTTATACTGAGTTGGTCTCCGTACTGTATAGTCAGCATTATGAGTATCTTCAGGGGCGATCATTTGCTTTCACCCGGCGAAGCTGAAATTCCTGATCTTATGGCAAAAGCGTCAGTGATCTACAACCCCTTCGTGTACACAGTCATGAATAGACGTTTCCGTCTGACGCTGTGGGCGGTTGTATCTCGTAAGAGTCATAGACAGCGACTTTCTAGTAAAAGTAAGGAATCAAGTACTTCTGTGCATAATCGTATCACAGATAGTAAGAGTTTGAAGGTGGCTTTTAACGTGTAGGCCTATCAGAACTATCCATCCATAATTATATGTAGTCTCACATAGAGTTGCTCTTCGAATTCATCCGGATTCCACAATTCTACACAAAAGATAAAACTTTCAGTCTTTATTGTTCTTTTTGTGTACAGATTAAACACAAAGTACGTCGTCATTCTTAAGTGTCAATTAAAAGATAGTTTCATTAGTCCATTTTATAGTTGTGTGCTTAGTTGCCAAGCCTTTGAATAGGAGTGAGGCTAAGGGTGACCTTGTTATGATACAAACATCGCATTACAAATGTAAATTACTACGTGATACTGGTCTCCATCCCAACAAGATCACCTTCAGCCTAACTCCAAATCAAAGGCTTGACAACTAAGCACACAACTGTAAAAATAGTCTATTCAGCGTCACTTGTGAAATAATATCCTAATAAAGTCTGAAAAGTTGTAACGAAATGAATCAAGTGTAGACAACTCATTCTATATTGTAGAAATTGTAGACTAAATTTCTTAAAACCTCTTGTTACTATCAAGTATGTCATCAAATAACTTATCATAATCCTGAGGTTCGTAAACAATAGGTTTATCATCATCATTTTTATCGTTGTCGTCAAACAGAAATTTATAAACTGCTGATGCAGACGATATGTCGTCAAAGTTCTCACCACTGTTGTCATCTGCGTGAAACTTTTTTTCATGGTCATCATCATTATCATCATTTTCATCTTCTTTTTCCTCTTCATAAACATCATTTGAATCATCATCGTTTTCATTTTCATTATAGCGATCTCGATCAACAAAATTTCCGCCATCTAAATATTTTTCTTCATTATCTCTATACAAGCTAATCCTAACCTCGGACTTAACAACAACGCTAAGGTATTTTTTAACACGAGGGATTTTCAAATTCAATTCCGATACATCATCGCCGTCAAACACGTCAGGGAGGAGGTCGGACGACCAAGTAACTCCTTTCTGTTCGTCAGAGAGATGATGCTCTACTTGTGGAAGTTTGCGTTCTTGTTGATTTTTATCACCATGGAAACTCCATAGGTTGTCTACCATCGAGAGGGGTCTTCCTTGTACATTATTGGTTAGTACCAATAGGCAAACGATCAAGAACGTCGTTTTTCCGATCATCGTCTGTTGAGATGAAAATTAAGATTCAGTCACGGAAATGAATAAGATGGCGATGAGAGATGAGATTGGATAAGGTGCACCACTAATGAAGAAAAAGGTAAATAGGATTTGTGGGAAATCTTTTGAAAATTATTGAGTGAACGGAGATTGGTTCGGGAAATGGTATGTTTGCTGTCCATGACGTCAGCATACCCGAAGAATTTCCTTATTATTCATAAGGAAGAGATAGCTGGTGACCTATTCCTTTTGTTATCTTCCGAATGACGGCATTGCAGTTAATTATCTGTTACCGAGGGAGATACGAGACCTCTCATTATTTCGTCAGAGTATCAAGACTATTTTTTTTTTAATATTGCGAAAGGCTCAAAGAGAGTTTTTTTTTCCCGTGGAAGAGTAAGGGCACCAGCACCTGGTGACATTGGACATGATAATTAATACTCGAAGTCTCACTAAAGTATTACAAACAAAAATCGATGAAGATCAGGGAAGATACATTGAATAAAATTAGGTGTTTTTAGTATTTTATTAGGAGGTGTTTGCTATATCAGGCATAATTAGCTGTAAAATGATACAATTTATTTCGATCTTTCTGAAATGAGGAATTAGAATTGGGAAAAATTCCAACCCACATTTAATATCTATTTTGTTTTGAGCGTCCTTTGTGATTTGTAAGAAGCTGTTTGTCGTGAACGTGAAATAAGGAAAACTGGTCAACTGTAGGTATTGTGAAGTTAACTTTCTTCTCTTCAATTCAATGCCTCCGGCACGAATATGCTGACTATTTTGAAAATCAAACTGAACACACGCAGGCATGTCCATTCTTACCTAAGCTAACTTAAACTTCGTTGACGAGTGCTTTCTTAAATTTCTTGACATTGTGCAAAGTTTTTCCAAGCTTCTTACGTAAGTAATTTCAGAACTGACCTCAACGTGAAACTTAAAGGAAAACGAAGAATGTAAAAAACCAAGCTTACTTACAACAATGTTATCAGATTTTTTTCTCCAAGTGGCTAGTCTGAAAACGTCAAGTTGTTTTTTACGATGGCTGTTCACCGTTCACCGTCAGTCGGCGACGATCACAAAGATTCTGAAGGTGTGGTCAAAGTTTATTCTTTAAATAAATGGCTGGTTACTTAGTAACGTTCAAACTGTAGCTTGCAAAACAAAAACTGGAGACAACTGGCAAACAACCATTCAATCGAGCTCATTAAGAGTCTCATTGAATTTCCGTTCCTAACTCAATTTGTCTCTTTGATAATCTCTGCAAAGCTGTTATTCGCATTTTGAGAGATCGTGATATTTTTGTCGGCACATACATTTGTCGGCGAATGTTCCTATTCAGCGACCGTTTCGAAAACAAGAAAAAAAAACATGGAAATTCCAGCCAAAACAGATTTTTTTGTGAGAAGAAATTGTTTCTTCCTGAGAAATTCTGGTATTAAATGGGAAGAATTAAGACGAAGTACAGCGGTAGTGTTTTTTTTTTCCTTTTCGTTTTTTCGTCGTGTTTGTTCATTGTGCTTAATTATTCTACCGGTAAAAATTAAACACCTGAGGCATTATGTTTTGCGTGCGTTCCTGCTATGAAACTTGCCCTCTCTAAATATTTTGGAACTACGGAAAAACACTGAATTTAAAGAGACTTTATTTTCAAATTTATTCGTTTTATTATATTACATATCAGTGCTCCTCACTGAATTTTCAATGACGTCTTTGTTGCCCAGTACTGTAACTGATCTTGACAACTATAAGCCCGCATCACATTGGGACTGTTATTTGAATGGTTAAAGGTTGAAACGTAATGAAATTAGCGCAGGGGTAGACGTTTCCTCCATGTGCTATGCATTGGGGTATGAGTTAAATTACCTGTTGCTGTTTATCGACATGTTGAAGTAGATATCAACTGTGCACAACAGAGCCAAGTTGGAGAGATAGTCTTGCGAATATAATCCACGTTTCTGACTTGTTATATTTCGTCACACTTTGAAATCTCGGACACCCTCTTTTACAAGAGGAAAATCTCCTAAGGTAGCTTATATTCAGCTTGTATTTTTGTACACCGAAGTTTTCCTTTAAAGGATTAACCATAGGAACACCAAATCATGGTGACTCGTATGTCAGTTTAGGAAAACAGGTGGTAATTTTACATACACACTGTGTTAATAAACTGTAAATCTACAATAATTATCAGATAGAGAAAAAATCAGCTTCCCCAAATGGCCTTTAGTTGCAACTATTCGTGTCAAATTTTTTGACTGATCATCATCAGTAGGGAAATGGAAAAAGACTTCTCCACATCGGACAACTTGAAGGTGCAGGTCGAATATTGTGGCTTGATGCTTACATAACGTAAAAATCAACTTCAAATTCGCCGACCGCTGACCTCTCTTCGCCCGCAGTTAAAAACAAAATGGCGCTTAATTCGGCCACTACTGGAGGCAAGAGTATTTGTTAACTCGTCATCTTCTCCGATTCAGTTACACTGAGTTTCAGTCAGAATCCTTTAACTATTCATATCATACACCAAGTTGTGAAAGCTAACGGTGCAAAGAATGGAGCTAAACAAGAATGCTCTGGCATACTCTGCCACAACACTGGCCGCGACGATGATGAACTCCATCTTCACGTTTTATTATGTCAAAATTTTCCTCAACGTCTACAAGTAAGTTCGAGAGTGTATTTAGTAAAGCCTTCAGTCGATTTTATTGTAGAGATTGTGGTTTAATCATAGCAATTGCATTTTGGTTTTCTGAAGTTTAAGCCTGGCTTACTTTAGGAAGCCACGACTGTGAATCTCAAATATTTGAATTACAGATTAATAAATGAATATTAATATGAGATAGATCCTCGAAGTTATGAACACTACTTAAGCAATGGTGAAAATAAAGCTTGATGTGAAAATAAATGCGAGTGGTTTTCGAAGTTGGATGCAAACTAGTTAGGTTCCTTCTTTTGCTAGTAAAAAAAATCTTACTAGCAAAACTTTGCTAGTAGACAAAAAAGTTAAGTTCGAGCCCTGATGACACTCACCTTATTTTTAAATTTTTATCACATGAAACACAGATTCCATGTTGCCATTGGTCTGTACAGTTACTGTAAGTTGTAATAGATTACAGAAGACGTCAAAATGTTATAAGAACTTAAGTGACACACTGGACTGCGCCTCATGTGCCACTTCTTTTTTCCTATGACATGGTGATGTCATCTGTGATCTGTCACTAGTCAGATGCTCAGCAATGTGGAATTTATTTGTTAATTTCTTTTTCTATCTCCTGTAATATTGCAACCAATGGACTGTGAGTGCATGTGGTATGTTATAAGTTGTTCTCCAGTTCTAATGTTTGATGAAATTTTTCACTAGGATTTCAAACTACTGGTTCAATGTGGCTCAAGTTGTATTCCTTATTTGGAATGCCATTAATGACCCTTTGTTTGGATATTTCCAGGTAAAAAATTAAACCCCTGCCTATTTTAGTTGGTATTTTCATTTTATTACTAAAAGAGTAAATTGTCATGTGCCAATCAATCAAAGCTTGAACATCCCCTCCTCCTCTGGCAACCTATCATCCATGCCGGCATGGGAGAATTTGAACCTTGCCTGGGTGGGATGGAGCAGTTGAACTGAGAGCATCAAGTCTGTCCAGCATAATACATGTGTTTTAATGGAGAAGTTAAAAGGTAAAGGGACTGCTTTGATTAGCAAATGGCCAAGAAAGATGATTTCTACTTCACTGATTAATGCTTACGAGCAAAAAACCCAACAGTAGCACCAAAAAGTAATACATGACTTTGCTAAATTCTACAACATTTGCTGATCACACTAACAATTATTCAATATTGAGTAGGGTATTTGAAAGCAATTTTGGCATGGGAGGGGAGGGAGCGGGATCTTGAATGAGCCAATCCTCAAAAGTTCAAATTCCCAGGGATGGGAAGCTTTAAATGATCAATGCATAAGTATATGTTGCAGCCAGTTGACTAATCAGATCCAGTTGATAGAGGAAATTGAGAATCAACCTTGTCAAAAAGTTTCAACTCAAGAGTAAAATTTAACTGCATCATATTTGCTAAGGAATTTACAAGTTTCCTTGAGCGTGTACATAGTATGTGATGTATCTGATACAACTTTTGATAAATGACTTTAGAGTTTTAATTGATTTAATTTATAATTATTACTATCCACCAGGACAGTTCTACCTGGATGGTTTTAAGGAAACGGAGATTGGCTATCCTATATGGCGCTCCTCTATTTGCAGTGAGGTAAATGACAGGAATACTGTCTATTATGAATTTATCATTTTATTTTTCTTGCACTTGAGTGTGGTTTTATGACTCTTCATCTTTTGTGTGTCTGTTTTAAAATATGAGTATATACCTGAATAATGTTTAATACTGTTACTGTTCTTTCAACCTTTTCACCCCTAAAATCTTGGTTAGGTAATTCCCTTTACTTTCTGCCATACAGTTTGTATGATATTAGTTTGGAGAATTTGGTATTTGATCAACTAATAATCCCTAAGTTGATATTTTTCTTTATTCTCATTACTTGTGTGCTAGATATTGTATTGATTCAGAGTAAAAGTGTCAAGAGGTGAAGATTAACCCTTTAACTCCCAAGATTTCATTAGTAATTCTCCTCACTGTCTACCATACAGTTCTTGTAATGTTTAAGTTTGGAGAATTTGCTATTGGATCAACTTATAATCTCCCAACTGATATTTTTCTTTATTCTCATCACTTATCTGCTTGATATTGTAGTGATATTGTAAGGAGAAATTCTTTCTGGGTCATTCATAGGAGTTGAAGGGTTAATAGATAAAATAATTCATATTAAATGGTATGTCTCATATTAATATTGTTACATTCAATCCTTATGAGGTGCCAAATTTTTTCTAAATTTTATCACTGTATATTTTGTATAGCTTCTTAACCCCTTGGTTTCCATGGACTTGGCTTGGTTTAACTGGTGACTGGGTGGTTGGACTTCATCTAATGACTTCACTGTGCTTATATGATGGCATGTTCACATTTGGTATGTAGAAACTGTCAGTAAAAGTTCCTTCAATCCTGTATGTACAAAAACTCTGCTACCTTGAAATCCCAAGGGAAACAAATACATGCTTCAAGTTTGTTGTGGTTTGAGTTATGTGGATTGGTGTTAAATTTTAATTACAGCTCCTGATATTAATCAATAAGCAATCATTTTTATACCATTCTTGCACAATCCGCAGTCATTTTCATATATCAAGTTTGTTTCATAAGTCAGAGCCTTTCATAATAAAATTTAGTGTGGGAAATTTATATAAACGTGTTTCATTTTCATCTTTTAATGTCATCACATTCTTATTAATCACAGTTTAAGGTTGAGACGTCAATCATATATGTTCTGACGTTCCTCAACCAATATTTTTTAATTAAAGTTCCAGTTATCAGCTGAGGGTAAACTGGAGCAAAGGCAAAATAAAGTTAGTTTGAGTGAAAGATTCCTTTCTCACATTTAAGACTATTCTAATCAAAGAGCACAATCTGCTATTTGCTTTGTAACATCACACTAGCATTACCATTAGGCTCCAATGCTCTGCACAGGAATCTATTGTCAGAAACAATGACATACACTTGGTGATATTGTTTGGTGATCACATCAATCAGTGCATTACTACTTAGCTAACACATAATAATTTTTCTTATTCTTTTTTTTTCTCCTTTCTTGTTTTTACATGAAGTATTACTTGCCCAGTGTGCTCTTTTTGCTGAGATTTCAACTCAACAAGAGGAAAGACAGACAACTCTCAAATATGTGTAAGGAACTAAATTATAAATGAATATACTATACTGTGTAAAATAGGATAATACAGTATGTGTCATTGTCATGTAAGTCATAAATACCATGTACACTGCAGTTGGGTCCTTTTTAGTTTAATAATTACCCAAAGTTGTTTTTTTTTTTTAATAGAGATATTATAAGTCAGAGTACTTTTTTGGATTGGGTAAGCTTTGTTCACCTACATGTATGTGCTTAAAATAAATCTAGAGTAAATATTTGTTCTCTTTATGTTCCAGACAAGTGGCATCTATTATTGGCTCAACAGCTCTTTTAGTCAGTACAAATGTTTATCAGAATGAGGTAGGGTACCAAGTAAACTTCTTGCTTGATTATATAATTGTCTTAAGGAAAAGGAACCTGGGAAAATGTTTAGGGAGCAAATTTTATAAACAACTAAAGTCCACAATTATGTGATTTTGATAAGCTTTATTTGATACAAAATTTTATCTTTTAATCTACTTCTTGTAATTGAATATTAAGTGTTTTGTGAGCTGTATTTATAATTTAAGTTAGTTTTTTAATCTAATATTTATTACATTTTTTAAATAGTTATTGTAAAAAAAGAGTAAACCTCTTGCATCATACAGTAGCTGCTACATTGTAGCTTTAAGATCTCCAACAATACTTATGTGTGTTATAGAATAAGAAAGATCAGGGAACTTGGTAAAAGCACTATTCACCTGTGTGTAGTTGTATAATTATGCTAACAAGATAAAATCATGATCAAACTCTCCAAACCTACAGAACACATTTAACATATTTGAAGATGGCATTGACCCTTTTTCAAACCCTGATTTATTGCCTAATATTTGATATACTACTTAAATTTTCTTAATGGTGAAAGTAATGATTCTCTAGATTTATAATTTCAGTTACAAAAACAGTCATGACAATTTCTTTTCTTTTTTTTTAAATTTAACAGCAAAATAATTTCAAGTCATTCCAAGCAGTATGCATTATAGTTGCTTTTCTTAGTTGGTTACTGATGAGGTACACTGGTATGAATGTTGAAGTGGCTGTGGATGCAAGTGTGTCTGGCAGTGGAGGAAATCAAGGTATTTTTTATCCCTTTGACCCCCAACAAGTAAGTAGCTGCTAGTTTCTCCATACAATATCATCCCTGAATCAAAAAGTAGAGTCCCGAGAATAAAGTAAATGATCACCAACTAAAGAAGCTTTTGATTAATAGACAAATTCTCCTTGTCAGCACCTTTGGAAATGTATAGAGAACAGTGTGGAGAATATGCAGACTGATGTTGGGGTGTAAAGGGGTAAAGAATTTTCATATGAAAGATACTGTATGCAAAATGGTACTCTGTACCTAAAAGGATTAATTTCAATGTGAAGAGATTTTTCATAATAAGGTAGTTGTGAGTTGCAGAGATGTTGTCTGATTTACAGAGCAAATTGATTTCTTTATACCTCAAATTTTTAGGAATACAATATTAGGGTCATTGCAACATCAGTTGTTATGGGTAACACGTCTAATACAAGTGTGTGTCTGGGTAGAGTGACGAGTTGACCATACCTTACAAATAAGAACTTGTCACACATAACCCTTTACACCCTAACATCAGTATGCATTTTCTCTTTACTGTTCTTTACATATTTCCAAAGTTGCTGACAAGGAGAACTTGTTTAACAATCACTTGAAGAGCCTCTTTAGTTGTTGATCATTTCCTTTATTCTTGTGACCATAATGTGTGGCTCAGGGGTGAGCCACACATTAGGGAAATAGGGAAAAGTAGAGGCAAGTCACACTTAGGGGTTAAAGGGTTGTAAAAATTAATAAACAAACTGTTATTGCTAGAGCAATAGATTTCATTTTGATTGAGTATGGAAAACCAATCAGAATTGAGGGCAAATCACAAGGGGTGAGTGAAAACTACAAGTACAAAGCAAGTAAACTGAATGAAATAGGAAAACAAGGTTGACCATGGTGTTATTGAGTTGGGTTTTGCATCTGATTGGTTGATAAAGTGGTGCAAGTTTTCTGGACCAATCATAAAGCAAAGGAAAGGCAAGTACAAAGCAATCTCAGAATGCTTTGGACACTCAATTGAAAATGTCTCTATTCTTGCTTGTCAAATCCTAAGCTTACAACTGCTACTGGAGGGCCAGAATTTATTTTGTAGTCAGAAAGGGGCATCTAACTGATCTTTCACTTTTGACCTTACATCATATAAGAATTATGTCTTGTTGTTGAACTAGACCTGTATAACTAAATAGTAACTAAAAGATTGTGGTAATTTAGTCTGAAATTGTGGTGTTCATTAATTTTAATCTTTCAGATGGAAAGACTTCAAAGGAGTCACTTCCTCTATTTACACTTTTAAAGCAAATATTAACACAAAGAAGCTTTGGTAATTATTACCATTTCATACTTTATAAGGTTAAAGAAATTGTTTTAGAAAATAATAGAAAAGTATGTTTCTTTTGATTTTAATATGTAAACAATGATATTTTCGTTTATTTTGCAGTTTGTTTTGTGGCCATGAATTTTTTCCAGGTAATCTGAAAGTAATTTTTTTAAATACATATTCCAATAACAAAGTTGACATCATAAAGAATGTGCAAACTTATCATATAATTATAGTCCCTTTAGTCTAAGATCATCTGGTAAGTATATAATGTATTCTTAATGCATTTTTATCAAGAAAAGTAATGAATGTTTATCTCTTTAACTCTCAACATCTGATTGTTAAATAAATTCTCCCTTTTAGCTGCTACATATTTCCTTGTAAATTAGTTACATGAATTTGGTGTTAGATACCAATAATTTAGATTACAACTTGTATTTGATACATTTGAGTATTCTTATCTCCTGTTTGCTGGATAATGTACAGATATTATAGGGAGAAGTTACATGTTAATCACTTGTGGGAGGTAAAGGATTCAGACTTCAGTAATGAATCCTATCACGCTATGAACTAATACATGTATATTTCAATACTTTAAATTTAGAATTAATAGTCAATTTTTCAACCCAGGTACCACCAAACAATTTTTTGTGGTAAAAGAATAATTACATACTTTTTGCTCATCAGGTTTTTCATGTGACATTTTGCAGCAACTTCTTTCTCATTTTTGCGGAGCACCTTATAGGACCTGGTGTCATTCCAGCTGTAAGCTTCTGCCTTTTGACTTATTTGTAATAGAATGGTCTCTTAGATATGAAATAGATTATTAACTGTTGATGTCAATGTTGTGCAAAAATGTATTAAATAAATTTAACTATGTGGTAAATGGTAAGACACTAGTAAACAGTTTAAGCATTCAGGATTCTATTCAGCTAGAGTTTTGAATTTCTTCAGTATGGTTCCTCCTTACAAAAGATTTACTGGATACTTTTTTTAAAACTACATCAATCAAAGGAATATAGTTTTGATGTACCCTTTATTATGAAGCATATGTTAATCATAATATTATGATTTAAAGCTGTATGTTTCCTTTTAAAAACTAGGATACCAAAAACATTGAAAAATTAATGACTATGGAAGATATATTTCTTGAAATTAAAAAAATCAAAACACATTCATATATATTATATAGATGAAAAAAAACAATCATAACACTATAAGCTTATAACATGTATGCCCTTTGTAGCTAGAGGCCAATAAATATTATACATGTGTAAAGTGACTGTGCTTTTTATTTTGACAATGTGTCATTTTCAGGTCCTGTACAGTTTATTAACTGGGTCTGTATTCTTGGTACCCAGGGTAGGTATCAACTCTCGATTTTGTTTTCTAAGTTTATCTTCTTTACTGATGGGAAGGGGTTTCTTATAGGGTTGATAAACTCACCATTCAAAAAGAGAAGCAGTCTTTTCTATTCTTCATGCCAAGTACTCTTCTATGGCCAACCCTCCTTCTCTTTGATTTGTGTAATGATAATGAGGGTGGCAAAGATGTTTTCAGGTCCAAGAATTTTTAGGCATCTTGTGTACTTTAGATAGCATTTCATGTGTCACAAATTTAAAAGGAAAACTTCAAATCTTATCATATCTTGCCTTTTTGTAAACATTCATGCCTCATCATATATTATTAATTTTAGGTTTAATTATTTTTAGCACCCTCTATATATTGCTGGTTTGGAAATAGTTGAGGCAGGCAGGACATATGTAGTATCAGGGTCCGTATGGGTCCTGGAAAACTTGGAAAGGAAATTTGCTTAACTCATTCACAAGCAATAAAGTTTTCAGAATTTTATGTTATAAGAGATGCATGTAGACCACAAGGAGAGTTGATTTTGAAATCTTAGGAGTTAAAGGGTTTAAGGTGATATTTGGAGTCCTGAAAAAATCAAGCTGAGTCCTGGAAACATCCTTGAAATTTGTTACTGAAAAAGGGAACAAACCCTATAGTATGCAGTGCAAGAAAAAGAGGCTTTTAAGCTTCATTCCTCCCCATTTGTCTGATGACTTATTAGTTTTTAAACTGTTTTAGCAAATATGATGTCCTTACTTCAATTAAAAGTTATTACAAATCTTTTCATCAGCTGCTTGTTTTATTAACAAGTCCATTATTAGCTAAGTTTGGCTCCTACAAGGTCATTTTGTGGTCATTCTATGTCAAGGTAAGAAAATTATATGTATTTCTTGTACATACTACCATTTTTTTTAAATTTGTTAATCATAATTTATTATGAACCAACAAAATGACAAGTTCTCAGTCAGCTTGTTAACATAGTCAGGCTTTATTTTACAATGGCTTTTATTCATCTCTTGATCTGTTGTTCTCATACAATGCAAATGATTTTCATAGATTCACAGTCATTTTAATAGCCTGTTGAGAAAGGCAAACATGTGTTTTGATTCAATGTTTCTAATGTAAAATGCAGCCCGTTTGCATGGACATTCTTTCATCCATTACACCCTAGCACCAGTATACATATTCTCCTTACTGTTCTCCATAAATTTCCTAAGGTGCTGACAAGGAGAATTTGCTAGTCACATTAAGGGTAGAAGTGTTTCATTTATTTAGCAACTTAAAATGAGATATGGAAGTAATCATTGATGATGAGATCATTACTTTTTTGTTTTGTTAGTGAAGAGTATTCAGTAAGCATAGGCTAGTTTTATATATTTATAATAAATTGTTTTTTCCTAAGTACACCTAAGATCAACATTTATTTCAGTGAAAACAGCTTACAATTTTTTTCTTAACCTATTTACAGTTGTCACTGCCTGTAGTTGTATTTTTGGCTGGAAGGAGTAACATTTGGGCTCTTTACTTCTTTCTTATCATAGACAAGTAAGTTTTTATATCCAATGAAAATAAACTTTGATATTGGTTGTATGTATATCTGATAAAGGGGGAAAGCTATTAATTAAAAGAAACTTTAGTGCTGCATTAGTTTGGATATTTCCAGTTAATGTGGTTTTATTAACCACCATAAAGATTTTTTTAAAGCATGAGTCCTTCTGACATAGCAACTCTGACAAAGGGCCAATGCTTGAAACTTCAGCTTTAGAAACTCATTATGGTGGCCAGTTTACATCATCAACTCTGATGACAAGACAAAATTATTTTGGATGTATATGTTGTGATTCAATGTTATCCTTGGTTCAAATGCGAGCTCCACTCTTAGGCTTGGCTAAATTTATATATTATTTTCTTTTGTTTTTGGGTATTGTAATGTATGATAATGAGTTTGAAACAAAGGAAAATAAAATTTGAACCAAGGATAAAATTGAACCACAACATATATTTACATATCATTTGTTCATTACTTAATATTGATCAATTATTATTGGGTAGTAAAAAATCTTTAATTGATGAGTGGAATTATTTTGTTGGGTATTGTGGAATAATTGTGTCATAAGGCTGAGAGTTTGGTTCAAGGGTTTGCTATTTTGAGGGAAATTAATCATGATAAGCCAGCTCTCACAGTTTGTGTGTTGATTTCAGCTCTCTCCCTGATGCCACATTCTCATTGTTCAATCTATCTGTTTCTGACATAATTGATGCTGATATGGAAAAATACCAGAGAAAGTGAGTAAAGGGCCTGTAGTTTGGGTTAAAAAAAAAAAAAAAGGCTAAGTCTGCACTCTAGCCAAGTGGCCCATGCAGCTGGAGCTTGATCGCCAGGTTTTTATAGTATGAAGCAACCAAGGAGTATTGGTACTCTCCCCTGGTTACCCTCCAGCATTTCATTACACTTCCCTTACAATTTGTCAGGACCCATGTATGCTCCTGGGTAGACAGAGGCATTGTGACATTATTTGATTGAATGATAGCATATTTGGTTTCTTACAACTAAGTCATGATTACCAGTCATTTACAAGACATGTCTGGTTTTCATCAGTAGCATACTTTCCCCCCTTGTTCTTAAAGTGCACCTGTGTCCTCCATGATATTCGGTACCAATGCTCTCTTTACCAAGCCAGCACAGTCTCTAGCACCAATGATGGTGGTACACATACTCTCCTGGTATGGATACAAGGTAAGATGCATTTTTCTTTTTGGAAGGTTTTTCAACAAGTCACAAATTTTAACTCTGTGGCATCAAGGCTCCTGATGACATGGATGGTCTAAACACTGGAAAAGAGCACTTTTGTCAATGCTACTGCACTAAAATTTCTTGCAACGCTGCAAATCCCAGACTAGTATCCAAATATTGGTAACTGTGAAGAAAATCTCCCTGGAAAAACCTGTCAGCTGACAGGTTACCAACAGGCCACTATCAAAAAACTTTGATGAAATTATGGTGAACTTAGTGTGCATTCAATTAATCTTTCTTTAAATGAGTTCCTGTTGCAATCTCTTGAATGACAAAGTGCTCAGGCGGTTAACAGTCATCTGACTGTCAGCTGACTGTCAGCTAACATGTCTTTTCAGGTAGTTCTTCATCACAATTATACATTTAAATGATTGATACTTGAATGTCTTGTTCTGAGAATTTCATTGGACTACAACGTATGGCAACTTTTACTTGGTTGTTATTTTTGTACATTTGTTTTTGGCCATTTTGGCACTGTTAAATAATATATTTGTTGATCATTTGTTTGTTTCCAACTATCTTTGCAGGATACCCAAGGCAATAGTAAAGTCTCTTCAGGTAACAAGTACATGAATTTTTGAAGTCCAGTTCATACTAGTTACTTTTAATTTATGCTTGTTATTTATTCTTTGAATTAAATTACCTAAAGTATCACTCTGAGGTTAATGTCAGTGACAAGAGCTGGAACTTGAAAATGTGTTTTTGAGTAAGAGGTGAAAAATTTTCCCAAAGTATCACCTTTTCATGTTTCAATTCTCTATTATTTTCTCTGTTTTGTAAAATTTGAACCCAGCAAGAAGTTGAGGCATAACATGCTTGATGTAACTACCAACAACTTGGGTTACAACCTCTTTTTGTTGAATCATAATGGTTATTGGAAACTTTCCAACAACATTTCATTTTGTTTGGATCAGTTCTTTAAACTCAACTCACATTTAATTTCACACATCAGTTACCAATCATTTTCTTTTTTTTTTTTTTTCAGGGTCACCAGGGCAACTTTTAGATGCTATGTTTTTCCTTTTGTGTATCATTCCTCTCATAATTGCTATGGTTCAAATTGTGGTGTGGGCCTTCTACCCTCTTAAGAGACCAAAAAAGGCTCAGGACATATCCAAGATTCTGTTATAAATACTTCTTACTAACTGAGTTCCATACTGTAAGTTACAGAGTGACCAAGTTTTTTTCCTCTAAGAGTTATGTCCCAAGCACAAAGTGCACAGGCCATAAATTAAAACAGAAAAATAGGGTTCCAAACTTGTGGTACAGACCAAGAAAGCAGTTTGGCAAAATATATATTATATCTCTGGGTTCAAATAAAGGGGATAGATTTAGATTCAAACAAACTTTATAGTATGAAAGAGTCTTGTTTGTTAACCTTTGGGGTACAGGTATATAATCCTTGTGTCTTAACCCCTTTCCTGTCCATATGATGTACCAAGTGCATCACACAATTTGCAGTTTGCACACCTATGTGACATACTCAGTATGTTGAGAGTTAGTAACAGTGAATTTCCCAGCACTGGAGATGTAAAGTAACCTGGAGTTTCAAACACAAACAAGTAAGAACTCTGAAAACAAATAAGTAAATTTGCATTGGCACAGGACTTCTTAGTGGGGTTTGGCTGCAAAGGGGTTTAAAGACTAGTTTTTGAGAGGGTTTTTTCACTTATTTTCGTAGAAACTCAAATTTGTGTATTTCAAGATTCAGGAAATTTAGGAAGAAATGTTTATACTTTATATGTCCTTAAATATTTAGCTACTTAGGGATTAAGGAAAAGAAGAAGGAAAAAAAGTATTAAGTTCTTAATGATAGTCTGGAACAGGTTTTATTGAAAATAAGCCATGATATTCCATGAGTATTTCCCATGTAATATTGGGCCAAAATGGAGAGATACATTCATTCTTTTAATATAAATATCACATGATGAGGAAGGGAATTAATCCAAAAGTTTTCAATTGTAATTAAGAGTAGTATTTTTTCTGAGGTACAATGTTGTAGTGAAAAGATCCACACTGTAAAAAGAGCAAGTTATTGAATTATTCCATGTTAATAGAAAACATGAAGAGAAATAAAAGGGATAAGGTAATGAGCTGAAGAACATAAATATTATTATAGTGGAGTTTGTTTGAATAAAAGTGTCAATTGAGAATGGCAAACAGTTGATGTATTTTTCCCCTTGTGTTTTATCTGTTAGTGTTGCATTAATCCTCATAGACAATGTAAAGTATTTTGCTCTAGACATTAATTCAGCCAAAAAAAAATTGAATTAAGTGCGCCTCACTCTGAGCGATCCACAAAGCACATTAACATTACTTATTTTTTTTAACTTGCAAGTCAAAGATGCCCCTTATATACTTTGACTCTAAGCTCTGTGCTCAAATCGTGTCCTCGAAATGTTACTCATACTCTACAAAGGTTACTCACGAAATGGTAAAGGTTTTGACTGGCTGCTGGACTCTTTATGTATCTGGTGACTTCATTACCAAGGCTTGACTCAATTATGATCATTACTTTCCAAGGCTAGATTAACTACTTTGGGATTATGACTGATCTCATCAAGTATGCAATGCACTGTTCCAATTTCTGTTGCAAAACTGTGTTTGGCCACTTTGCAACCTTAAAAGCTGATCATACTCTATCATGTCATCATCATCTTGGAAAAAGCTGATTTAATACTGTGATGAAATTTAAATTTAAAATCTTCCGAACACTCCATTACTACTCTTGCCCTGGGTATGGAGTAAAAAAATAATAAAATGCCATTCTAGTTAATGGCAGCACTGATGGTATTCAAACTATTGAGTTCATTGTTTTTGAAACCCTACTTGGGGAGCTAAGTGTATATGAAGAATGCATGTGTGAGTTGAATGTCTTTTATTTGTTTTGTTAGAATAAAGACACTGTTTTGTTTTTACTCCAACATTTTGGTATCAGAGGAAGGAGTTTTCCAATATACCTCTTAAGGAAACTAAAAAAAGGTATAATACTTCTACCAAGGATGAGGAAGCTACCTGGACACATTTTTTCATGTCTTACATCAACCCTTGACACCCTAACATCAGTATGCATATTCTCCATACTGTTATTCATGGATTTCCTAAGGTACTGGCTAGGAGAATTTGTTTAACAATCAAGAGCTTGTTAATTTGGTGATCTTTTTCTTTGTCCTCATGACCTTAATGAGTGATTCAGGGGTGATATTGAAAGGAGAAAATAGATACTAGTCACTCTTAGGAGTCCAAGGGTTAATGGCTGACACACTCCACATCTTAGAGCTTGAAAAGTGTTGAAGACTGCACATAGCATGGCACTGTACTCAAAATTACAATATGTCAACTATTTAACTCCTAAGATCTGATTAATTATCCCCTCAAACTGCTAAACATATCCTTGTAAATTAGTAAAAAAATTTTGGTGTTTGATCAAAATGATAACTTCTACTGGATAAGTTGGAGTAATCTCATTACCTGTTTACTGGAGAATGTATGAATATTATAAGGAGAAGCTACCTGTCGATCACTTCCAAGAGTTGAAGGGTGAAACTTTCTTGAGGGATATAGCTGTGCAATCCACACCTCAACCATAACCATGGGTCATAAATAAGATTTTAAACATGGCAAAATTTGTAAGTTACACTGAATAATAACCTCACTACTACAAACATCAGCTGAAGATTTGGGCAAGATGTGACAGTTCAACCTTTACCCTCGGTACCCAATATCACCAGCATAAAAATTAGTAAAATTGACATTCTACAAAAAAGATACACAAGTCTACTAGACCCTACGTGTACAACTCAAAGTCAATACGTTTTGAATTATAAAATGGTCCACTGTCTTCCCCAACTTTTCGCACCCAGACTCCATCGCCAAAACACCCCTGATCATTCCAAATTAACATGTATGTTGATGAATATGGTCCATAAACAGTAGCATCTTTTGTATTTTCCCATTTGTAATGCCAATAAACCTCATCTTCATTTGCTGATTCTGCTTTGATGTCATCAGAACTCTCGGTCTCCATGACTGTGTCCTCATTCTCTCCTCCCCCTTGTCTAAAAGCAGCCTCCAGAGCATCATCTTCCTCGGCTTCCTGTTGTTTTTCTTGCATAGTTTTGACTTTGTGAGCCAATTTTTCAAGTGTATCTTGATAAATACTAAAGTAACCCTTCTGAAGCAGTTGATCTGCTAGTTCCGTGAGTTTTAAAAGTTTCTGTTTGTCTTCCTCGGAAGTTGAACCCTCGTTTTCCTTAGCCTTCGGCTTCTTCGATTTTGGTTGCCAACGTGCACTTGCAGACGAGTTGCGACCACTTTCTTTTCCACCGAGACGTCTGAGAGCTTTTAAGACGGTCTCACCGGGTAAAAGCATATCTATAATATCTTTTATTGCTTGAATATGATCACTTGGTTCGTCGGCATCTTCAAAGATACCATTATCACCATCACTAACATTCTTCTGAAGCTTGTCACCCTGTTCTTTGATTTTGACCCAGTCCAGCGAATCCAGCCATTCATCTCGAATAACTTCCTCTTTTTTCTCAAAGTAGTTTCCCTCTGCGTCGAAGTGGCCCTCTTCCATTTCTTCCTTTAAATTAAACGGCGTTATCTTGATTCCTTCGTCGTAATCAATCGTAGCGTCCTCTTGTCCTTCCAAATCCTCCTCGCGCAAAACATACTTCTCATCATCTTTGCCTCCATCGTTGTCATCACCTTCTTCGTCACTGTCCAGAGAGTGCGCTTTGATTCTTGCTGGGGTAGATTCTACCAGAATCTCCTCGCTCTCTTTATCAGCAAACTGCACTTTACGTTTCGACATTTTGCTTGCGAAAGAGAAAGAAAAATGGCGGAAGTGCATATTATTATCCAGACCTCCGCAGGCCGCTTGTTTGGTCACGTGCCCTTCGGCCTAAGGGCACGTGACGGCCTAAGAAATGAAAAAATTTACTGATGTCGATAGGACAGGAGTATAATATGCCGAAAATGAACTTTTCATTTTGATGTAAGTCTTCTTAGGAATTCTTTAAAATTAGTTTCATCTTTCAGCATATTTTTTAACCAGAATAGAGAGATAAGAGCGGAATCGTCCCTTCTGAAGACGAACTTCAATTGCTTTGTTTATGTGACATTCAGTCATGCAGATAGCTACTAATGACTAGATGATTACTGGACGGGAAGATCTGCCATACACCGAGAATTTTGGGGTTGAAGTTGCTCGTCGTTAACGAAGTTGCGAATTCAATATGGCAACCGGAAGTTGGAGTCACCCTCCTCGGCCATTTGATGATGTAGACGTGGAAGCGATAGATACACTGTCCCTTGACTTTGGACGTTTTGAAAGAGTTAACAGATGGAAAGGAATGCCGGAATGTGACGAATTTGTTGGAGCAAGGTATCAACTAGAGGGCTTATGAAGATCATTTTGAGATAAATGGCAATGGGACCCCCCACCCCCTCCCCTCCCCCCGGCCATTATGGAAGGCAACTCTCGGCATATGGTCGTTTGGAATTTTCTTTTCAAAGGAGCTTAAAACAGTACCCCTTTTTGATACCCAGAAGACTGGAAATTACAGTTCAGATTTCAAATTTTTTCAATAGAGTGTACCTATATCTCCCCCACTGCCCCCTAGGGAAAAAGGACCCTCTTCCAGGGGAAACTGCTGGTTACCCCATCAGCAGGCACTTATAGAAAAAGTCAATGAAACCCCTGCTTTCAATAACTTTTTCATGAATTTCTACATGTAAAATAGTTTTTGTTTCACTTTCTAGACGAAGCAAACATACTCTTGTTGCCTGGAATGATGCATTGTATGTTTTTGGTGGTGACAATGGGTAGGTAAATATTTTTTTATTATTATGTCTATTTAATTATGTATTCATTCCATTTTATTAACCTGCAATTTTTTGTTGCTGTTAATAAATTTTAGGGTTCACCATAAATCTTGATGTAATTCTGTCTAATTTACAGAAAGAGAATGTTAAATGACATATTGCGATTTGACATCAAAGACAACTCATGGAGCAGGTAAAGTGGAGTATTCAAATTGACCAATAATCTATCCTGATTGACTGTTTTAGGTTAATGTCAACATGATAGGGTGCCATTTGGAAAAATCTTCCTAGTGCATGCTACTTCAAAAGGAACCATGGAAACGTCTATGCCACTGCAAAGCTTATTAAGTATATATATTCTGAAAGTTGACACTCTTTCTCTTGGCAGGCATGCAGAAGCCTTTTAACACAAAAATTGTTTTAAAGGTTTTTCAGTTTTTTTCTACCAATAAAATAAACTGCTTTTTCTAACTTAAAAGTGAAAAAACCCCATTATTTTGAAATTTGTTACAGATTTCATCGAAAGTAATCTTTCAAAACAAGCGGACATATAAACATGATGTTATATTTTCCATGATTTGAAACCTAACAAAGTCTATTTATACTATTCAGAGCAGTAACCAAAGGAACTCCACCAGCACCTCGCTATCACCACTCAGCTGTGATATTTGGATCCCACATGCTGGTGTTTGGAGGGTTTACAGGTTATATTTTGTTATCATTGAGTAACAGGTAGTTTTTGGTTGGTCATTGATCTTCATTTAGACAATTGGTCTAGTGCCATCCTCTCAATGAACCTTTTACACCTTAAGTAACATCAGTCTGCACATTCTCCACACTGTTCTTTTATACATCTCTCAATGTGCTGATAAGGAGAATTTGTTTACTAATCCAAAGTTTCCTTCCCTGGTGACCATTACCTTTATTCTCATGACCTTAATGTGTGATTCAGGAGTGGTATTGTAGGAAGAAATTAGATGCTAGTCATTCTCAGGGTTTAAAGGTTTCCACATGTGCTAAACTAAAACCAAGCATTTGCTCTGATGAAGGGCTAATGCTTGAAAAGTCAGCCTTAAAACTCTCTACAGTGGCCAATTTATGTAATTAACTTGGTTGATAATTCTTAAGTACCCCTGTTTAAACCAAGCATAACTTGTTCTCCCACACTCTTTGCTGTTTTCCTTACTTTTAGGTCTCAGTGGCTAATTATGATATTGACCTTGGTTTTGATTGGCTGTTTAACATTGTGATAACTCTGAGTTTGGTATTTTAACCTTCAATTGAAAACTGCTCTGATTTATCAACTAACAAATAGATTCCATGTTGTTGTGCATCTGTTCAGTAAAAGCAAAAAAGTGGTACACGAGGCCCTGTCGAAGTGTCACTGAAGTTCTTGACCCTTTAGCCCCTAAGAGTGACTAGCATCTAATTTCTCCTTACTATATCACACCTGAATCAAAGACAAAAGTCATGAGAATAGAGGAGATGATCATCAACTTAAGCAGCTCTTGATTGTTAAACAAATTCTCCTTGTCAGCCTCTTTGGAAATGTATGGAGAACAGTATAGAGAATATGCATACTGATTTTAGGATGTAAAGGTTTAACTCTTACCTCTTCGATGATCTATCCTCCAATAGATCATAAGATCTTAATAAAAAACCAATCAAAATGAATCCATAATTTAGCTTTTCATACTTATGAGAGTGTTACCCACAAGATTTTTTCAGAGCTCAGGAATACTGAATTTTTCAATGTTAATGTTTGTTGAAGGTGACCTTTACTCAAATTCTAACCTACAAAACAAGAATGACCTATTTGAATACAAATTCAGTACTGGGCAGTGGTCAGAGTGGCGCTTAGAAGGAAGGTTTGTGATGTTATATTTTAAGTCATGCTTGATCTTATCCTCAAAATTCATGGACCAAAGAATACTTGGTTCGTATATTAGTCTTAAAGTTTGAATTTTCAAAAGTCAACATTGAACAAAATACCTGAGGAAAAAAGGCTTGTGAAAGTGAATTGGCAAATTGAGGAGTTTATATCCTAGAGTTCAGTTTTGGAGTCTATTTTTTGTACTGAATTATTAAGATATTGACATTGGATGATTTCAACAAGTTAAGAATAAGTTTTTGGATCTAAGGCAGAGGTTTTACAGCAAAGTTTAGATTCTTAGGGCAGAGGCATTTAGGAACTGGAATCAGGAAAAATTATTGAAAGCAACCACTTAATCCATGACCTCAAAGTCTGGCTTTACCACCACTGCTTGCTAGTCAAATTCAGCAAATATTGCTGTATATTTGTAACCCACTTTCCTCCATTCACGCAACTTTTAAAATTTCCTTGTCATTTTAAATATGTTTAATGATTTTTTCCTCATTAGATTGCCTCCTGCAAGATCTGCACATGGTGCAGCAATCTATAAGAACAACTTGTGGATCTTTGCTGGTTATGATGGCAACAAAAGGTTCTTATCTGGTCATGTTAATATTACTGAATGTCTCTTGAAAAAAAAAAAAAAAAAAAAAAAAGAAACAGTGGCAAGTCCTCTCAGGCACATCTCCTATATTGTAATTGACAACGAAAGTCCAGTATTTAGGTCTAAAGGTACTGCACAGTGGTAAAGCTAAATGATTTGATATGGAATTATGTATATTTCATTTTAGGTTAGATGATCTTTGGACCATTTGTTTGACAGATCCTAACCCAGTGTGGCAGGAGGTTGGTGATCTGTTTTTGTACTGTACCAGCTGTGTAGATATTTGTATCACTGTAGGTGGAAAACAATTGAAGGCAGTTTTACCAGGAGTGAAACCTGTAAAGCAACCACACCTGTCCACCAGAAAAAGAAGGAAGTATCTCAAATGGCCAATGAAGATGCTATTATAGCATATGATGGGTGGCAATCATGAATGATGAATTCATTAATGCAGAGCTCTCAAGTTGATTTGTCATCAAAGGGGAAATTTTTTCAGTTGCATAGCCTTTGATTGTGATGCTGGGGGCATTACTTCCTTGAGGGGTATAGGGGCATACTCCCTCAGAGAAAAAATAAAGTTGCTAAGACATGCAGTCCTTTATTCTGAGCAAGAATTTCCATCACTGTAAATTGTTTGAAGTGAGTTCAAAGGGAAGAAGTTGTAAATTACAATTAGAAGGGTAATTAATTTTATAGTTACATAATTAAAGTAGAAGTTTGCTATCTCAAAATCAAAAGTTTAAATCAGGAACCTTAAATGTGTGAGAACAACTAGTTTCAGCATGAAAGTGTAAGACTGAATTCATTTGTATGAGTATACTGCTTTAAAATGTGTGAGACTTCAGATCTTTGTGATTGGTTTTATGATTGGTTACTTTTCCATCTGATTGCTGGAGAGAGTGGCAGAATATTTTTAGACCAATCAAAAGGTGCAATGAAGCAAAACCAATGCAGTCCTGGATTACTATCAACATTGCATTGAAACATACTCTGAACCTCTTCAATCTTCAGGTGCAGCAATCGGGTGACAGGCCACCCACTTGTTGTAACTTTCCTTTAGCTGTTGTGAGGGACAGTATGTTTGTGTTCTCTGGTCAAAGTGGAGCAAAGATTACAAATGACATGTTTGAGTTCAGTTTCTTGGATCATAGGTAATAGTGGAAAGTTTTGAAGTTTGAAATATTATTACTAGAAACAATTTAAAAATTTGTGACAGAAGATGTGACAAGTGGTGAATGGAGAGAGAGCCATTACTTAATTTGATCAGAATTTGTTGTCAGCAAGTAAGGAAGTACTTTACTGTTTTTTGTCAGTATAAAATTTTGAAAAGGGGTCCTTGGTCATGCAGGGTTTGAATATGTGTAGAAAAAAGGTCACAGTTTTAATCAGTTTTGGAATAAAAACGATTTGGCTCAGATTAAATTTGAATTATAAATTACCGAAGATGCAATTTGACCAAGGAATTGGGTATGTTTTACTAGAAAACTTCTTCAATGTTTCTTGGTCAGAAACTTTCTTATTTCAGGCAAGGATTTTAGAAAGCAGGTGACACCTAACACCCCCCCCCCCACCTGAATTTTTTACAAGAGCGTCATCCCCTGATAACCTTGCATCTCTTGAACAGAAAGGATAATTGTTGAATAAGTGTGTTGGTGTATGAGAAGAGATGAAAACTTTGCTATGAAGACTTGGCAAAGTGGTGTGAAGCTTGTTTGAAGCTTCTGGCCGTTTTACGTCCAGAAACTTTAGCCGTCAGGCGTACAAATTGACAAATTTTAAGCGTTAGTCGTGAAAAAAGGTAACCGTTAAAAGATTTCTGGCGACAATTTTGGAATGATATAAACTGTTAGCCGTAAAAATCCGCCACCCTATTGAGACCTTCTCACATGCGCCATTTTACGCCTCTCTTTCACCAGGTGGACTCGTATTCCTTCTGCGCATCTGTTACGCGGTTCACCCCCTCCCCCTCAGAGGCGTTATGGTCATAGCATGGTGCCATTTGACCGCTATTTGTACGTGTTTGGAGGAGTTGCAGATAATACGTTACCATCAGATCTATACAGGTTGGGGTATATGTTGTATGTAGCGGAAGTCACATGCCACCAAAGGTAGTCTCAAGATTTCGTAGTGACAACCAATCTATTTATGCTGGCTGGATATAGCTTTTCAATAGACAGCATGAGACTTCGTAGAGCACATTTCGTTTGAGTGTCTTTAACCCTTCAAATTTGATCTGGGAGTTTAAGGGTTAAGGCAAAACCAAAGTAATCGTGAGGGCCAATCAGAGCCGTGGTAAATGAGAATTCCAGTGAACAAGTCACGATTGGTTTTATTTTTGCTTCTGATTGGTTGAGAAGATGGTGTCGTGAGTTATTTAGACTAATAATAGAACGAAGTATAGAAAAACCAATGCACTCTCAATTTAAAACTTCACCAACGAGATGTTTGTATAGCTAGGTACCAGTTTCTACATGTACAATTTTTTTGTCTTTATTAGGTTCTCTCTTGATGATAAATCTTGGGAGGTTGTTCAACCGGCACAAGATCGTGAGGTACGACTGAACCATTCGGTGCAATGAGGAATGAGTGTTACCGCGCTTGTTTATGTTTAAGAACGCTTTTCGATTGACATAGGAACCACAATGGCCAATCAGAAAAAAGTAAAATACCCTAAAGAGCCAATGAGCACTTAAGGTAAAAAATAGCCCACTGTCTAAAGCGCGGGAAAACGCCGGTGACGAAGTCGTGATTGAGTTTGGGTTTGCATCTGATTGGTTGAGAGAGTGGCGCGAGTTTTCTGGACTCATCACAGAGCGAAGTAGAGCAAAACCAATGCAATTCTGAATACTTTCGACGCTGAATTGAAAACTGATCTAAACATACATGCACTCGTTTCGAAAGGCTCGAGAAATTGTTGCCTCGTGAGCTCAAGAATGTTGAGGCTCGTTTATTCATCACTACAAAGTCATTTATTAACATCCATGTTGGTTTTGTTCAAGTGAATGCGCCAGACAAGACTTACAAGCATTTTGTAGTTCCATCCTGGTGTTGCTTTTTTAGCAGGGCTAATGTCTACAGAAAAGGCTCTCTGAGTAAGATTATACCCTCAAGAGACTAATTCCGGCTGAGAATATAAAAATTTTGTCCTATTTCTTTTTAGGTTCCGTCAGGACGCCTCTTTCATGATGCGGATGTTATCAACAATGAGATGTATATATTTGGTGGCACTATTGATAACAACATACGAAGTAGCGAACTGTACAGATTTCAGGTAGGGAAACGGAAGGGAATTGGATTCTCAAGTCCACTTAAAAAAGCCTAGTGGGCTTGTAGAATAATAGTTACATATATAAGTTGCATGCGTGTTCATTCCTTCCTTGTTCCGGCCTGTCTTAAAATCTGTTCATCCATCTTACTCTTTAAGTCTGGAACAAGCCGTTTTTGATGACAATACGCCATGATATTTTGTACTGATTATAAGTTAAGTACGAAAACTGCCCTTGATTATATGGAAGTTGGGAGACAATAGCTTTCCAGAGAAAGGAATGACGACATGATGACGATGGTTAAGTAAACAGAAAATTAAAACGGCAAATGATAACAAAGGAGAAATGCCTTTTTCAAAAGTGATTCGAGAATTTTCTAGTTATGTCCAACTGGACACAAAGCTGACTTGTTGTTATAAACATTTTTACCCCTGCAGTTGGCGAGTTATCCCCGTTGTACTCTCAGGGGTGATTTTGGTCGGTTGTTGGACAGTAAACAGTTCTGTGATATGGTCTTCATTGTTGGCAAGGTTAGCGCAATAATCTTCTTGTAGCTCGTTTTATTTAATTGCAAAATTATTTGTTTATTCTCCACTGTTTCTTTTCTGCCTCTTAAAAAGGAAACGTATTCAGCGATCGTGTATTTTAAACTTCTTGTGATGGAAATATGTTATTTTTTTTGTCAGGAAGAAACTCAGTTCCCGGCCCACGCGGCCTTTGTTGCGGCTAGGTCGCCGTGGCTGAGGAAACAACTGTTGCGTGCTAGGGAAAAGTTGAAGGTCAGACAATTAGCCCGCTGTTTAGTTTTGGTATTTGCCGTGTTTCTTTTCAGGTGATTCTCAAATAGGGTAAGAACAAAGAGAGGGGACTTGAGCTGAATGCTAGTGTGTGAAAGAAGTGCGCTTTTTCAGCGGAAAAAAGATAAAACATTACCTCAATAAAGTCAGCCTCGTTTCTGAGCTAGTAAAAATAATTGGAAGGTGTCAATCACGTAGTGCGTGGTATTCATACCTATGTAAATAACAATAAGGCTCAAGAGAGTCAGCTCTTTGGTGGAATGTTTGCATACCTTCCTTCAATTCCCCTTGTTTGAGTGTTCTTTCGTGATATTTGTATGCCGCCTAAGGATACTAGCCATTGTGGGGCTGTAGACATCGTAGAAATGCTCCAGCTGTATGATAACTCTCGCGTTCTCTGACTTTAGAGAGCAAATGGAGACAGATATCAGGATCGAGAAGTGGGAAACCCGGAAGTAAAGTTACCGGAAGTCGAAGTTCAGTCCTTTGCGGTGACGCTTCGTTATATGTATACAGATTGTATTTTCCCATTAGTGAAAGGTGATGATTTTTTTTCCCCTTCGTCATGTACTTAGTTCAAAACATCGGTAGACAGACCAAAATAGTTGAATTCAACCCTGTTAACGTTGCTTTTAAGAGTCTTTCATTAAAATCTTAATCTGACTTTCAGGTAGACTATAAATACTGTTTGAAAAAATCTTTCACTTATTCCAAACAGATTGCCAGGGTTCACAGGAAATAAGTCTGATCATGGATGTGTACAGGTTGGCCCTAAAGGTAAGATGGAGACAAGTCCACATGAGCTCTTTTTGAACGTCAACGACCTCACAAAGTAAGTAGCCTTGTAGTTTCGCTGATAGAGCAGTTAATTGAATAATTTTTAGAAACAATTTTTCCTACAGGAGAGAAATACACATCTCTTTAGAGTGTCGAATATAATAACAAAGACGAAGCTTGATTAAGATTAGACCTTTAAAAAACGAACAGAAAAAACTAAAAACACGAACAGGCTGAAATTTCAGGTATGACACGCTTCATTGGAACGTTTTTTTTTTCAACTCATGTGCTATGAGAAATAACCATCGATTGTGTGACAGCGATTTGTAACGTATATATAACTCTTTTTGACCCGATGTTTCATGGCCTTTTGTGTAAGCGAGCCCCTATGTCGGTTAATCAAAATAGGTACACGAAAAGAGCAGAACTGAATTTTGATATGCTCCTTTTGCCAGCTTGAGATTGGTGCGCTTGAAGCGCTTTGTGTACAGTACATCGAGTCTTCCATCTGTCAAGAGAACGTTCTTGTAGCGCTCGATAGCGCCGCCCGGCTGCAGCTGGATCCACTAAAGGTTTGTGTTTTAACTTTGGAGTCAAGTGAAGCTTTAGACTGCTTTAAGGCTTACCTTACCCCGGTTTTTTATTAATTTATTTTTTACTGAATATATAAGTCGTATGGAACACCTCAATGAATTTCTAATACGAATCGTTGGAACTGTACTTTACCTCTCCGATTAAGGCTTACCTTACTCCGGTTTTTTATTTATTTATTTTTTAATGAATATCTAAGTCGTATGGAACACCTCATTCTCGGAGACCCAGGAGCTGTAAGTCGATTTGAAGTCAGTGCGGGTGAGCCCCTGGAGACATTGCCCTACCAGAGCTCCCTGTCTTGAAGTCGACTCACAGCCCCTGGGTCTCCGAGGATGGGAATACCTCGACAGGGTAGTGTGCCGAGAATTTGATCAATCGCCAGTAAATGAACACAGAAGGGGGGGAAGGGAGAGGAGATAATGAGACAAACGAGCATTCTCCCCAAAGGAGAATGCTCTACCTAATTTTCTCTTTCGTTTTTTGTTTTTGTTGTTGTTTCACAGGATTTCTGCCTTCGTTTCATTGTTCGTGAGGCAAACTACAACAACATCATTATGAGCAAGAATTTTGAGTCTGTACCTCAGAAACTTATGGTTGAGATTATCCGGAGACGGCAGGTTCCACAGGTAAGAAGGATAGCGCTTGTTCTTTTCCCTTATGGAAATATGTTGTCATTTAACTAAATAAATATTGGTTATTCACTTTCCTTTTTTTAGGCGATGGCTCATGTTCCGGGAGAAAATCAGTGCAGATCGACGCACCCAGGTACTTGTCAACAATTTAGCGTTCAAGCTGTTTAATCTTTCCATTATTCTTTACCACTCTCCTATGCCACTCTTATCACTGATCATTCTGAATATTTTTTTCAGAAAAGACCCTACAACAAGACATGATGGAGTTTTTCCAGGGCGCGCGCGGTGAGGATTTCCATGACATCACTTTGATGTTGGACGGGGAACCAATCGGAGCACACAAGGTAAGACACAGTTGCTGTTGTCATTTTCTATGTCACAGCGTTTGCATTATATTTAGAGAAATACCTCTTGGAAAGTTCGTCTCAGAGAAGATGTTGAACCGCAGTTTTTCGGTTGAGAAGGAGTTTCAAAGTACTTCGCTTCCCTAGAGCAGCAAGTAGACTTAAAAACTTCTTTTATGTAAAAGTAGCTTGTGGTTTATCTCGCCAGTGGGGTCTGTGCCACTCACTCGGCTGGTTGGTTATCCCACAATTGAATTGTATTTAATCCAGTGGATTCTCTCTAATTGAGTTCGCAATGTTAATGTAAGAAGATCCCGTTGTTTCAGAGGCGCAAATGAAGCTAAAATTCTTAGTAACCGTTTTAGAAATTTCTCACGGTACTTTAATGATCAATGACCAGGAAGATTCATTAAGAAGTAAAAATAGACGCCATTTTAAACCCCCCTCCCCTCATTTGGATCGAACCCCCCTTGATTGGGATAATTTATTTTATGTTTTCTAACCAACCTCTGTTCTCTACGTATTCTTTCTCATTAGGCAGTGTTGGCTGCAAGATGCAGGTAGGGCGTTCAATCTCTATTAGCTTCTTACACCTTTCATTCTTTCTCAGGCGAGCAGATCGAAAGATATAAAAACAAAAATATCAGCTAAGGGATGCCACCAGAATGTAACGGAAATACTGAGTTGGAATTAAGTATGTGGCTCTCAAAGTGGCTCTCCGCAGTGAGAAACAGAATTGACCCACATACTGACCAACAGCAACGATTGGAAAACAACTGGAACTGCCTATGGCAGAGCTCTATCCACTTATCAATCGACGAGCTCTTATTAAGGCACCTCAACCATTAGGAAAACGATCTACTTTAACTGAAAGGTTCGACGAGGTTTTCCAGACGCTTCTGTCAATCACCAGCTTCTGTGCGGAAAATTTCCAGTATTACTCATTGAGACTAAAATATGAAGTTAGAATTAAGTAAAAACGTTAAATGCCAGGTAAAAAAAAACAGTAATTTCCTGAATAGTAAACCTGTTTCAATTACCTTCTACTTGGTTTGCTTGCTCTGCGTCGACCAGTAGCGAGAGGTCTGGTTACGAGGCAGCTAGGGGTGATAATGTTAGCTGATGTTTTCTTTTCGTTTATTTCCTTCCGTTTTCTTTACAGTTACTTCGAGGCAATGTTTCGATCATTTATGCCCGTGAACAACACTGTAACAGTAAGTTATATAATCCTATTCAGTATTTTCAACATACTGTCCACCACTCTTTCACAAAATGATTGATTTCTTTGGGTGCCCTTTGATTTTAAGTTTGGTTTTCGATTGCAGTGTGTCTCCTCCTGGAAGTGAATCTGAAATTAAGTTTAAATAAAACTTGAGGCTAAAAAATAGTGACTAACATATTTCGTATGCATTTGATAAATTTAAACCTCAAAGTTTAACTGCTGTGGAATGAATTGCAGAATTTGAAGCCTGAATTCAGGCTTCGACGAGGCTCCAGCTCATGCCTCTTCGATGTCTTTTGGGCGTGATGAAGCCACATCTCAGGAGAGAGGCAAATGTTCTTCGTTTTTTTCCCATTAGATTACAATTGGCGAGACGATTCCGTCGCGAAAATCATTCAACTCTCTCCTTCACTACATTTATCATGGTGATGTATCAATGCCTCCGGAGGATTCACTGTATCCTTTACACATTTTTAACAGTGACCTGTACCTTTTTAATTTCTTCTTAATTTTTAATTCTCTCTATTTTGTTAACGTGGGATAAATGGTGGCTAAACTTTTGTTTCAAAGCTACAGTTTGCTTTTAATCAGCGAACGCGCAAAAGGAGTATTTTGATCTAATAATGAATGATTATCAATGCCCTGCGGCTGAGGATTTGACCCCGTGACTACCGTGATAATAAAGTATGTGGCAGGGTGAGGGGTTTGGACGTTATAGCTCCGCAATACTTGTGCATGCATGCAGGTTTGATATTTTCCTTTACCCTTTGCAACCTAAATTTAGCTTTTATTGTTATTCACCACGATGAGTAACCACAACTTTTTTACGAAATCATTATGCATATTCTCCATACTGTTCTCTGTACATCTACTATAGTGCTGACAAAGAGAATTTGATTAACAATCAAGAGCATCATAAGTTGATGATCATTTCCTTTATTCTCATTACCTTAATGTGTGGTTCAGGGGTGATATTGTATGGAGAAACAAGATTCTTGTCACTTTTAGGGGTTAAAGAGTAAAAAAGTATTTCCCTTGTCCCGTCCGATCGGCCTTAAGTTTTTAATTTCCAGTTTAAACTGCTAAGTCGCTGAATGTTAGGACTGTCACTTTTAATTATGTGCAGATATTTCAGTGTTCAACTATTGTCTTTGAAACTGAGTTTTCTTTTGTTTTGCGTTAACTCTTTTCAAAAGATATCTTTTGTCTGCTCCTTATTTCTTCGGTTTCACCAACAACCGCCTTCAGGTTGGTATTAAAGAAATGTAAAATGGTTTCCGTGTTTACATAGCCTGATGTAAACACGCGGGAGGTTGGGAGAACACGAGATAAGAGTAGGAAACCACGACGCGAAGCGGAGTGGTTTCAAGCTTATCGAGTGTTCTCTCAACCTCCCAAGTGTTTACATCAGGCAATGTAAACACGGAAACCATTTTACATTTCTTTTATAAAATAATTAATGAAAGAGGAACGAAAACCGTGTTTACATACGCTCATGTAAGATGGTTTTATGGCCAATCAGAGCGCGCGTACTATTTGAATTATTTTATAGTTAGCATGGGTGCATGGTTCTTTATTTATTAGCAGCCCTCGATTTGGCCAAGCAGTGACCCTTATTTACTAGATGTGCATCTTGAAATGATGAACTAAAAGGACTAATGTAATAGTTTTGGCCTATCAGGGCCTAGTCAAGTGAACTGCGAAAAAACAGCGGCTAACGAACATTAAAAAGGAGAAGCAAGCTTCAGAAACTATTGGCTGTTATATTTACATTTGAAGGAAAATGTACATGGTGTGACACGGACTGCCTTTAAGATTCTGCAGAGTAATCAACTTGTTTGAAAATTTTCTTCAACTCGACTGTGAATTTCTACTCGCTATGCTGCCCTTTTGAATCATGTTCAGAAACCTGGTCTCTTGCCCATATGCATGATAAGAGGAAGTGGCACTCATTTTTTTCTCTCTCTCTTGGCGATCTGTTTTTGAACAACTGGAGCTACATAAGGAGGCATGCTGAATTCAGATAGTAATTTTTTGGTTAAAACCTGATCAGCAGCTGTTTGATAACTGCATTGTGGTTTGAGTCATTTTGGAGCGCCATGAATTCGCGGCTGGTATTGAGTTGTCCTCGAAATGGCGTTGCCCATATTTGAGTTTTTAGCACATTGTAAGACCATTTCGAAATAACTGGATTGTTTAATGACGGTCGTATGGTTTCTGGAGCTCTCTTGTTCTTTCATCAGAGAAGTTTTCGTCAGGAGTGGTTGAAACTCTGGGTGAAAGCTCTCGGTAGTTGCGAAAGAATACCTGAGGGGATTCGTATGTAGAGATTTGATGGCCTGAGATAAACTTGAAAGTGACTCTGATGATAGTATGTTCATGTCTACGAATCTACACGATATCTGAGATGTCAATCATTTTTTTCTTTTTTTATTTGATAGGCATTCTGTAAACAGAACCTTGAAATGAACGTTTCATTTGAAAATGTGGTTGAGGTAAGAGAACGCATTGTTGTTATTGTTTAGTGGAATTAGCGAATCTAGGGCGAGGGTTCGAAAAATGATTCCTGCCTTGGTGCCATGTGCGATTGATTGTTGCCGACTAATTATCGAATTACGTGACCATTGACATTGATACACACGTCATGAAGTGGTTTCATTTAGTTTTTTTCAACCATCTGTATGGTCTATGGTCTATGGTACGCAAGATAACCCTTCCCCCGAGTTACGCTGACTGAACTAACTTTTCATTTATTCCTTTGAAAAACTTAACCGACCATTCACATAAAGATGGCGAACTCGTCTCGGAGTGCGAGACTCTCGGAAGGGCGAGTTGTCTTGCCATGGCGGGTAGGGTAACCCTTTCACGTGGGACAATTTTTTCTCATGTAAATACTTCGGCTCGCCTTCCCGAGACGATGCGGCTCAAATTTTTTTCCAATTTGTAACCTGCCATGCTTTTCACGAGAGAGACTGGTGAGGGGACAGCTGATACATCTCACAACTCCATATAAATGCTCCCTAAAGTTGGGGGGGGGGGGGAAGGGTTGTGTTGGATACCCAAGACTAAATAAGAGGGGTCTAGATATACGTTCTGTAGGCCAGCACTTCTCTGTGGCTCTAATCATTTATGAAAACCGTGTCTGTATGGCGGAAACGTGTGTGCCACAATTGTTTGTTTGTTTGTCTCGCCATCAGTTTTGACATTATTTACTTGATTCATCAGCGTCCCATCTAAGTGAGGTAACAATAATTCCATTATTTTCATTTTCTGAATTTATACGTGCCTCCTTATTTGAAACAGATTCTCGAAGCGGCTCATAGGATTGGAGCTGCGGACATGAAGAAACATGCTCTGGATCTTGTGGTTGGACATTTTGTGAAGGTAACCGAGGCATTGAAATTCATGGATGAGGAGGCGAAACGGTGTTAGAAATGGTTCCTGTGCTCCGGCGAAAATTTCAGTAATCACAAATCCAAGAATAAGCTTTCTTAGACGCGACAAGCAAGTACATGGTCTGAACTCTTCCCATACTCTGTTTCTTTCCACTTTTTTGCGTCTGAAATCATAACTCATCTTGTCAACTTTACCATGCTGACTAAGGAGGCCTAATAATGTCGAAACAGCTCAAAACGCTGCTTACTCCTAGGGCTCTTTTTCATCTTCGTTGTTAGCTAAGATCATACTATTGTTATTACCATTTAACATCCTAGTGCACCTCATGTTGCATCAGCTGACTGTTTTCATCATTTTTTTTCCTTTTCTCGTGATAGCCAAATAGTATAATTGTTCTATAGTGGGTTTTCAGTTATTATCTCACACTTCCTTTATCGTGCATTTGAAAATTTGGTCATTGTAAACTGATTCTGCTTTATCTCTACCTTCGTTGCCCAATGAAGGTCGCCAAATCTCCAAACCTCAGGAGACTAAGCCGAGATCTACTCCTAGAGATTCTGGACGCCATAGCAGACTATTTAAAAGATTCAAACATTGCTGTTCACCCACGGTGAGGAGTCTTCCGCCAAGATCACTTCAAATCAGCATGCTACAGTTGTTTTCAAGATGGGACTGGATTTCCACCTTGTAAGTCGTCTGGCACAGCCTGCCGAAGTCTGGGCACAGCTCAAGGGATCCTTGGATGTGGGTGATCCATTTTTATCAGGAAAAGTGCCCTATTAATTAGGCCCAACCTCCTGGGAAATGCCGCTTACGCTCCTGCATGACGAGGCAAGGACGAGAGGAAGGAGAAGATCGTACCGTAATGGAGCTCAGTTCAGAGACAGCTGGGCCTGTCCAAACTTAGTTTCTATGAAAGTTTACGCATTCTTATCATTGTTGGATGTTTTAAAACCTTGAGGATTTATTTATTACAAACCGGAGAGGTTAACGGAACATTTTGAGATAACAACTTTCTCCAATATCTTTGTTTGTAATATCAGTTTATTTTCAGGGTTTGGAACAACTCGTAAATCACAATTTCAAAGGTTGTTCGTGGTGATTCGTGCCGCTAACCTAGGGAGCATCAATTGTTTGATGACAACGATTTTGAAAAAATTTGAGTGAGAAGTGTTTTTTTTTCATTTGCATTTGAAAAATTAGACTCGCTACACAAAGCTTGGGCAGGTGCATCTTAGTATTTCCGCTCTTTGTCCCTTAATTTTGAATGATAAACACCTCTAGGGAATATATTGGAGTTTCTCCACCGTTCTTAATTTAACATTTTTTGGAATTAATTACTAGTCAAAAATAGATTTTCCCTTTTTTATTTCAAAACCTGAGTTTTTATCGCTAGGATATCGGTTCCACAAACAATGTTCTATATTCAAAAATTAAAAGCGTACGAATGTTGAGTTTAAGTATTGAGACGAATGCAAATAGTCGGCGACTGAAGATCACGGTTGCCAAGTTTGTTTGTATTATCTGCCAAATATCTTTCTCTGTTTTCTTACCCAGATCATAGCTATGGTAGTGTCATCTTGCGGACAAATAAAAATTATTTCCTATCTGTATGTCGTATTTTACAAGATATTCATACCATGAAAAAACGAACGCTCTATTCGCAAAACACCGTTTAATACCTTTCACTTATTCCTGTAATAAAAAAAATTTACAATCATCAAAGATTTTAAAGTTTACTTCGTTGTCATCCAATGTAAATAATGTCGCTGGTTGAATATTCGGTTAGTTAGGTTTTAGATTCATCATTATCACTGATCGATGTCTACCATCTTAGGTTCTGTTCTTGTAGTCGCAATCTGCGGTTGGATCCTTCTTAAAAATGAATGTTGCGGCCTAAGATAAATCATTAATGGAATCACTGGCAAAAGTTTTCAAAACATCGCGGATGCCTCTCATTTGTAATAAAAAAGGAATAATTTAAGATCTAGTCTTGTCGACGGACGAAATCAGGTTAAAAAAAAAAAAAGAATTCATCGAACAGTGTCGAACGTTTTTGGTACCATATGCAAAGAAGATGAATATTCCCGTACACGCTTGGGGGGCTGATGATATAGCACTGTTTTATATATTTCCTCAAGTCGCGGTTCGGTCACAATCTTTTTCGTCTGATAATGGTCCAAGCATCTCGGCACAAAACATAGAATGTTTTTGTAATATGTATGCGGTTTAGCGTTGTTCCTTGCGGGATAGTGGACCACAGCAGAGATGTGCTTTTTATTCACCACTTTCGGGTAGAATAATATTTCGCAGACGTATGTTTTTGTGGAAGTTTTCTTCATGCTATATTGGTAAGTGTACACTTGTGACGGGCCCAGAGTGTACAAACAAATACCGTCTGAATATTTCTCAGGGATCAGTCTGACTGCATCTTTAGCGCGACTAGCTTGTACATGAGTCGTTGATCTGTTTGTGTAAGGCTGATAAAATCCACTTCTATCCAACCTGTTCCTGTACATGGCTCTCTGCAGTTTGATTACAGATTTCACCGAACAAATAACATTGAAGGACCGTTCTTGATAGATAACTTTGCTGAATAACGTTCGGTCCCCGACTTAAATATTAATTTCGAGTAACAATGCTGGCAGACGTTGAATTTGCAAATCGCAAATTGACGATGTTTAATTCAGTACTGAGATATCTCACACCTTGTGACGTCACACGATCGCGCTGAAAGCACTTCAAGGCTGCGAACAAATCCTGTTATATTTCAGATTTTATAATATTTGATTGGTTTACTTGAAAACGCCAACTTCGCTTACGGCCATGTGTTAATCAGATACCGTTTTGCTAAAACGTAATCCAAAACAAATTAATCCAAAATAAATGAAGAATTGAGCTGACAAAATTTTTGGGTTGGTCAAAAAAAACAGTCGTGAAAAAAGCTAAATAGCTAAATACAAATTCATGCCTTGAAAGAGCTTCATGACTCTACCATTCTTTGAAATTTCTCTTTTTGTAGTGTTGAAATCACTTGCTGCCTTTGTTTTTAAATTCTGTGGCAGAACGTTGGACAAACGTGGTTGTGTGGTATTGTTATATATGATAATCCATTAACATGTCCTTTAATTTGTAGAAATAACTTTTCCAGATTCCAGAGTAGCAGCACTTTATCTGATATCTGGGTGGTAAATTTGCTTGTGGAAGAATTACCTTAGATGGAAAATATACCGCAAGAAATTTACTTCTAGTTTAGCTTAGTTTAAGAAATATATTTTGAATGCTCTTTAGAAAAGTAAAAGTAACTCTTGTTTACGGAATGTTTGCAATATTCGACTTTATGAAAAATCTTGGCGAACCACTCGCTTACTTTTTCTTCGTGAATAGAACTGACGCGGATTCTGTTCTTGTTGATCAAATTTTGGTCAGAAGATATTTTCTAAAATCAGCGTTACCTACTTGACTGGTTTTTTGTCACCTAAGGTATTTTACTGTTGTAAACTGGAAATCAATTTATCCTGGTCTGGTATATTGGTTATAGAATACAACTTACTTTCTAATTTAAGGCTCGGTGCGAAATTCTAAATCCGGTTTAATTGCTTTTTCGTCAAATTCAAATGCATCAGGAGGTTATTTACTGATGCAGTGCACAGCGAGTCCTGTTCAGAGTGGAAGTTTGATTTGATAACCGCTACTGTTGGTTTCGGGAAATCACAGGAGACTCTGCTTCCTCAAGGACGCTTTCGATATTGCAAGATACATGAATAAATATCACTCAGGGGCGTACCTAGGATTTTTCAAAGAGTAGGAGGGCCACAGTTACGAACTGAGTTTCCACACTTATCGCAAGTTTACCAGTCTATTCCTGTCAAAAGAATAGTCGTTATCACATATAAATAAAAATATGAGAACGGACTTAAAAAGTTCGTCAGTAATAACTTATTTCTCTCATCATTTAGGGCATCCATGTACATATTTTCCATGAATAGGTTGGTATGAAATAAATCAACGGTAAAATGAATGCAACACTTGGGTCGTTTTTCAATTGTCTAGCGATCTTTAAAACTCCTTCCTCTTTCCCATCTTTACTCTTTCTCTGCAGGAAGAAATCCTATACGAAGTTAGTCTCAAAATTGTTAGAGTCTTGATGTTAGCTGTGTGTTAGATGTCTCTGTTTCTAAATGCTTGATGTGCACAGAGGCTCATTACCTATAGTCATTTGCTTCTGATGCGCATCATTATAGGAGTCGTGTTGGCTTGTTAAATCACCAATGCTGAAGTCATTATATACTTGAAAGCCGAGAAAATCATAACAAATTACCCTGTTTGCGCTAACAAGTGAGACCTCATCTTCGTGAAATTCCCGATGTCGGTTTTTTATTTGCCTTCCCCAGCTTCACGTTAATCGACCAGAGAGCCAATCGTGCGATACGCGTGTCATGTACTTGATAACTGCACGCGAGGAAAACTTTGATTCCACTTGATTAGCTGAAGAAAACAGCAATGTTATCTGATTGGCCCACATAACGTGCTGCACAGTTTTTCTATCAGCCATCCATTAAAGAGTCTCTCACTTCTAGAAAGTTTTGAAAATCAACGTAATTAGAATCATGCAAACAAGGAATCGCAGATGGTTCAGAAACTGAATGGCGAAGGCTAACACACGGATTACAGATGATGAACTTAAAAAAAATTTAGGATAAATTTAGGATAAAATTTTTTTTAGGATTTACAGACTGTCTTGAAAGTCTCGAGGCCAGCATTAAACAAAATTTTTATGGTACAAAGGTAAAGAAATATAGAATAAAAACAAAACAAAAATTTTATAACACATGAGCAGGCTGGAAATCACAAGAAGCACAGACTGTCCAGATGTAGTTACTTTCTGACGCTTTTGATGACGGTTTGAAAAAACGTGGCGACTACAGACAATAGATTTGTGTAGGAAATTCAATCTTCGTCCTCTCTGGCCTACCATCACAAATACTTGTTTGACACGAAGTACAATGCCATTTTTGTTGCTGTTGTTGTTGTTGTCATTCAAATCTCCTTCAGTCAAAGACGACTGAGAGTTTGTTTGTTATTTAAAACTCTTACCATCGCTTTGCACTAAATCTTATTAATTCACTCAACACTTCTTAAGACACTAGAATATTTTCAATATTTACAAATGTTATGGACATGAAATTGTGGTACACGCACGAACTAGCCCTTGGGAATAAAAAGTCCAGTAAAACAAATAATCTCCTAGGTCTGGGGTATACTAATTAATTCTCCTTTGAAACCTACTACAGTAATTCTCTGTAAGCTAATGTAAGGTAACTTTCGATTTAAAGTAAAAGATCTCTGCAGGCGAGAGTTGGTCTGTTTTGTTGAATTCATGTACAAAATAGTAACAAATGTACTCTTTACGTGGTTTAAAAGTTGATATTCGAGTGTGAATAAATTGGGGATTAAATAGCTTAGCTGATTCTCGCTAATTGTTTTTTCGAACTTTGTTCATAAATATTTAAGCCATCTTTTCCTAAAAATGTTGAAATTCGATAACAAGTTTTGGCTTATTGATCAAGCAATATTGAATTCTCTTTAAGAGAGATTCGAACGTATTCGGTACTTTAAATAATTTTCGATTACAATCACAAGCTTTGTACATTGTCGATCGAATTCGCTACCCATAAAACTGGCTACTTTGCGCTTCATCGCCAGTTCGTTTATGAAAGAAATCCATGTATCTTTTTCTTCTGTGTAATTTATAAATCCTTAATCTCTCCTCTTCTTCATCTGGGTCATCGCAATCTGTTAAATCCCATCTTAAACTCTCGTTCACTTGAGTTAACTCTGTACGTGTTGTTAGATCGTTCACTTCGTTGTTCCGTGTGTCTAAACCAGAATTTGCATTAAGTGTTGAGCCGAAGTTTTCGCCGCTACTGCTCGTGCTTCTTCCATCAGAACTGCTTGTTCTCCAGTTACTGGAAGACGTGCTTTCTGTCCTCGACGAAAATGACTTTGAACTTACAATGCTCACAACTTTCCCTTCGGTAACGTCACTTGTATCTGAGCGTGACTTCGTTCTTGACTTTTGATGGGTTCCTTCGAAGAACACAAAATTAACCTTATAATCGTATTACCTTTATAAAGACCCTTTAAGTTTCATCACACCGTTGCTTTCTCTTCTTGAAAAGAATCTCTAAATTTAGCATCTGGAAAGTGTGAACCCTTTCAAATGAGAATATTCATCCAAATGTTTCTTTTCACCAAAGTAATAGACAAACAACACTGTTAGAACAAACCTTCACTGGAGCTGTCAACTCCCGATGTGGGGGTTTTACTAAAGGAATTCCTACTGTTTCTACCAGATTCTTTTTTCTTCTTCTTTTTTGGTTTCGCAGGTCTCTCGGAGGTTGTTATCGACACTGATTTCTTACTCTGTGTTGGCATTTTTGTATGCTTGACATGTTCACCATTTGTCGTAGTTCGAGGCGTCCATGGCAATACGTAAACACAACTGTCTTTGTAATGTAAAACGCGATAACAATTAGAGCCGACCCTGGGTCATCCGCGCGCGAGGTTCCCGGATGCAAAATTAGCTCAGGGGACGAAACGATTCCAGCGACCTTTTGGGAATATTTTTGGATGGAAATTGGCAGCGCAATTATCGATCCGAATCGATATTTCATTATCACGCGAGAATTCTTTTAGCTCTTTTCTCGTTAGAAAAAGGAACATAGTTGAGTAAAACCAGTTTACTATAAGCTCGGGGCAATTAAAACTCTGATTGCCACTAAACAACCAGTACTTCATAATCTGACTTCTTCGTACACTCCCGGTATTCTTCAGAATCTGAAAAAATGTGATTTTGAAAGCTGACGTTTCGAGCGTTAGCCCTTCTTCAGAGCGATACTCGAAGGGCTAACGCTCGAAACGTCAGCTTTTAAATTTTTTACGGTGGCCAATTTACGTTTAACTTATCAGCTCAGTTGATAATACTTAATTACCCTGTTATACTCTCCCACCGACGCAGCACCACAGCTTCTTTAGAAACTTACCCCCTTTATTAAAATAAAATCATTTCATCTTCTAAGTGATCAAGCAACTCGACACTCAAAACGTGGAAAAAATTCTACTCTGTGATGTTCCAGCTTTCAGTCTCAGTCTGACTCAGTTCTCTGTGATGTGCCCCATGTCTAGCTGTTCAATTCATTGCAAGGACATTGTATGATGTACTTCCAAAGTTCTAGAGCTTATATCTCAGGCGACCTCCTCTATAAGGTGACGAAAATCTTAGCCCGTGTAGGGTTCGCTTTACCCGGCCTTATCAATCCGGCCAAATCTGGCTAAATCCAGGATCAGCGCATGATTCAATCAAGGACTTGGAGTGTAATGTAATCGCAAGGCGTCCGAAATATGGTTTGTGAGAGACAGTTCATTGCCTCCTTCCATGAAGTAAAAGTGCCCTCCAGGCAGAACGTGTCTTTTGAAAGACCCCGATGTAAGTTCCGCCCACCCTGTAGAAAAGGAGAGAAAACTTTAATTTCCTTTTTACATAAATTGCTTACGAGCGTGAACCGGATTTTGAGACGTGACATATAATGAGGGCTCACTTCCACCCTGGGAACCCCTTTGGCCGCTCCCTTAATATTCAGATCAGGAAACATGCTCCAGAAAAATTCTAGATCGGTAACCTTGCCATTCCACACACTTTTAACGGGATCATTTGTAGCCCTCCGCTTGCATCATTTGTGTTCCAAGATAACTGTGGTTCCAGGATCATTTTCGGAACAGTACAGTTTCTTCCTTTGAATTTCCCTCGTTTAAGAAGACTGAAATGGCCTTTGTCCAAGTCACTTACAAAGAAACAAACTAAACTGACAATAATCAAACTTAAAGCAAGCTTTGTTGCCCATAAGAGTGCAAAGACCATGCACAGAATCTTTCAATTAGCCTTTCTTGGGAAAAATATCTACAGGCCACGAGGCGATATTTAAGCAAAAGTTAACCAAACGATGTTCTGTCGTCGAAAAAAAAAAAAAAAAAAAAAAAAAAAAAAAAAAAATCATTACATACTAACTGGGGATAAGGTACATTAGTGAAAACAACCACACCCACTTACCATCTTGATCGTGAAGATCATCCGATCCGTCAAAACAAGTCAGAGGACAATCAAGGACGACACCAGTGGCACTCTCTTCAAATCTAGAGATAACAATCTTCGAATTAAGAAACATTCTTAAAGAACGGTACTGAAGATATCAATGTTGATGTCTTTGGCCTGTGTTGCTGCCTGTTTTGGCTCTGTTGCTCTTTTTCCGCTCGCTGCCATTTTTGATAGGGTGATCGAAAACCGCCTGTTACGTAGGCTATATCATTTAACACACAGGGATAAACAGCTAACACCGGACGAACAAAAAAAGATGCTCTGTGCAGAGACAAAGGCTGAAAGACGGTGTTTCATCTCTTTTATACTCATTCCAAGTAACTTCCTGAATATTTAAGTAAAACATACAAACAGAGGCAAAAGAGCGCTTTGAAGTGTGCCACTAGAATTTCCCCCCCCAAATTTTTATATCCGCTTCTTGATCATGAACACAGGCCGGAGCTGTTGAAAAAAAAAAGTCCTATCACTTATACTATCGCCAAGAACCATTCTGATGACACGATTTGAAAAGATTGCGAGACTGGATGTTTTTCTGAAGTAATTTTATGCTGCACCAGGAGTATCGTCGGCACTGTAACGTGTTGGGGGGGGGGAATGGGTACTGATACTGATCTTAAATGATAATACTCATCACAGGTCATTACAGAGGGTGGGTAGGATGGACATTTCCGTGTCACCTGTAGTTCTGCAGCAGCGTGAGATCAGCTCTTAACACACGTGCAGCTATCTTCATCATGTCTTTGCTCTCTGTCAATACTTTTGGTGTTCCTCCCCAGCTGCTGATTTTTTTAATCAAATCATCATCAGTTAGAGTTGAAACATCTAGTGTTATTTTTGCCACCTAAAGGTGAAAGGTGAGAAAAAATGATTTATAAGAAAGGCATGTAAACTACATCATTTGATCTTTAAACCAACAAACTTATGAATTTGCCAGGCACTTTGAAACATATTTTCCTTGAAGTGCAAGGATTTTGGGACTTAATGAACATGTCCAGGATTTTTTATTGTGATAAGTTATTTCAAGGGTGCCTCTCAGGGGTATTAGGGAACAGGAGAACATGAACACTATGTTTCTAGGGGGGATAGATATCATTAAACAAATATTAGGGCAAAGAGGGACCATGGTTTGTTCAAGGAACATGGTTAGTATATCTTCTTTCTAGTTTTCATTGAGGAATCAATGCCTCTATGACATGAAACATTTAGAGAGATTTACCAGAATATAAGTGCATAGTTTTAAGAGAGCATATGGAGTAATTTCAAAGAACTAGGCATCTCGACTTTTTTAACAAATTCTAAATTTTTGTCAGGAAAAAGGGAACATGTACTCCTTTCCTTCCAGTGCATGGAAGATCTCTCTCAATACAGTTTTATTTTTCAAAATTCATGATGTTTCAGACCAAAATGGACTTCACATTTCCAATCAAATACTGTATTTTACCCTGATTCTTAAAAACCCTCTGATGATTAAAAGAAGTTTCTTTTCCCCCTCTCACTGTGTATTAGTTGCTGGATTTCCTAATTCTCCTAAACTTCATAATTATGTTGCTAGAAAATAGTCATCTTTCAAGAAACACTCAACTTTTTTTTCAATCCCAAAAACTGAGGGTTGAGAACTAAAGAAACTAAATTAATAAGTGACAAGATTTAACACAAAAAATTTTAAGGGTCAAAATCAAATATGACCAACATAAAGCCATGGAAAGAACCCTTTATGATACAAACCAAGGAAAACTGTTGCAAGAACTGCTTTTCATTAGAGAACTGGTAACTCCAGGGGTTAAAATTAACATGCACTACAGTCAAAACTTACAATTATGTTGTTCATGAGCTTCACCCTGGTGAAAATCTTTCAAGGATCTTTAAGGATCTTTCAAGATCTTCATGAGGACCTTTGAGGATCCTCTTGAGGATCTTCATGAGGATCTTCAAAATTCTTGTTAAGATCTTCAAGGATCCTTCATTTTCTTGCCAAGATCTTCAAGGATCTTTGATTTTCTTGCCAAGATCTTCAAGGATCTTTGATTTTCTTGCCAAGATCTTCAAGGATCTTTGATTTTCTTGCCAAGATCTTCAAGGATCTTTGATTTTCTTGCCAAGATCTTCGAGGATCTTTGACTTTCTTGCCAAGATCTTTAAGGATCTTTCATTTTCCTGTCAAGATCCTTGAAGATCTTGTCTGGATCTTCAAAGATCTTTACATGAACTTTGAAGATCCTTTAAAGATCTTTGAAAATTCTTTGAGGATCTTCCAAATTCTTGTTAAGATCTTTGAGGATCTCTCATTTTCTTGCCAAGATCTTCAAGGATCTTGTTGAAAATTTTGAAGATCCTTAAAGATCTTGGAAAGAAAATAAAAGACCCTTAAAGATCTTGGCAATAACTTGAAAGATCTTTGAAGATCTTGGCAAAAAAAAGAAAGATCCTTGAAGATTTTGACAGCCAAATTAAAGATCTTTGCAAGAGATTTGAAGATCCTTAAAGATCTTGACAAGAATGTCAGTGAACCTTGAAGATCCTGGCAAGGAAATGGAAGATCGTTGAAGATCTTAGCAAGAATGTTATAGAACCTTCGAAATTTTGACAAGAAAATAAGCATACTTAAATCCTCATACTAAGTTAAAAAGAAAAATTGAACCAAACATAAAAAAATGAAGATAAAACTTTTTTTATTGCTAAACGAGAATTACCCATCCTCTTCTAGTAGGACTACTTCTACACTATTTCTGTTCAGACTTTAGGTTAGTACTAAGATTTTCATTTTCCAAAAAATCTGGCAACAGTCCAGCTCAAAGATAAGAAGACCAAAATATATGTGTTCAACTTGTCTAGGACTAGACTATGACCAGACTCAGACTACTCTTACAGAGGGGGTAAACATGAAAAAAAGGCAAACAAGAGTACTTCAATGACTATATTTCTAAACCATATTAACCTATATACCAAAAGAAAACTTTGGAATCACACATACTGAATATAACTAATATGTTGCCCTAAACCAATTTGTTATTTGACATCAGATCAATTTGTCCACCACATGGTGTGAAAAACCTAGGTATACTTGAGAAAAGATAACTGCACAAAGATTGCATGAAATCAAGTGTTTTTAGTGTCAAAACAAAGTACTAGGGTCGTTCTTTTGGATGAGCTGAGGAACTTTTGGAGTCGTTTATATTATGGGCACAGTGCCCGTTCAAAGTTCACCGTGATTATTAGGTGAGTTATTCCACAATATCTTACTTGAAATTCAGCTTATAGAGAAACTGTCAGCTTATCCAACTCAACTCAGTAAGAGGATACAGCCCTGAAAACCTCAGATTAATTGAACTAATACATCCTGAGGTACAAAATAAGTGTTTTCGGGAATTCATATGAAAACCTCTAAAAGAGCTTTTTAAGTTGGTTACACAGAACCAAGTAAATTCACACCTTCTTCAGAAACATGTCCTTCAGTGAGCGTCGAGGAGAATCTCTCTAGATCGATAAGCCTGTATCCTTGTCCCTGTAACACATCATTTGCATCCTCACTCTCCAAGAGCTCAGAGCAAGAATCATTAGGCGAGGATGGCATCTTCATTTTCTTTCCAGAAGTACCAATGAATTATTTTCATTCAGCCTCAGAGTCAGAGCAATCGCGAGACCTGCTTGGAGTTTGATTGACGATTTCGGTTGTTTCTGTCTCTCTTTTCGCTTGTTTCTGAACTCCAGAAAACGCCTTTCCTTTAATTTTATTTCTGTGTACATTTTCCCTTTAGTTCCGACCATTGTCGATGATATTTGCCGTAACAACGAGCTTCTTATGTTTTTTAATGCGACCGTTAAAAATCTCGGCGCGTATAAATTCCTATCCCATAATGCAAAACCCTATTTGTTGTCATGTAAGTAGTCACAAAGTTTCCCGAAAGCCTCGAGCATGGCGTTGCTATGCGGTAACCTTCATTACACTCTTTGCACAATAATTTTCTGCGAAAATTCCTTGTTGTGTTTAAATTATAAAACAGTGAGCCCTCAATTTACAATTTTGTTATGTTTGAAATTACTTGAGGATTTCAAAGGAACCTAATTCATAATGCAGAGATGTGGTAGAGATCTTGACAAAGTTGCCTTTGAGATCCACATCAAATTCAAAAAGGATCCTTACAAAGAGCTGCACAAAATCATGAAATGAATCTTTTAAAGATATGTGGAAGATCCTTTTCAATTCCTTGAGGATCTTGAAGGATTGTAGAACAGATCATGCAAAGATCTTAGCAGGATCCCTAAAAGGTTCTTTTGAAGGTCTTTAAAAGATCCTCATTAAATCCTTGAGGATCCTGAAGGATCCTTGAAAAGATCCTGCAAAGATCTTGACTTAAGGATCCTTGTAAGATCCTGATCAAATTCCTAAGGATCCTGGCAAAGATCTTTACAGGATCCTTGAAAGGATCTTTTGTAGGTCTTTAAAAGACCTCATTAAATCCTTGAGGATCTTGAAGGATCCTTGAAAAGATCTTGCAAAGATCTTGAGTAGGATCCTTGTAAGATCCTGATCAAATCCTTAAGGATCCTTGCAAAGATCTTAATAGGATCCTTGAAAGGATCTTTGGAAGGTCTTTAAAAGATCCTCATTAAATCCTTGAGGATCTTGAAAGATCCTCAAAAAGATCCTGCAAAGATCTTGACTAGGATCCTTGCAAGATCCTGATTAAACAGATCCTTTAAAGATCTTTTAAAGATCCTTGTCTTTAAGGATCTTTGGCAGGTCTTTGTCAATCCTTGAAGATCCTCAAAGATCCTGTGAGGTTTTTCACCAGGGTGCAAAACTATTTTTTTACTGACCTGGGGTGCAGTTGCTGATGATATTAGCAAGTGAACTGGCTGTGAGTTGTAGTACAGTTTCAGGTACTTTGCTGCTTCAAAGCACAATCTGGCTCCCAGACTAGAAAAAAAATGACAGGTTGTTAGGCAAGGGTCAATTAATATATTGCTGCTTCTAGATAGGAATTCTAAAAATAGAAAAGGGTAGTAGAGTTGGTAGAGCATTGTACTGGTATGCACTGGTAATGCTGAGGTCATGGGTTCAAATCCCATACAGGTCTGAAATTTTTTCAGGTCTAATTTTGACTACTACTCAAGTACTGGTAGTATTCATTACTGCAGAGATTGCTTTGATATTCATTTCTTTGGTTAGTAACAGGTTAAGTGTTTCACAAACCTGTGACCCCAAAATGCAAATGGCTTTCCTTTTAAAATCTCCAGAACATCCTCACAGAAATCACTTAAAAATGATTCCCAGTCATCAATAATAAAAGATTCCTTGAACCTACTCTCTCTACCAGGCAAACAAACTCCATGCACTGTGGACATTAAGTTGAAAATTCAGGATAAAACAGTGTAACATGATAAATTCTAGATCAAGGTGGTTGATGAACTCTTTAAACTTTGAGTGTGACCACCATTTAATTTCTCCTTATAGTATAATACTTATGAATCATTCATGACATCATAAGAATATAGGAAATGATTGCCAATCTAATAAGCTTTGATTATTGAACAAATTCTCATTGTCAGCACCAGTGCAAATGTGTAGAGAAGAGTAGGGAGAATATGGTTAAGGCGTAAATTGTTAACATGTGATCAGAGGCCTATTGTCTGAGATCACCTTTTTTTGAATGTTACAAATTTTATAAACAATGATTGAGGCATGATAGACTTTAATATTGGTAAATGTTGTAAATATGAACTCAGATTTTAATTACAACGACAAAAATCATTTTTTAACCAATGTAATATTAAGTATCTGAATATTCAAGGCAAAGTGTCATAAAAATAAGGCTCTTTCAGAAGGCTTTAAAGGATGTCAATTCAACTGAAAACTCCTCGTAAATCATCAGCCACCGGCATTACACTTTCACCGCTCTTTCATTTTAGCAACTCTTAAATAGTTAAAAAACTGTAAAATGATCGATCTTTAATCAACCAATGATATCAACGCAAGACTTTAAATCGAATCTTCTTTATCATTTTATCCACGACTCCATATCGCTCTGAGTGAAAATAGCATTCTCCAAAATTTATAAATCAAACCTTCTACTTCGCTTGCAAACTTTTTACCCCAGTTGGCATAGAACGCCGCTCCGCCACCAGCCCAGGGAAAGCAAATTAATCTTAGTTTTGCATTTTGCTTTTGATAAACACAACGCAGCCATTTTGAATTCATGTTTGGAATGTCTCTTAATCATTAATTAAATTATTCTTATAATAAATATTCACAGATGTTTTATCACGTGGTACAGGGAGTCATGGAAAACACTTTCGAACTGAACAGAATTATGATTAAATTTCGACTTCAGTGGCGAGTGTGAATTTTCCCCGTATTTGATGGTTAGAAGCATTTCTACCGAACGGATCAAGTCTTTTTGTGGTTTCTCTTTCCACTGAGGCAATTTGCTCAGGGATTTACGAAAGAAGTGTGTTGCTCATTTGACTCCTATCGTTCACGTACGATAAAGAACTGACGCGATTTCCCGCGTAACGCTACATTTGCTCAACTGATCCTTCGATTGAATGGCAAGAAATGGGAGAATTTGCTAGTGAAGAAGATCAACGATGGGTCTGCCCCAACGATCGACAATTATCTTTAAGGGCGAAGTGAGTAAATTTGTTTATGCCCGTACTAAATCAGTCCTCTTAACCGTGACAGTACTTCATTAGCCCTTAGGAGAAATCTTCTTACTCAGTACTTGTTTATCAAATCACGCACAGGGAATATAACAGAGCAGCGAATCATCTCTGTGTTTCCGGTTGCTAAATAATTCAAACTTGTTTCGCCGCAAACACCTGGTTTTTCGGTCACTTGCTCTCATTCTGCTGTGCCTACTGCTGCTTTGGTTTGGAGATGTTGTCAGTGGTCGCCAGCCATTTACTTTGAGTTTTTGCCTCTCGCTTTGGCCATGCAAATACGATGTGCTTCCGCCCTAAGAAAGTCTTAAAAAAATTCTTCAAGAAAACTCGCACCAGATGGCCTAAGTCTTTGGAAAATTTATTGTTAGTTATTTTATTGTCACTCTCTTGATAGATCTGTCACTGCAGCCCTCCGATCAGGCGCAATCTTTTAATCCTAACTTTCGCTCCAATATAGTTTAATAAGCTTATGTTGACTACGTGCTTTTCGATATCAGTTAACAATCTGTTAGATTAACAAACTATTATGTACTGTATCGACCGAATATTTTCTTTTTGCCTTTAGGTTGAATTCAGGATGGTCTTTTCACTCAAGTACACCCGCGAGAAAAACAGGTAGAAAATCGGATATCACGGAAAGCGAACAAGAGATCATCAGAAATGTTCTGGAACGAGCGGAAAGAATTCGCCATGCAGAAGAAGAACGTATCGGGTAAGAAGTTTATATCAGTCTAAAAATATCATTAGGGATCAGAAAGAATGAGATTTCTTTGTGTATAGAAAGGGAGAAAATGTAACATATATTCTGCATTAAAATTTAACGCTTTGTCTGCCGTGATTTGCATTCAATTGATGTTTACATTGAGCATAATTTGTTTTCTTTCGCTGAAAAAACGTTCCATTTCGTTGTGGTGAATAATGTATCTATTTGCACGTCATGCCCTTTTCCAGCATTTTATTGTGGTAAAATTTTTTTTCCGGTAAAACACTTGAAATCAAAATGTCAGATGGAATTAAAGAGACGATGCATTGGATTTATGACAAATTTCTGTTCGCAGACGTGATTGGACTTTACTGTCACCTTGGTCGGATAAGCTAATCAAAGGACAATTGAAATTCGCCAGAATTCTGATAGAGTAAACACCATTTTTTCAAATTTCAATACCAGACTTGAATTAGTTTAAATTTATTTTTCCTTTTCAGTGAAAAAAAAATCAATACTTAGAAAGGCTTAGTAATCAGGATGATCTGGCATGTTTATTGTAAATAATTTTATCTCAGTTCTGCCTTAAAAGCAAAACTAAGGCTGCTTTAATCTCACACCTGCTGATCCAGACTTTTTTCACAGTCCTTATTTAAATACTGTGAAAGGGGTGGAGAGGAAGTTTACAAGGTTGACACAATGCTGATTGCTAAATCTTTTAGAACAAAACACTATGCATCAATCAGTCTCGAAATTAAAAGATGGATGGTAAAAAAATCTTTTCTGCTCCCCCAAGGCCAAACATTTCCTTTAAACAAACTATACAATTTTGAATTTTACCATTTCCACCTAAGTATCTTTCATGATAAATAATTAGTTGCTGTGTACAATTGACAATAATGCACACAGTCACTCACAGAATAGTGTAAAATCTTAAAATAGCAATTACATATTACATGTATTTGCCATAGGATCAAAATTTTGAAAACTGTTTATCAAAACACACACTCTTGAAATAAAAGCTGGATTTTTTTCTTGTTGGGAATAATTTGCCAAATTGAAGAAACCTTTATACTGTGTGGTCAAAGTTTTTCTCGATTATGCATGCAAATGCTTTTGTGTAACAGAAGTCATCCCAATCATAAAATCAAATTTCACGAGAAAATTTTAGAATTTGGAATTTTACTTTAATTTTAAAGCTTGCGAAAAAGAAGGATGTGATTTTACAAATTTGTCTGTGGTTACAGAAGTCTGAAAAAAAAGATTAACAATTGACTGTATGAGTCTACTACTCCCTAAGGAGGTTTTTAACCTTGTTATGTTTTTATTTCAAAAAATTCCAGATAGAATTACTTTGGTATTGTACATGTATTGCCAAGTATGCACTATTAGTGTTCCTGTTTTGTTTTAGTCTTAATACTTTTTTAGGAATATCTGACTGTTGATGTGAATCATATCTTAGAAGTATTTGAAAGACTTTTTATAAAAATTTCACAGCTCACTGCTTTAGTTCATCTCTAGGTCAAGACTGACTTTCAAATTACTTTTAACTTTTAGCATGATTATGAGCTACTTACTAAATTCTTAAATATTTTAACAAACTCTAGATATTTTTTGTTCTCACAACCTGTATGCAAGATATTATACTGTAATCGTAATGAGAAGCTACAAGTTAATCTGTATCACCTCTGAGGGTTGAGGGGTTAAAGAGGAAAAATCGGGAACTGCAACAAGAAGTTAGCAGAGGGTTATCAAGACAAGTGTACTTGTTTTAAGTGTTTTAAGTATTTAACCCTTTAACTCCCATGAATGACCAAGACAGAAATTCTCCTTACAATATCAATACAATATCAATACAATATAAAGCAGACAAGCGATGAAAATAAAGAAAAATATCAATTAGGGGATTATAAGTTGATCCAGTAGCAAATTCTCCAAACTAACATCACAAGAACTGTATGGCAGACAGTAAGGAGAATTACTGATGAGATCTTGGGAGTTAAAGGGTGAAGGTTAGAAATTTTATCATCATCATAGAACTCTTATGATAATTGTTATTGTTATTAATATTTTTGTTTATATTAGTGTTACTATTAATCCATTACAGCCACTAAAAAGTCTTATACCAGTGACTAAATCAGTGTTTTTGAACTAGTGTGTTTTTCTTTTTCAAAGGCGTCTTGTGGAGAAGTTGGAGAACATGCACAACAATGCTCTCGGAGATGGAAAAGAGACCTGTCTTCTTTGTGGTTCCAAGTTCTCACTTAAAGTTATTTCAAAGAGATGTGATGTCTGTGATAAGGTATAAATAAAAAAAGAACAGAAACAATATATTGGCACAACTTTAAAAAATTTTTTAATTTTTAATTTTTAATGTGACTCTTGATGCTAAGTTTTGCTATAAATTGAATGCAAAATTCCTTCTCTTTGTTATTCTCATCAAAGATGTAAAGAAAGTCAGATTACAGCTCATAGAATTTGTGATAGATGCATTTGCATTTGAAAATAATCCATTTTTACCATCCTTGATGTTTTCTAAATTAAGCTTATCTTGCTTTTAATTTAGAGCATCAGTATTAAATACATTTTAAGTTGCTACTTGGTGGCCAAAAACAGGTTGCTAAGTGGCAAATGTGGCTAGCAATTTAATTGCCAGAGTTTGTTTCTTCTCACCTTGGCAGCTGATATGATAGCAGCTTGGAGCACTGTTTAGGAATTGCATTGATTGGGTGGAAGTTCTGCCAAAACTAAGAACAAATTAAAGTATTCTTTCTTGTGACTGTAGGGTGTTAGAGTTTGAAATCAGAAGGTCTTCTTGAAGAAATCACCAAGTACCCTTAAATCTCACAGCTAATTGCTATAGTATGGATATCTGTTTCCTTGAGACAAAGGTTGTTGGCTTGGGCTGATGTAGATTCATGGAAACTGAAAAAAGAAAAAAAAATTTTTGATTTTGTATGGTCTTATGAGGCTGATAACTGGCTTTCACAGATAATGAGAACTGGTTGCATTTTACAATTTATTTCTTAAACCAAGTCTTATTTTCAGTATGTTTGTGAAAAGTGTGGTTTGAGGACTCAAGACTGTGATGGTGATAACATTTGGCTGTGCATGTTATGCAGTGAACACAGAGAGGTAAATTTACAATTACCGGGTCACATGACTGTGAAACTTACCTAGCCAAGGATTACTGAATACTGTAAACTGAGAGAGGATGCTGAATCTTTGGGAAGAGAAGAGATGGAATTTAAAATTAAAATTGAAAAAAAAAAAAATTAATATCCACCAGGCAAGATGATCTGGATTTCTTCAAGCTATCCTGGGTCAGATTTTTTCCAGAGCCATGATACGTCACTTTTATGTGGGAGTTCCCCTTAGAGAGGTTTGAATCTGCCATATTGAGATGTCATAATGCCAGGGTAACTGAAAGCTCTCCCTGAATAAACCCTTTACACCTGAACATCAGTGTGTTTATATTCTCCATACTGTCCTCTGTACTTGTCCTAAGGTGATGAAAAGATTAAGAATTTGATATTTTTCTTTAATCTAGACCTTCTGGTTTAGAATTTGGTGATCTGTCTTTCCTCATGGGAGTCAAAGGGTTAAATATTCTTTTCTTCTGATGTTAAGGTGATGTGATTCTGTGTTACAATCTAGACCTTCTTTAGTTGGTGATCATTTCCTTTTTCTCCTGACATAAATGTGTGATTATGGGGTGATATATATGTCAGTCGACTCTTAAGGGTCAAAGGGTTAAGGTAAGTATCATAATAGCAGTTACCACTTGCCGTTTATTTCTTATTTCTGTTCTGGGTCATTCAAGTGTAATGTAGTATGGATATTTTCTCTTTCTACAGCTCTGGAAAAGAACTGGTGCATGGTTTTTCAAAGCTATACCCAAATATACATATCCAGCAACAGGAAGACGTACTTCCTCTAACAGAACTGTGAGTTTTGAAATTTCTAGTAGAGAAAGGATTGTCATAACATTGATGAATTGTTCAGCAAAAGAGAGTGTAATGTAAAAAGAGAAAATTCCAAACAGGTTGGAGCCATGAATTTGATTCTCATGTGACAAAATAAAAATTATATTTGAAATAAGTATTTTGTCACCTGTCCCTCTTTATCCAATAAGTTCTTGTTGCTGTGCATCTGTTCAGTTATATATCACAAATGATATCAAAATTTAGTGTGAACAAAAAAGTGGCACACAACGTGCAGGCAAGTGTTTTACCAACTTAAATGTTCTAATACCACATTTTGACGTCATCTCTGATCCATGACTTAATAGGCCCATGGCAACATAGAATCTATTATTTTGCAAAAAAGAAATGAAATATTGTTATTGATAATGTCATTAATGTGTCTGTCCTCCAAAAGATTAGAGGTAAGAACCAATCATAAATTAAAGTGTTTTTCATCCAGCTTATTATAGAAATTATTATTTGTAGGTGTCTTAATGCATCACACATTGAATTTTTCTTAAATGTGAGTTTTTATTGATTTACAGGACACAACATCTTCCAATAGCTCAGACCAAATTTTTTTCCCACAATCAAATAAATACAACCAATCATGGACAAGTTATTCAAAATCTAAAGGTAATGAATTTTTTCTTTGTGAATATTTTTCAGCTTCCATTTAATGCATACACTCAATCTCTCTTTCTCCTTGTAAAAGTTGGATATAGTAGCCACAAGGTTGGCACCGCTGGACTCTAGATTGAAAGGTCTGGGTTTAAACCCTCACTGGGGCAAGAGAATTGAATCTTATGGTGCCTTTTTCCACCCAGGTGTATAAATGGGTACTATGTTTAACAATATGACTTGGTTTTATCAACTGAATGGATAACATAAATTGGCCATTGTAAAGAGTATTAATTATTATTCAGAGTGTTAACCCCTTCACCAGAGCTCAGAGCTCTATGTCCCTCATACCATTTGCTCTAATGAAGGGACTAATGCTTAAAACATCAGCTCAGAAACTGTTTATAGTGGCCAATTTACATTATCAGTCGATAAAAGCAAATTATCTTTTTATTCTCCCACACCAATGCAGCACCACATGTCAGTTTATTTAGAAACTTACTGCCTTTATATCTAAAACAAGCTGAGGAAACCCATTGACAAAATGCTATGAGAGGAGTCTACTATTAATACTTGATTGCAGTAAACATCCCAAATTGAATTAAGGCTGGGAGAAAAAAAGGAAGAGAAGTGAACCAATAGCATTATTACCCAGGCTGTACCTGTAATAGGCAGGCACACTATCCATGAGAAGAAACAACACCCTTACTTTGCTTCATGTTTATTAAACCTGCTACATGGCTCCTTTTTCCCCCTCTCTTTGTAAGGAAATTGTTAACAGCTAATTTTTTTACTTTTGAATCTGTAGACTATCTGGATGGTGGTATTAGAGAGGAGAGTCACTCAGAGGATGAGGAATCCAGCAGTTCCTCGGATGAAATGTTGTTTGACAGTTCAAGCACACGTAAATCTTCAAGAGGCAGATCATCCACATCTGAGGAGACAATGCCCTATACAAGACGAAAGTCAACAGAACTTTCAATGCCTGGTAGTGCCATCTTAGAAAATATAGACACTCCTCCTCCCTTCCGTAAGAGGACTCTTGCAATGTCACAAGATGAACAGCCTCGTAGATCACCAAACACAAGCCCATTGCATCAGGCCAATGGAAAGCTTAGTAAGTTATAATACAGAGTGCCTAGTTAACCTTTAACTCCTATGGGTGACCAAGATAGAATTTCTCCTCACAATATCCATACAATATCAAGCAGACAAGTGATAAGAATAAAGAGAAATATCAATTAGGGGATTCTTAGTTGATCCAATAACAGATTCTCAGAACTAACGTCATAGGAATTGTATGGCAGTCATTTTAAGGAGAAACACAAATAGATTCTGGGAGTGAAAGGGTTAATGATGTGTTTTTGTAGTTCAATATACATGAAAGATGCCAAAAGGTAACAAAACCAGAGAACAGATTCTCCCATGTAGTTGCAAATTTTAGGTGGTAATGTTGTTCAGTTTAATACCTTATGCCTCAAGATTATTTTAGTGAGTATTTTATATACTGTTCTCTATTCATTTTCTTTGGTGCTGACTTGGATAATTCATTTTACAATCAAAGCTTCCTAGGTTGGCAATCATTTTATGTATTCCCATGATCTTAATGAATAATTCAGCAGGATTACTGTAACAAGAAATTAGATGCTGGCCTCTCTCAGGGTTGAAAGGGTTAAAGGTTTTGAAAGGATTTGCTAAGCTGATATGAGTTTTACTCAGTATGACATTGTAATGTTTACTTTATGTCTCTTGAATATAGCTTGTAATTGCACATGTTTCTGCCTTTATTGATTAACATTTCTAATGGTAGTAATGGCTTTGCAAGCCTACATCAGAGTGTTTTTTTAATTTGTTCTTTTTGTTTAGCTCCAGACAGCAGTCATACTGAGCCAGAATCTCCTAAAAGGGAAAAAAGTGGTAGTTTTACTGGAAGAGGTCACGTAACTGATTTGAGAGATGAAGTTGATGCAAGGGTGAAGAAACTGGTGAGAAAGCAGGACACAGAAGAGGAAGACATTGATGAACTGGTGAGAACCTTCAAAGAATCAGAGGCTTCTGTGAGCAAGGATGTTGGTGATGCTGGTGAGTGCCCAATAGACATCCCAGGTGCACTGTGCCTGTGTATTGTTCTGGTGAACCAAAAGATTTTGTGTTGCTGTGCGTCTGTTCAGTAATAGATGACAGATGATGTTAAAAGGTGATAAGAACTTAATAGTGGTGCAGTATGTCACTGATGTTCTTACCACATTTTGACATCTTCTGCGATCTACCACTAACAGACACATGGCAACATGATATCTAATTGTTTTACCTTGTTTATTTGATTAAACACCACCTTGAATAAACGCTGTGGCCATGTTGTTGTTGTTGTTGTAAATTAATACTGTTGCCTAGAATAAATGCTGCACTTGAATCATGAAAAATTTTATAAACATGGCAGTATTTAATAGAATAAATATGGTACATAATAATGAAGCAAAAAATCTTTCAATGATGACATTATTATCTATGCATGGATGGATAATTATTGAGAGCCAATAAAAATGTGTGCATAATTGTGCCTATTATTATATGACTACTGTTTACATTATTTCCATTTCCTCACCTTTCTTTGCATCACACTGGGGTTTAAAGGTTTTGGTGCATGTGTCATGTTTAAGGGGGGATCTCGCATGAATTAGTTTTTGAATAATTTTTCAGTTTCAGTTCCCTGACCTAATCTGTATTTCTTCCTCACCCCAGGGGTGTTACTTTGGGTTTTCCAGTTGTCACCCCCCCCTCCCCTCCACAACAACCACATTTCCAAATTCCAATCCATCATGCCATCAGTGGACAAGATGAGCCATGCAATGGATATCCACTGCTAAATTTGATCTGTTGTTTGTTATTTTAAAATTAGTATTGTTGGTAATGCACCCCATAATGGATGTGCAATCAATAGACTCACTCCCCCATCCCCACCCTTTTGCTAATTTTTTACTGTCTCTGACCCCCTTGGCACAAATTTCTTTCTCTCCCCAGCCTTCTGCTGTTACTATAATCAAAGACAGCGCCATAATTTTTGCCAAGAAAACACTGTGCACTTGTTTGCCAAAATTATGCCTGCTCTTTAGGCTACTTTTCTTGATGAGGAATGGCAGTTGAAATGTTGCTGTCCTCAATTGAAAGTAACTAATTGGTTTGAACTTCTAATCTGTGAGAATAGTAATCTGTCTAATAGAGGGTTGTAACCAATGCTTTATGTTTTTTTTTTTTTATTAATTTGTTAGGATTAGGAACATTGGAATTTGATGTCCATTATAACAAACAACACAGTCAGCTTCAGGTGACAGTTGTTTGTGCCAAGGTGAGTGTTACATTTGAACTGCACAGTCAGCCAAAAACCATATAGCTTTGTATGGACATGTCATCTCTGGGTAGTATTTATGCAGGGATAATTTTCAAGGTAATGCTGATGATATTTGTTATTTGCAGAGCCTGAAAGCCATGGATTCCAGTGGAACATCTGATCCTTATGTTAAAATTCACCTTCTTCCTGGTGCTAGTAAGGTAAACCTGCTAAAATTGTTGTAGTATTGACTGCTGTAACCTAATTCAAACAACAAAAGAAGTATTGAGAAGCCCTATCAAGTAGCACTAGGTATGGTAATTGTAAAACCATTTTTTCTTCCTTTTTTTAAAAAATCAGTTTTGACAAGTGATGAATCAATTGATTATTGGTTCAAGTTTTAAAACTGATTGGTTAAGAAAGTGACCAATCACAGAGCAAAGTAAAGCAAAATCATTTGCAAAGAGTGCTGTATTACTTTCGACACTTAATTGAAAACTGCTCTATTGTCTGATTTTCCTTGTTTTGCAAGAATCACCAGATTAATAATGGCTAATTGGTGGTTATTAATATAAACGAATAGATGTTAGCTTTCTGTCTGGTTTTTCTTCTTCATCTCATTCCCAGAGTAACAAATTAAGGACTCGCACCAAGTACAAGACCCTGAATCCGAAATTTGATGAAGTATTGGTATATCATGGGATCACAGATGATGATATTTCAAAGAAGTCTCTCAGGTAGATATCACTAGACCCTTTACACCCTAACATTAGTATGCAAATTCTCCCCACTGTTCTCTGCACATTTCGTAAGATGCGGTTCAAAGAGAATTTGTTTAACAATCAAGGGCTTCTTTAGGCGGTGATCATTTCCTTTATTATTGTGACCTTAAAGTTTGATTCAGGGGTGATGCTGTGAGGAGATATTACATGCTAGTCTCTCTCTTAGGGTCTCAGAGTTTATTTGCCAGTGTGCCTAAAATTAATACAAGAGTATTGACTATATTGGCAGTCATTCCTATCATGAAACATTTCGTTGAATTTTTTCCTTTTCACAGACTTCAGGTTTTGGACGAAGATAAACTTGGTCGCAATAATTTCATTGGAGAGACATGTGTGGCTCTAAAGATTTTTCACAGTAAACCATCTCAGTCTTTGAAAAGGTCACTAGTCTCTAGAGGTTCTGTAAGTATAGATAGTGTCGTTATATATTCCCATTTTTTTAAATGTCGTGTTCTTGTTTTAGACATGAAATGATCTGGGGTCACATTGTTTTTTTTTTTCATGTCTCTGTCTCTTTGGATCACTGGTGCAATCATAAAATATGTGTATCGTGGAAAAGATTGAAGAAGGACGGGTAAGTACATCATTTTTTGCCGTGGTGAACAATTACATTTCCTTGCCCGTAAAGCCCTTGCATTTCCTTCAAATTGTGATAGTTCATCGAGAAGAGCCTTGAATAGAAAAGGTTTTCCCTTCTTAGATGTATCTGTGTAGATACGAAGGTTGCATTTTTTAAGGTCGTTACCAAAGTGTGAGTCGTTTGAATGGAAGTGTTGTGAAAGAAAGGTTTCATTGTGCAGTAATTGGCCAATGGAAGAGAACACAGGTGATGGATTGTTTTGTATGGGGAGATTTAGGGGAGTGGGGCGAGGTGCCCAAGGGATCGTCGGACCCTTTTTTCTCTTGTCAAACAACCCTTTTGAGTTTGGAAAACGGGGAATACGGGAATGAGATTCTCCTTAAAGGCGATTTAAGAATGAACTTCGATGGATGTTCGTGACAGAATAATGGAGTACAGAGGCAGAGTGCGCTGTGTGGTAGGCCTTTCTTTTTTCCTCGTTGAGATGCACCCTGTTTAAATTCTGATATATTGTCCTTTCTGCATGGTTATATCCAAAAACGACATATTCATATTCCCGAAACTGGATGCAGAAGTGTCCTTATTCAGACAATAAGGAACAGAGGAAAGAAGTGTGCGTACTGTGCATTTCTTTCCCCGATAACATTATACCTACTGAAAGGTTAATAATCTATACAGGAATCTCCAGAACCTGATCTTGGACGTCTTCAACTGTCACTGAAGTTCAAATCACAAAAGAATCAACTTATAGTCGGTGTGATTCGCTGCGCCGGTCTGGCAGCCAAGGACGCCAATGGTTATTCAGATCCGTATGTCAAGTGGTGAGTGTCAATAAATCACTGTGTTTTTTCTGTATACCACGTCATATCAATTATCAGGCTTTATGTACAATGTTGCTATTTACCATTTCTGTTTCTTGGTTTTGATTTTTTCCTATCTTTTCAGTTACCTTAAACCTGATTTAAACAAAAAATCCAAGAGAAGAACGAGTGTAAAGAGAAAGACGCTAAATCCTGAATATAACGAGGTAAGAATTATCAGCTACCTTTTGCTAAAGCCTCCTACCACCATTTATCTTAACGAGGAATTCGAACGAGTTCTCTCAGTCAGTTTTATATCATAAAGGGAGTTTCTAAGGAAACTATGGCGATGCGTCGGTGGGAGAGTATAACAAGTTAATTTGGTTTTATCAACTGACTCAATAAAGTAAGTTGGCCACCGTAGAGAATTTCTAAAGCCGATGTTTCGAGCTTCAGCCCTTCGTCTTAAAAAAGGGCTAACGACGATTTAAATGATCAATTTAGTTGATAAAGTGGCATCTTTGTGTATTATGTTTTGTCCCAACAGGAATTTGTTTATGATATCGCGCACAGTGACCTCGCGAAGAAAAGTTTAGAATTAACAGTTTGGGATCATGATGTTGGAAAAAGTAACGATTTTATAGGTAAGAGACCATAGGTTTTCTGTACTGTTTACATAGTGACATTTGCGCTGCATCAGGATGATATAGAGTCGCTTACATTGAGTTACCTTACAGACTCATGAGATGGTAAAGCATTGTGGGTAACACTTACCCTCTTCCCCTGTGGCATAAAGAGATGAGAAATATTCCTGATTTGGTTTTGAATTCTAGGATGCTACACCCTCCCCTTTTATGTCAAGGAGAGAAATCTGTGAAAATTAGTTTAATACATCCGTGAAAAGTAAACAAAGCTTCTTGACTGATTATCTTTAAAACAAAAACCCAAAGTAATCAGAACAGCCAGTTGGGACAAAGGTAACTTTCACAGGGAGCCCATGGTATACGAAGTAAGTTCAGGAAGCTGGCCTCAAGTGCTAGAAAATGCGAGTGATCAAAACTCGATTGGGTTAGTGTGGCATCTGATTAGATGAGAAGGTGGCGCGAGTTATCTAGAGCAATCAAATGGCGCAGTGAAGCTAAACCACTGCAATCTCAAATTTCCTTCGACACTCTTACTAGAATTGCGCTAAGACAGGTCCTCTTCATGAAAACTTAGGTACCTTAGGAAGTATTAAACAATAATATGTCTTTCCTAGGTGGAGTTGTGATGGATATCAACTCGACCGGAAGTGCATTGATGCACTGGTACGCCATGCTGAAAAACCCAAACCAAGCACACACTTATTGGCACACGCTGGAAAAACTAACCAATCACGAACAGGAATAATATTTTGGGCTTAGTTATAGTAAATATTCGAAGAAGTCTCATGGTAGTTGTGTTACTCAATGTCACAGCGGTTCACCCAATACTAATCACTTCTCGTATAATAACCATCACTAAGCAATGGACAGTGTAGAGACCAGGAGATAAAGCTAACGATGCCTGCCCATAGAGCTACTTTCGATTGAGTGTTGTGAAAGCAAAACCAAAATAATCACCAATGAAATGAAAGGAAGATATCTCATTGAGCCGATATGATCTCAAAACGAACTGTTCGAGTGAAGCGCACGAAAATACGAGTGACCAAGTCGTGATTGGTTTTAGTTTTGCATCTGATTGGTTGAGAAAGTGGAGCAAGTTTTCCGGACCAATCACACAGGAAAGAAGAGCAAACCAAGCAATCTCAGATTCCTTTCAACACTCATTTGAGAATTGCCTAACGACTCGCTGGAATAGTCAATTCCTGAACTATCGCGGAATTTTCATCAATTTATAGAAACTTTCAGACAACAAAAGGCGTTTTACTTCTGAACTGATAAAACTGTCTAGGCAAATCCGTTTAATACAGTAAACTCCCTGTGCACAAAAAAGTTTGTCTCCTTCCGAGAATTGGATGGGCTAGGCTGCTTGTTAATAGCGGTCGAATTAGAACATTTTTCAGTTAAAACACAGAATGCCACAAAACAAACAAACAAAAACAACAAGCAATAGGTCATTGCTTCCAAATAGAATCATATTCCAGAATGAGACGGAGACACTCAACTTGGATCGGAAGCTTTCCTGATTAGGAAGGATTCCCAGCTTAGCTGAGATACACTAAAGACTTTATTCTGAATTGGCCAGTGAGTTTAACAAGGTCTTGATGTTCCTAGTTTCAGAGGTATTCAAGGTATAAATAATTTCATGCGTTTCGGTTACATTTGGATTCTCCTTAAAGACCATTTGTTATCACCTGGGAGGAGGGACGGTAAGGGGTCGGAGAAATTTAATTTAAATTTACCTGTTTCCCTCCCCCCCTGAGGCTCTGTAATATTCTGACACCCCCCCTTTTTTACTGGCAGTCAAATTTCTACGGTCACCCCCCTTTACACTCTGTCAGCGACGACGTATCCCGCCTCTCCCTCCCCCCCTCCGCCTCCCCCCTCTCCCTCCCCACTGAAATCCACGTGATACCCCCAAATCCTCCGACCCCCCTCCGTAGGTGATGAATAGTAACAGATCCCTTACTTGGGGGTGAGGGGGGGGAGTTGAGGGTGTAAGGGGAAGGAGTTGAGGGCATGGAGGACAAATTTATTTTTTGTTATGTCAGTAATTTTCGTTATTTTCAACTAAAAATAAAAATGCCTTTTGTTTATGTTACTCCATATGTATGCTAATTATTTAGGAAAAAATATACATTTTTGTTTTCATACACCTTTCAATGTCAATTGTCCGTTGTCTCATTACTAAGGAGACTGACAGACACAATTAAGGAAATGATAACAAAGAACAATTTTGTCAATTTATAGAAACAAATTGTCCGATATAAAAGCCTTTTTATATTCCCTCTGACAGTGTAAAAGAAAAACAGTTGCATAGATTGTTAACAATAATTTGAAAGGTTGTGCAACAATAATGTATTGGAAATTTGAAAATGTAATCTTAGGTATTAACTTAATATATGTAAAGCCGTTAGCTATATAAGATCATATAACAGGAAATGGAAATAAAAAAAAAAGCAGGAGTCGCCCTGGTTGTGTTTGTTGTGGTAGTCCCGAATCTAAGTCGCTTGGTTGCTTCATTTTGATAACCGAGCCGTTGAATCTCCAACCTGTAAAATTTATGTCAAAATACGTTTAAAAGCCGGTTTTATCAAACTTGGGTCAAAAGTTGGCGGCGACGCAACTTCGAGAGGGGGGCAACGCACTCCTGCTTCGGGGCGACGCAACTTGGGGCGACCTAGCAAGCCTACTGCCTTGGTGGCGACAAATCGCTAACACTCAAGGCGATGGACGTCATTGAGCACGTATCCTTCGCTTCAGAGGAGTTGGTGATACGACTTAGTCGCTCTGTTTCCTTCCACCCCTCTAACGGGGAACTCTCTTTCAAGAGTTGCACTCTGCGCTCATAGTAGTTAGGTCGACATGTCTTGCCTACATAAATCCAAGCGCGAAACACAATTAACTGGTTTTTGAGCTGAGACCTGTACTTCTACTCCTTTCTTTTAGGTCTAAAAATAAGACTTCGGGCCCACAAAGGCGACGGAACATAAAAAAGGGCTGTTGTCTTATTAGCTTAAGTCAACGAAATATGTTCTCTGAAATGTTATTGCAGTGTACTGTTCGAAAACGCCGCGTTTTTAAATCCACTTGACTCGATTAGAAGATAAAATGTGCATTCATTAGAGCGACAAGTGGTTCAGTCTGGTTCAACCAAAATTATTTCAATACATTTTTCCACTAACCCAGGCAAAGTGCGTCATCCAACCAAACTGGCCAGTTTGTTATAGGAATCACGGCATAAGGCGGCCTAAAGAGTATGTTTAGCCCACGTAATAACCACAAATGTATAAAAACCAGAGATTGTTTGGAACAGATCTTCTAAGAATTCAATTTTATTCAGAACGCTAAATCTTAAATAACACGTCCGTATTTAAGACGTATTTTTTGTCTACTTTATGAAAAGAATTACAGCAGTAGGTTATACTTCATACAGTTTTTTCGTGTGTATTTTTAAACAAACGTTTGAAAAGTCTCCGCTTTCTTGATCCTTTCCAAACTACAGTGGTGATGTTTCGCATAAAAATAGCGCTGGCAAACAAAAGTATGCAAACAAGAAGTTGTGCTTTAAGTAAGTTAACATTATAGTTTATCACAGTTTAAGCCGTAGGGAACATTTGATGAATTTTTATTTACGATAGCAGGGTCTTTCTCAGCCACGCTTGGGGATGTTTGTTGTGCTTGTTCTCTTTCCTTTCTTAGTTTCCTTTTTCTCTTCTTGACCTGAGATCTTTCCCTGCAAGTATCAAGTGTCAGATTGTTATGATCTATACATTCGATTTGTATTTACCATTACAGCTTGCAGTAGTTTTTTATTCTGTGGTTAGGATTGTGCAAACTGCCTTGAAGTAGATTTTGCAGATTGGTTTCTTAATTTTCCTTGTTTAATTGTTAATTACATAGTCTAGGAAACTTTCACTCACCCATGGCTGGGTATCTCCTTGTAATCCAGAATAGCAGAGTCTTCTTCGGCCACACTTTTTAATGTTTCTTTCCTTTTTACTTTTCTTCGTTTCTTCTTTTCTTTAGACCTCTTCCTGTGGAAAATGATTTCCATACTCCTCTGAGCCTTATTTTTGTCTGAGAATCTGTCTATGATCTCTAATTAACTACAGCTTGAAAAAGCAAACGAACTCTGAGGTTAAGTGGCATACTTACATGTTTGTTTTATGCCACTGTCAATCATTGTGGTAATTTCTATGAAGGAAATGAATATCCTTCTGCCTGTGCTCAAATGCATTATAGCCTGATCTAGTCTAAAGCTAAGCTGATTTTTACATCCTGTGAAAGTTAATGTAGTATTATTAAAGGTGGTAGTTCGTAATCGTGGTGAATACACTTTCTATTTGAAGAATGATTGTTTGTCTCACAATCTAGTGAATGTTTTTCTTCGTTTGTCCACCGATCTGTAGTAAAATATCGTGAGATACACAATAATACTTCAAATTAAATAATTATTTACCGAAGTGGAGGTGAATAGGAGTTGATATTTACCGAGTTGTTACTCTGAGGTGAATCATTGTTTTAAGTATATACCATTGAGAAGCCAAAGAGATTAGTTTATTTCTGTCAGTACTCCCAAAACTTGTTGGTAATTATATTGCTGACGCGCGATTTTGTCTCTTCAGCTACTACAAAGTGAATAGTACTTGCTAATCACTTCCGAACCAATCAATTAGCGCGCGCGAAAAGCACTATTCACCCATGTGGTATACGCTAAATTAATTAATTGATGTTGTAATTTCCCTTCCACCTGGGTGAGTCGCCCTTACCTATCATTGGATATGATCTTAAAGGCCTGGATTGCAGGATCTTCTTGTGCCAAAGTTAATCTTGTTGACTTGACTTGATCTGAACTCAAATCTTCCACAACAGCCGACTCCATGTGTCTCTCTGCTAAGAGAAGCTCTTCCCAAGTAAGGCGGAGCACCTTTATCTCCTTAGCAACTTCTTTGTTGTCCTCACAGCTCTCTTGGACATCTGCAGTTTCCATTTCTTTCATTTCGGTATCTCGAGAAACTTTCTCGTCATGACTCTCACCAGAGTGCACTTGTTCGTTATTGGGTTGAATCTCTGCTTCCGCGTGTTTCTCTGATTCCATGTGTCTCTCTGCTGAGAGAAGCTCTTCCCAAGTAAGGCGGAGCACCTTTATCTCCTTTGCAACTTTGTTGTTATCCTCACAGCTCTCTTGGACTTCTGCCGCTTCCATTCCTTTCATCTCGGTATCTTGAGAAACTCTCTTTGCATGACTCTCAACTGAGTCAACTTGTTTGGTAGTAGGTTGAGTCTCTGTTTCATATTGTGCATCGACCTGATCCGACCACTGGAGATTTCTCGCCACCTCAAACACAGTGATATCCTCTAGAGGAATCTCCCTTGAGACAATATCACCCCAAGATTCTCCTTCGGTGACGTCAAGCCACTGGTCATGTTCAAAGGCTTCCTCTTCTACTTCCTTAGTTTCAATTCTTGTGATGTTCGCTTCTTGAATGGCTGTTACCTTTACATGAATCTCAGGGGAGGTGATGTCTTCGCAAATGCCTTCCTCTACATTCTCATCTTCTTTAGTAACCATAAACCATTTAACATCCTCGGTAAGCTCGGCTTTAAACTTTTGCACATCATTGCTCTCTTCCTCTAATTTGCTGTTGTTATTTTCATCTGCAAAATGATACAAATCCAATTTTGGCCCTAAATTTTCCTTTCGGTTTGCTGTTTAATGATCGCACTGACCCTAAGTCATTGTTACTGTAATAACTCGTCCTCTTAGAAAATTTTTCTCTCTAACAAAACTGATCTTTTCATACCTTCGTTACATGTTTTCGTCTTCTCGATCTCTTTTATCTCACAGCTGAAAGGGAAAAATATCAGTTGTATTTCATTTACCTCCCTTTTTTGAATTTTTTTTGAATTTATTATTTTTTTTAAATAAAAACTAGTGAGCAGCACACGGCAACAGTCTTGTGAACTTACTTTATTATCCGACCGGTTTCGTCTGATCAAAGACTTCATCATGGATTTAACACATGAACAAAATTGAACTACTAATACATTAGACGTTTACAGTACAAATCACGTTCAAATCATGTGGGGTGAGAATAGCAAAAAACACCCACAAATAGGAAATGTTACGTAAATCCAGCGTAACAAGTGAAACAATGTTTATTCCAGGGGCTCAACATTTTTTTTATTTTGGGGCTCCCGATTTTTAACTCCCTTTTCTCTCTCCCTCTTCTCTCTCTCCTCTCTCTCTCTCTCTCTCTCTCTCTCTCCTCTCTCTCTCTCTCTCTCTCTCTCTCTCTCTCTCCCTCTCTCTCTCTCTCTCTCTTCCCTTTCTCTCCCCTCTCTTTCCTTCCCTCTCAGCCCCTCCCCTCTCTCTCTCTCTCTCTCTCTCTTCCCTTTCTCTCCCCTCTCTTTCCTTCCCTCTCTCTCTCTCTCTCTCTCTCTCCTTTCTCTCCCCTTCCCTTCTCAGCCCCCTCCCCCCTCTCTCTCTCTCTCTCTCTCTCTCTCTCCTCCCTCCCTTTACCCCTTCAGCCCCCCCCCAGTCCCTCCCCTCTTTTCTTTCCTCCCCCTCCCTCCCTCCCCCTCTCCTCTCTCTCTACAGCTTCAAGGCTTGAATAATTTTCTAAAGTTTTGCATTTTCTTTCAGTCTTTCATCAAGTTAGTAAGAGAGTGCATTTCTTTTCTCAAACATCGTTCTCTAAAAGCTGTCTACGCTCTTGAATTTACTGGCAATCGTCCCTCAAAGCTTTGTTGTATAGGCATGTGCAGAAAGTTCTGGCATCAAATATTACGTCCAATTCTATTTCTTCTACACTTAGATTTTGCAAGTTGGCTTCTTAATTTTCCTTGTTTAATGGTTAATCATGTAGTTATAGTTAATCACACACCCATGGCCAGGTATTTCCCTGTAATCCAGAATAGCAGGGTCCTCTTCAGCCACACTTTTTAACGTTTCTTTCCTTTTTCTTTTTCTTCGCCTCTTCTTTTCTTTAGACCTCTTCCTGTGGAAAGTAATTTCCATACTCCTCTGAGCCTTATTTTTGTCTAAAAATCTGTCCATGATCTCTAATTAACTGCAGCTTAAAAAAGTATACGAACTCTTAGGTTTAGTGGCATACTTACCTGTTTGCTTTATGCCACTGTCAATCATTGTGGTAATTTCTATGAAGGAAATGAATATCCTTCTGCCTGTGCTCAAATGCATTATAGCCTGATCTAGTCTAAAGCTAAATTAATTTTTACATGCTGTGAAAGTTGATGTAGTATGATAAAAGGTGGTGGTTCGTAATCGTAGTGAACACACTTTCTATTTGAAAAACATTGTTTGTCTCACGGTGTAGTGAATCTTTTT